AGAAATGAGAATATTTTATAATAAAGAAATATAAGTTATGCTTTTGATTTCTGTTAATTTATCAGCATTTATTAATCTTGGGCTATATCTCAAAATACAGAAAGAAAAAATTTAAAAAATATGAATGAATAAATTCTTGTTCCTTTTTTTCCTTATCATTTTAATGCAATATTGCCATATAGAGTGGTTTATTACACATAAGTGATGAAGAGCTTTCCAGAATATAAGAATATTTCAATATAATAGACTGAGAACAAAGAGAGTGTAAAGAAGGAAGAATTCATAGAATGTTAGAAAACAGAGAAATGCAACCTAAAAATTGAGGTAACTGAAATGAGTAATTATTGTCATATGTTTCCTGGTCAGACTAAAAATTACTATAAAAATATTGGTTAAAAAATAAAGAAGTTCATATACACATAGTTTTCAGAATTCAGTTAGATCATGTCGGATTTAGCTATTAGAAAGTTTTTAAAAATTGAAAGTTAGAAGTATAATAGAAATTCCATTTAGAAATTAATGAAATCATAGAAGGGTCGAAAAATTTGTAGATTATTTTTTGCTTAATTTAAATGGGTCAAGCCATTTCTTACTTAAAATAAGACAGATTTAGATTTGTATTTTCGATATAATAGAACATTGTGTATTAAAAAGGAAAAGAAATAAAAGAAAATAAAGAGTAAAGAGTTTATGATGAAGGAAGAAATATGATTAATATTACTATTATTTTATATTTGAAAAATATAATTAAATAAGAATATGTTAATAAAATAAAAAAAAAAGATAAGATTATTAAAATTGAATTGAGAATAATAAGAAATTAGTGATATAATAAGTTTAAGGATATATCATAAATAAAAATGTCAAGAGGATTTCATGAAGATTAGTAGTTTAAAAAGGAATTTTTACAAATAGTTGATGCACATGGTGGAGAGAATTGTAGACATTGGACAAAAGTGGCAAGAGTATATTTTGAAACAACAGGGATTTAAGTGAATTAAACTTATAAATTAAGAAAGAGATGGGAAACATTAACTGGATATAAAGAGAATTTAAATGAAGAATAAGCAAAGATTTTATATGAGACAGGAATTAAATGTAGAGGAAATAATAAAGGAGGATTATAGAATTTTACATAAAAAACAGGTGTTAGGTATTAGAATATTAGATATAATAGAATGTATTTAGGTAGATACACAAAGACTATATCAAAATGGTTACGAGGAGCAATAAAATTATTTTAAGAAATGTATATTCATGATAAGAAGACAAAGTATAGAAGATTAGATGAAGATAATTATCGGTTATCATATGTTTCAATTCATATCATGTTAAGAGCAGTAGATGTTAATGATATAGGAGATGATGATCCAATATTCTGGGAATTAAAATAATGTGCAATTAAATTAGAATAATTATTATTATTACATGCTAAAATCCATAAAGAATTAGATAAAAGAGAAAATTATGAAAATTATGATATTTATAAAAACTTTTTGAGAAGATGGTAATTTAGAAGAATAATGTTCTTTTTAGATTATGTTAATGAATTAAAATAGATTAGTATAAGCTATTATAAAGAATTAATTATATTAGCTCATCCTTTATTAAAGAAATCGATAGAGTTAAATAAGTAGACTGAAATTTATTAGAAAATTATTTTAGAATCAGATTGGCAATCTAAATATTAATTATATAATTAATGTTAAGCTTTATAAGAGAATTAAGAATATTCAATGTTAATTAAAAAGGCATCTAAGAAATAAAAAGATTAAATAAATAAAGGTTTAGAAGAAAAGTCGTTAGATATAGAAAACAATATTAAGAATGATAATATGTTATAAGGATATGATGTAGTATCAAAATCAGTCCATAAGGTATGTAATAAAATGGCACATGCAAGAATAACTCCAACTGAAAAATAAAAATTAAGAACATTTCGAGGACATTATGTTAGACCAGGTTAGATTAAATCTAAGGGTTGGACTACAATATTATTTGATCATGATTTACCTTCAAGTTAGGATGAAAAAGATATAGAAGATCAATAAAATTATAGTAATTTAAATATAAAAGAACTCTCTAGAATTTATAATAATAATTTTGAAAAAGATGTTGGAAAATTATAAAGAAAATAAAGAGATAAAAAATAAAAGAAAAATAAACCATATGCATTTTGACGTATAATATTTATTTATTATTAAATTAATATTATGATTGATTTTAGTTATTTGCGACCTCCTTCTGATATTTATCAAATCAAACATGATGGTTTATTATCATTTTATAATTATAGACTTTTATATAAAACATGGAGAAGGAAAACATCATGTTAGAAAAATATTTTTTAATCAAGAATTTGATGAATATGAAAAATAAAAAATTAAAGAGTTAACTATCAGCATTTAATAACATAAATTAACATTACCCTCTGAGTAAAATTATTATAGACTTTTAGTTGGTGCTAAGAGTTAACACTTAAATATTGTTATTCAGGAGGTTTTGAAATCAGTAAATGCATTTAAAGGTTACAAAAACATTTAGAGTGGATTCATGATGAAAATTATCAAGTCTTATCTCCAGAGGCTGAATAATATTTAGTTTAAATATATAAATATTCAATTTAGAAATAAGGCTACATTTATTAATTTGGAAGAGATCATTAATACAGACCAGTTGTTTATATATAATTGCATATGATTTCCAAAAATAAAGTTCATGTACCTACTCTTTTAAATGCAGCAACTGCTATTGGAAATATTGTAACTAAGTTTATGTATGCTCGTGGTTATGTTGAAAATTGGATTGTTGTATTGGATAGTGGTGGTAGTGGATTATTCGATTTCCCTTTCTCCACTCTCAATATGATTAATGAATTCTTTTCAATTAACTACACAAGTTCATTACATAAAATGTTTATTTTGAATCCTTCCTTCTTCTTTAATTCATCATGGAAGTTAATTGAAAGTATTCTAAATTCTCATTTTAGGAATTATTCATCCAGAAACTGCTGCTAAAATCAATTTCCTTAAAGCGTCAGATTTCTATAAATTATAAGAATTAATTCCACCTGAAGAAATTGAAATCAAATATGGAGGTTAACATCCTAATTTAACTACTTTCTGGCCTCCTATTAATACAAAAACTCAAAACAATTAACCAAATGATGAATTTCAATATATTTAAAGACCACATACACTTACAAAACGTACTTAAAGTCTTAAAGAATCTGAATATTTTAGTATTGATAACAATTCCAAAGAGTTTTATAATAATTCTAAAATGAAAGGTAATCTATTATCTAACTAGAATATCGAATACATGAACAATTTTAAGAAATTGATTAATAACATGCATAATGTTGTTCTTGTAATATAATGTGAAACAAAATAATTTTTTTATTTTATTAAATATTTTATGGATAGAGATCTTATTAAAGGAAATAAAATATGTTATAATTATGAAAAAGAACGATTAAGATAAATTCATAAACACAATCTCTCTATAGCACATCCTTTAAGTATATTACTTAAAAACAATTAACAGTTAGAACTTAAATGGAAAGGTTATCATAAAACTAAAATAAGAAACTATAATTATAAGAAGAGAGATTTACTGAAATAGAAAGAGAAAATCGTATTTTATTAGAAAAAATCCAAAGTATTATGAGTATTCTTAGAATTTATAACTAGATAATGAGCGAAAGAGAGCCACTACAAATTGGTAGAATAATAATCTGACAGTTTCTAATTTCAATTAATCTTAATCACTCAATAGGAAATAATCTCTTAATAAAGAAAAAAGAAAAAAAGAGTTAGTTAGAATTACTATTGAAAATTAAAGATTAATGAATAGACTAGTAACCAAAAAACCTAATTATAATACTAAAATTATTTTGAAATAAACATCTCATTAATAATAATTAGTTTAATAGATTGCTGAATATCCTTTAAAAAAATCAAGAATTTAAACTTCTATTAGACATAAAACTCTTGATTTTTCAAGTAAATATGATTATTTATTAAAGAAAGCAGTTTTATGGGTTGTTTACCTAATTAGACTAATCATACACCAAATAATTAATAAAACAGAAAAATTATGCTATATAAATCAAATAAAAAAATTAATGATAATTTATATTACATTGAAGTTTTCTATGAAGATCAGTAAATATTATATATATTTTAGCCTATTCAAAATAACTGTTGATAATGAAGAATGTTCCAATACAAAGGTTTTTGAAATGCCTTAAGAAGATGCTTTAATTGTTTTGAGAGAAATATATAATAATGATATCTTATAATTAGTTGATGCTATAAATGTTGATAATAATATTCATCTAGCAGGATTGGAATAATTTGAGTAATCTCAATGATTCATATATAATTTTTTTAAACATTAAATCTATTTGCTACAAAACAAAAAATTTAATTATTTAATAATCTTTTTTCTAATTTTATTTATTATAATCAATGAATTCCATATAAATTGTGATAAAATTTAGTTATGAAATAAATTTTTAAAAAATTAAATCTAAATTTTTATTTTAATAGAATCTGACAATAGATTAAATCATATTTTCTTTGTTAGTTTTATTAATAAAAAACAACTAAGAAATTTAATTTTTACCAAATTTTAGAAAGGTATTGAATAAATATTTTAAATATTTTGAAACTTTGGATATAATTATTTTTGCTAATTATAAATATGGTTAAGTTGAGTAATTTTTTATTATCTTTAAGGATTATAAATCTTTTAAGTTTTAACCCTATAATATCTTTATATAGATTTAGTATATAAAGTAAATGTAATATATAAATATAAAAAAATAATGGTAGTTTTTATTATTAGCGTATGCTATATTAATCATAAATTTCAATGAGGTAACAGGATCAAACTAAGGATCAAATGACTAAGGAACTTTGCATAAATACAAGATAAAACTCTGAATGCAAATACCAATATATTAAATCTATTCACTTAATATATAGAATTACTGATAAGTGTAAGATAGAAATATTTACAAAAACATTCCTAAAATAGATAAATTTCCAAAGGCATTAAGCATTTTGTAAGACTTTCTCCAAGCACCAGTAATTCCTGATGCATAATAAATGCATTAGAATAGAATATTGATACAAGAGCATAAGATTATCATTTGATGAATATCAACCAAAGGTACTTTATTATATATTAGAGCTAGCTTATGTAAATTCTGAAAGACTTACAAGTTTTTCAATTCTTTCTTGATTAATCCAAACCATTGAATCAAAAATGATTTCTACAATCATCTGAACACACATAAACACCAGAAACACTCTTGAATGTGTTAAATAAGTATCTAAAACTTCATCAACTAAATCAGGCAAGTCTTGAGGGTTTATATAAAATGCTAATTCATCATCTCCAAATACTGGTAATATTATTTATTATGGCTCTTAAATAACCTTCTCATTTTTTATAATTGATTCATTTTTCATTGGACAAACTAAAATAGACATTCATTTCAACTATATGCATATGATCCATCTTGGTTCACTAATACAGCACCTTAAGATGATCTCAATGTTGTGATTGTCCCTCCTAATGATCGTCTTTCAGACTTTTCCATTCAATAAAACGGATTTAATGTAAATATTATGATAATAAAATTATTCAAATATAAATTATATAGATGAACAAATATTTTTTATCATCGTTATTATTTTATAATAGCTTTTTATTTAAATCTCATTTTGTTTTAAATCCATTCTAATTATATGAATTTCAAATCGTTTTCATATATTATAAATTTAATCTTAAATAAAAATGTTTCTTTTCTTCAAAATTAAATAAGCAAACTATTTTAAATTTTAAAGTAACAAATACATTACAATAATGTCCTGTTAAAATTTTTATCTTCACATTCCCTTTCCATAATTATTTAATCAAATTTTATTTATTATCTATGTTAATCACATATTCATAAAACTATGCTCTTTAAAATTTAGTTGCTTTTTTTACAATCCCCTTTCCTTTAGTCTCATTAAGAATTGAAACTTTAAAAAAAATTTCATAATTTTATTATTATTATTATAACATAGCTGTTTGGATTATTAAAATTTTTTGTAATTGAAAAAAAATATTTAAATTAAAAATAAAAAGTAGTATTTTTGGTTTATTTTTTGTAATTTATGATAATTGAATAAATTTGTAAAAATATCTAATTATTTTTTGTGCTTAAAAAGATATTAAAATTTATTGTTGTTTAAATATTCTATAATCTAAAAGATTATTTCTAAAATCTTATTATAATTATTTTTCTACTTGAATTTGAAAATTTAATTTCTTTTAAGAAGATAATTTTAATATAATTAAAAAACATGACACCATTGTATAAAAATATTGCTAGTTATTAAATTAATAGAATAATAAATATACTCTTTATAATTAAGAATTTTTTTCTAGATCTAATATGTAATGGAAATAAAAACATTTGTATTTTTACAAAAAATACTTATTCAATATGATCTTTTATATTTTTACTACTATATTCCATATATTTTTTTTTTATTATGAATGGCTTCCTTTAAAATAATTAAAACCATAATTTAAATAATTTTCTTACTTAGATACTTTGGTTTTCCTCAACAAGAAATATAAAGTCTCTCAATACTCATTTTTAAGCATATTTAATTGTATTTAAATAAAACTTTTCTTTTAATTCTTTTTCTTCACATCTTTTCAAATTTCATCCTTTTTCCCTTTTTTGTTGTTGATTATTAAAAATTTATATGGATTGTAATTTTTTATGATTAGTTTAAGTTTTTTAATGTTTATATTAGAATTATTTTATAGCTATATTGTCTTCTAGAACTTTTAGTTTATAATTTTCCTTTTGAATATTCATCATTAATTAGTAAATTTTAAATTATCCATTTAAAAAAAATATCCATAATAATTTAAGTTTTATTTTAACTATAACGTAAATTAAATTATTAAAAAATTTTATCTAATATTTTATATAATTTAGAGAAATTAATAATAAAAGAAGTATTTAAGTATAAAAATAGCAATTATTTAAATATCTTTTGTTAAAGATTGAGAATTTGGTATCATCAGTTTAAGAATTATAGATAATATCAATCTTAATTAAGTTCATATATATATTTATTCTATTAAAAATTAAAAAATATTATAACTTATTATCGCCATATTTTATGAATACTCTATATCAAGATATATACAAAATTATTTTTTGATTCTACCTTATTATCACTTGATAAATCTATGATTATTTCATTTATTAGTTTTATTTTATGTTGATTAAAATGAAAATAATTTCAATAAATGTTGATGAAAACTAAATTTAATTTCAAATAAAATTAATGGTGCTATATTTAATGAATAAGAAGATAATTTTGATAAGTTTTATAAAGAGATTAAAGATATTGTTTATATGATGAAAATCATAAATGTAAAATATAACGACGATTGAAAATATTAAATATAAAAATAATAGAAGTATAATGTCAAAAAATAGAATTGAAGCTCCTGCTCTGACAGATAGATCTCAATATCGAAGAATAAGTTAAAAAAGTGTGGATGAATTAAATCAGGTAAGATATTTTGAATAAAATTTAGACTCTACATGCTAGAATTAATAGTATGGTTGGACTTGATGATTAGTTAACAAATAAAATAAAGTAACTTTAATTAGGTTCTCTTACACCAAAAGACTTATCATCAATAAGTTTATCATTGTAAGATATGGTAAGCACTTTATAAAAGGTTTCTTATAATGAAATAATGTATAATCAACTAGTAAGAGAAAATGAAAAATTAAAAAATGAATAATCTTATTTGAAAGCTTAACTATTTAAATTTAATGCCTTAATCTAAAAAATGTAAAAAGAGCATTAAGTGCTATTAGAGAAGATTAAACAGTAAGAGATTGATATAAATAATTTTAATAAAAAGCTTTTAGCTGAATAAAAAGTTAATGAAGAAATTAGTAAGATTATTATTGAAATATGTAGCAAAAAAATTAAGAAGATCAGAATAAAGAGTTTAAATAATTTTAGAGTCAAAAATAACTTTACAAAAAGATTAGATAAAAAATATTTGATTGATGCATTATCTGAAAATGAACATATAAAAAAAGATGCAATTTAAAAATAAAAGGATTATTAAAAGTAAACAAAAATAAATAATTAATTAAGACTTTAGCTGACAAATAATGTTTTAAATTAAAAGTTATAAAGATTAAACAATAGATTTTACATAAGTGGAAAGTCTTAAAATGAAGAAGAATTTATAGATTAAGAGAAAATGGTAATAACATTTACAGAAATTCCTAAGAATTTTGTCTTTCGTCATGTATTTTAAAATTAAGAATGCAAATGTAAATATTAAAAATAACGATAGAATTTATTTAATCAGCATTAGAATTTTCAACAGAAGATTTCAATATGTATTTAAATTCATAAAATTAAGAAAGTAAGAAAATGTAATTAACTTGGTTATTTAATCATATGGTTAATTATAGAGATTTTAGCCTTGCTCATAATAATTTTATAGTAAAATTGTCACAATTGATATAATTAAACAATTTTGATGAAATCTACAGTTTTATAACAACACTTTCAAGTTTTTTTAAAGTTTCTCATATATATCTTTGGCTTAGGGACTTTTAAACTGGATTTTTCATAAATGTGAATGATAGTAATAAGAGAAAAATAATGTGTACAAAGGGAGCATTTAGAGATAGTCTTGAATCAAGAGAAGCAGTTAATAAATTAACCGCACATAAACATATGATGTATTAAAATGATAGAGGAGAAGATGTTTTTTAAGATAATACTTATATCTTTCCAGTAATTACAGATTAAACTTTACCTGCTGGTGTTATAGAATTTTGTCATCCTACACATAGTAATAATTATAATGATATATAATATTTCGCATCAATTTTAGGATTATTCGTTAAATTAACAATATAAAAAATTGATGGAGATAAACATTAAAAATCATTATTAAAATAAATAGATATATTATAGAATGAATTTTTGAAATTAATGAAAGCTAATGACAAATTTCACTTTTGTGAGTTGGTAAAAGACATGTAACACAAAGTTTTATAATTGTCAACTAGTGAAATAGTTTTTGTAGAAGAAGATTGTTTATGGAAATACTTCAATTAAGACATTAAAAAATTGAATAATATTGCTGGAGTATGTGGTTAAGTGGCTATAAATTAAGCACCTGCTTATTTTATGAATATTTCAAAAGAGCTAAATTATAATGAGAAAATTGATATGTATTCTATTGCACCTATTTTCATTTATCCAATTATTCACAAAAGTTAAACCTATGCTTTAATTTAGTTATCCTTAACAAATAAATAAATTGATAAGTATAGATTTAAAGAACCTTTGATAAGTTTAACATAGATATCAAATTAAGCTAGGTTATTTTGTGAATATGTTACAACAGCTTACATTAATAGATTTTTGTGAGATTTTAATTAAATTATATGAATTCTAATTATTTTTGTATAAAATTTATTTATAAAATTCAATTAACGAATTTATCCAAATTTTAAAATACTTTATGATTATTTTATGAATTTCAGCATGTTAAATACTTTTGATATTTGAGCAAACTACTATAATTTAATATTAAATTTTTAAAAAATGCATAGAACTGATTGTTTAATCAATAAGACAAATTGTCTAATAATATTTCTAATTATTTGTGTCTTTATTGCTCTTACTCCTCCACAAATAACAACAAATAATTAAAGTTTTGAAATATTTGAAGTAGAAGTGACTGATACAGAAATTTAATACTATATAGAGAATGATATTGTATACAATAATACAGATTAATTTGGTTTATAAACTGTTTAAAATTGGTTACCAATTCAATCTGAATTAGCTCAATTAAATTTAGCATTAGATTATTTTTCGCGGTTAAAATTAGATAATCTTATTAAACAACATAATGAATTTTAGATATAAGTAGATTTATGTTTATAATTGTCATTAAATTAAGATTTTGAAAATTTTCTAAGTAAATTTAATTCAACTATTAATAATGATAGTTAAATAGTTGATTATATGAACAATTTGTTGTATAAAAGAAATTAATTACATGAAAATTATATAGAAAAAAAAAATAATTTAGAAAATCTTTATAATGATGAAAGAATGTTAAAATCATAGATAATAGAATATCAAATAAATGAATAAGATTCTTATCTTTTAAATAAAAAGATTGCCAATTTAAATAAATTAAAATACATGATTAATTAATCTAATAAAGAGATGTAAGAATTGAATTAAAAAATTAAATAACAAAAATCCCTTGGAGAAGATGAAGATTTAAGTGAATATTATAAAAAAGATTAAGATTAGGCAAAAAAGTTAAGGTAATTATTTAAACCAGCAGGTACAAAATCAGTAGAAATACATAATGAAAAATTATATGATCTATTAAATGTATTAGATCAAAATATTAAATAATATCAAAGTCCAACAGATGTTTACTTTAATGGTTTAAATTTTTCTCCAGAAATAAGAAGAAATGCTTTGGAAGAACTTGAATTATAATATACAAGATTATAGATAAAATTAGAATAATAAATTAAGAATTAAGAAGATTTAGAAAGAGAAATTAATGAATTTGAGAGAAAAAAAAAAGAAAAGGAAAAGAAATTTGCTGATGTTTTGAATAGATTAGAAATAGTAAGAAATGTTTAAAAGGACTTAGATAAAGATTATGAAATAATAAAATTATAAATTGAAGAGATTAATAAAGAAATTAAAAATATGATGCCAATAAATATGAGCTAAAATAACAATTTAGTAAATTTTTAATAACATTATAAATGTATTTATAATCTTTAATTAATTAGAATATATTTATGAGCATATGGATTAGGATCAAAAATGTGTTGAAAAATGCATTTAATATGATTCATTAAATTAATAATTATATATGGGAAGATATAAATAATCTTTATAATTAATTTAGAGACATTTTTAATAATTGGTTAAGCTTTTCAAAGAATTCACTATATGAAAATCTTTAATAAGGATTAGAAGAATTGATTATAATTATTTTGATATAATCATAAATTTTAATTATTTAAAAATTGATTATAATAAATAAAAACACTTTTATGTTATTAATAAATTATAGAATATATTTGTATATTTAATTTATTAATTTATTTATTATGAGGTAATTAAATGAAGAAGAAACTAAAATATTTTTTGAAAAATTAGGAGAGTATATAGGAGCAAATATTAAACTATTAATAGAAAATGAAGAGGATCCTCATGTTTTTAGATTGATAAAAAATAAAGTATATTATATGTCTTTATAAATTGCAAATTGGGCAACAAATGTAGGGAAAGATGAATTATTACAGTATTTAATTAAATAAATTTAAGTGTTGGAACATATTTTGGAAAATTTACAAAAACTAAAAAATTTAGATTGAATATTACTTGTTTAGAGATTTTAGCGAAATATGCTAAACATAAAGTTTGGTTGAAACCTAGTGGAGAGTAATCATATTTATATGGAAATCATGTAATTAAAGGTAAAAAACAATATTATCTATATAGCCCATTTAGCAAAAATGTCTGAAAATATTCCTTAGTATGCAAATGTTATTTTATTCTCATTATAAGAAAATCCTTTAGGTTTTGGTGTTGCATCAAGATCAACATTATAATGCAAAGATTTAGATCCCACTGCAGTTGTGGTTTTTAATTAGGCAGATTTGGGAGAATATTTAAGATCAGAAGATGATAAAAACAATGAAAAATGATGTTTACTCTAAAAAAGTAATTTTGTAAATAGAAATAATTTTAATTTTATAATTATATAACTATTATCTCAAATATTAATCTTTTTATCTATTTATAATATATTAAATAGTTTTAAAAAAAGATTCCTATACTCCATTTTATAAATTTATCATTATTACTTTAGTATAATACTTGTTATGATAAACATTTAATTGAATCATCAATTCTCAATAAATCAAAATAAGATTATAAACATGAATAATTAAAATAGAATGAAATAAAATAGATGATAAATAAGAATATTATATTTATGGATCAGTTAAATTAATTAGTATATATTTATCATAATAAAAATTTGTACTTTATATTTATTTATTATAGAATAATTAATTAATTTAAAATGTAATAAAGAAAAAGAAAATGCTCTACTCTTTTTAAACGAGTAAAAGAACGGTCAGTTTAGATGGCTGTAGAAAAGGTTGAAGAATGGAGGAAGCTATTCGAAAATGGCAAATATGATAATTCAGGAAATTTAAAAAAACTAACACTCCAATAAGCGGCTGAAGAAGTTGGAATTCCTAAAAAAACCTTGGAAGATTATCATTAACTAATAAAGTATTTTATTATTTAAATATGTAGAAAAGCTAAAGAAATCTATCCAATAGAATAGTTATATGATCAAAAAATGGGTTACTTGAGAAAGCTCATTAAATAGAAATAAAAATTTAAATAAAATTCTATAGAAATAGAATCTGAAGATGAGAATGAATATGATAGTGATGATGATGAAGATGGATAATTTTAAACATAACAAAAAGACTTTGATATAGAGAGGTACTTTGCCCTTGATGATGATCTTCATTATTATGATCAAAATTCTCTTGTAATGATAGTTCAAATACCTTAAATTATAGAGATTAGTTAGAAGGAAACTTATAATTTTAAAAAATATACAGAGAATTATGATTCTAATTAAGAAACAGAAGATGAGGATTTCTGAAATTTTGTAATTTAAAACTTAATATTAATTCAATAAATTAATCTATAAAAGAAGTAAATTATCAAAAATTTTCATTCAAGTATCACTATAAATATTGCTTTAAAGGACCAATAGTTATTTACCATTCATAATTATATTTAACAATTCAAATAATCTCATTTCATTATCTAATTTTTGTGTTTTTATTTTTCCTATTAACATTGATAAATAAGGGTCTTATAATTCTTAAAATTCATTATGATAAAATTACATATTTTCGTAAGTGAATAAAAATGACTTTATAAATTATTGGTTAATTATTTTATTTTTGAAAAACAAGATAATTTAGATATGTTGAAAACAAATTCATATTCTTAATCTGGTTTCAATACAATAATTTATAAATTACTTTAATCATCCTAAAATATTAATAGATATTCAATACAATATATTTTTATGAACATTTTTATATTCTCTCCCAAATTTTTTATTATAGTAAATCCATACCAATATATTTATTTGGACTAGATGTATATTTAATTTGAAAATACTTTTTAATGTTTGTAATTCTATGGATTTAGCTTGATTCATTAATCAATTCTTATGTTAAAATTGAACTATTTCTTCTAGTTGTTAAATCAAAACTTTTTTATTTAAGTATAAAAATGTTATCAATCTCTACATCATCATGTTTCGATACAGATTGAACTTTTTTTAAAATTGAATAATCCTTAAAACTTTTTGATTTCCCAGATTTCCCCAATTAGTGCATATATCAATTTATTTATTTTTTTAATTTTAAATCACTCTACGTAATTATAATTATCTTGTGTCTATTAATCATAAGATTAAGAGTGATCAAGTATAAACTAAAATTATAATAAAGTAATCAGTTATTTCTCTAAAACTTTTAAGTAAGTAATCATCAATTATGATCAATAAATAAATTTATTTATTAATTTTAATTGCATCATCATATATCTAGATAATCATAATTTATATTTATTAATTTTTTTTCTTAATCTAGAGAAATATGTAATGATGTTTAATTTCTTAAATCATAATTTTCATTCACAAAACAGAGTTACTTATTAGTAATAAATGTACATTTAACATATTTTTAGAATCTAAATGTTTTACTTTAAAAAATGTTTATTGATGATTATTTACTTTTAGTAGATAAATTAATTCGTACTCTAATCTATCATAAATATACTATGTAGAGATTTAAATTAATTGAAATAATTAAGTAATAAACTTTGAAAATGTGTTTAGAAACCTTATACAAGAATTGTAAAAATCCTATTATCAAGATTTAAAGAAATAAAGGCTATTCATATTTATTAAAAGATTACTATGTATAATATTCATATAATGACATAATACTTAATATAAAAATAGAAAATGATTAAAAATTACATATTTAAGTTTTTAAATAATTTTATTAAATTAATCATTAAATGAAAAGAAGCATTGCTTCTGTTAAAGATTTAGCTGATTATTTTAACGTGGCTATTTAACATAGAGCAAGTGATACAATAGTAGCTGGATAATATGTTGCAAGAAAAGTAGTGATATTATCGCTAATATGTAAAGGTTTCAATAGTGTCCTTATTTATGTAAACTACAAAAGGGAGGGATAAGATTTGTTGTTTGATTTAATATTTAGCAGATTTATATGAAGCTTGCATTAAATTTTCAAATATTCCTGAAATTTAAGCAGCATCATCAGATATGTTTTCTAAAAAAATAGCTTCTCGAATCAGAGAGTCTATGAAAAATGGAAGAAAAATATTTAAATTTTTAAAATTCTTTGATTCTATTAGATGTTTGAGTAATATCCAATCTAAAAATAAACCAAAATATTATAAAATTACTACATCTATTATGCATCTTTGTAATTTTTTTTATTACATTATGGATCATATTATTTGGGGTATTAATATTGGTGTTCTTAAGTAAAATTAAAATATTATATTCTTAGTGAAATTGTTTCTCTTAAAGCAAAATCAACAATTAAAGGATACAAAGATTCTTTTTCACTAGCAAAAGCTTTGTTAAAATTAATGAAATCATTTTTCGATTATAAAATTATTTATGATAAAGAAATGGATTTGGTCAAAGAAATCAAAGAAATACCAGATAAATTAATTTATGAAGATGCAATTGCAATTTAATGTGCTAATAGCTTAATTAATAGTAGATAGAAAAGAAGAATTAAACAACTTAATTTTATAGTTACATTATTAAGAATTGTGATGTTGTTAAGAAGATTAAAATTATTTGGATTAAATAAAAAAATTAGCAAAATATTTTATTCATGTAGTGGATTAACTATAACTTTAATAAATATAATGATTTAATTAATCAATAATAATAATATGATCAATTAAAAACTAGAAAAGAATGAAAAGGAAAAAGAAAAGAAACTTGCAAGAGTAAATTCTTTTATTCCTTAAAATCATCAATTAAAGAAAGTTAAATCAGAGCTTGAAAGAGTTTTGGGAGAGGACTCAGAAAATGAAGGAGATTGAACTAATATATATAGTAATAAAGAATCTCTATTTAAAGTTAAAAAAAAGGATACTTTAAAAATTTCAATTATTTTTCTAATTTTTAATTTTAAATATAAATATAAAAAATAAAGTAAAATAACTTCTTTTAAATTGATATTTTCTTTTAAAATGTAGAATTCTAATAATTAGAATTTAATTTAGAACACTAACAATTATTTAAAATCTATATCTTTTTTAATAAATAACATAAACAATTAAGTTTTAGATGGAATAGTTTTTAAATGCTATTTTTAGAATATAGAAGAGATTTTAATTAATTATATTTTTATTTTAAAATTTAAAATTTCTATAGCCAATTAAAATAAAAGATTATTAATTAACTTTTTTACCAGATTATTTTTTAGATAATGAATCCTTAAAATATCATACATTAAAAAATTTAAATTTATGGGAGAGTGAAAATTAATGTTGTTAGTAGGTAATGATTTTTTAGAGAAGTGTTGAAAGAAATCAATGTATAAAATTCATGAATCATGGGAATTTATTTTTCTTTTATTGCAAAAATCTAAAGACCGAAAATCCAAGATTCTCTGTTTAGCTTCTAATTCTAACATTCTTAAGTTTATAATTAATATACATATTCTTTTAATGCTCTTTAACAAGAAATATGGTTGAGAGCTTTCGGTTTCTCATCATTTTCAGATTCCTCAAAAATGACATCATCAGGAGAATAAACAGTCAGTTTTTATTAATATATTTTAGGACCTTTATGTCCCTCTAAAATTAATGGTTCAATTAATTAAGGAGTTTCTTAGGGTCTTATTATAATAAATTAAAATACTTAATTTAAGGCTTAGGAGGGGGTTAATCATAAGTATCTAAGTATTCTTAATAAGTCATTGAAGAATTATATCGTTATCTTATTTCTTAAGCGTAGTGATTATCCATAATTTTAAATATAAATAATAAAATCTTAAAAATACAAATAATTTATTTATTCCATCAAATGATACGAATTCAACTTCTTCAATAAAGTAATAAAACAATAAACATAGATATATATCGTATTAACATTTAGATACATCAAATTTTTATATTTTTTAGCCTGAAATAAACTTTAAGAATATACTTCTATTTTATTGAAGATTATGATTTCATTCTTACTATCAAAAGAACAGTTATTATTTAAAATACTAGATATCCTTCATTTCTTTTAAATTTGAAATTTAAATTATTTATTCTTAAACTATTGATAAATTTCAAGTTCTAATAACTTTCCAATTTTTCTTGCATGAATATTCTAATTATTTTTATTATTTATAACTTTAATTTTAATCTAAATAATGTAACTTAATTTTTATCTAATCTTCCACATCATTACTATTTTATTTATATTAATATGTAGAATTACTTACTTTGAACATCGATATTATAGTTATATTCCTTTAATTGTTTTTATATTAATTATTTCTATCTAAGTATGCTTATTTTACTGTAGAATGAATAATTAATTATAAGAAGGTTAGAAAATTGGTTTCTTATTCTCTAAATTAACAACATTTATTTCTCTTAATAAAGATTTAAGTAACATTTATTTCTATAATTTTTTAATCTGATCATTTCTTATATTTATGTTAAATTAAAATGCTTAGTTTAATTCATCATATTTAAAATCTTAATCAGGTTATTATTCTTCAATTATCAAAGCATCGAGTAACTATTTTATCTTTTTTTTCATGTTTTTAACCATTCTTTCATTATTAATAATATTTTTATTTATCAAAGCTTCTAAAACATTATTATTTTTTATATGCTTCGATTTTCATTCTTTAATTATCTTAGTTTACTAATTTTCAAAAAATTATTTTTAAACTACTTAAATTTTAGATAATTTTGCAATAATCTATCATTTTGTTTAGGTTGATTCTAATATTTTCATTTATTACTCATTTACTTTTTTTTTACCACACGGTCTTTTTCATTTTATTTCAAGTTATACTTAAAATTTTTCTATATCTTTTTAAAAAGTCAAAAGCGTAGTTTCTCTTCATATATACACAAAAAAAGCTTTAATGATTCATCATTATATCCTTTATGATATTCTTCTTAACTAATGTAATAACATATAATATAATTTATAAACCCTTTTTTCTAAACATATAAAATTTATTATTATCTCAATTACGATTTCCTTCTTAAGTGCATATCCTGAATATCATGTAAATGTATTTCTTAATATTTTATTTATTATCAGGTTTATGAGATAACCATTTTAATCATTAAGTATTACATTTTATTTTTTAGTTATTTTATTTTCTATTTTAATAAATTTTTATAAAACATACTTGAAAAGTTTAAAATTATTGATTTTTTATTTACTCTTTTATAATCAAAAGCCTTAAATAAAAAATTGTAGATATTTGTAAAAGAAGAATATATATAAATATAAATAAATCAATTAATTTATTAACTTAAAGGATATTATAAAAAATGATTTGATTATTATCATTTATTAATCAAGATTAATCATACCTCTTTCTGTATTTATTATAGATATATGAAATAAAAACTATAATATTATCAATAAAGTCAAAATTTTTAATTGAAATTCATTAAATGTGTTGATAGAATAAAAAATCTACTAAAGTGTAATGTTATGAAAATAAGACATGCTTTAGTAAATATTGAATTAAAGTTATATTTTTAAAATTTCTAATAGTATTTTAACCAATCTCAATGAAATATGGTTCTTTTTGTTGAAATTTCTTTTATCAAAATTTTAAGTTTCCTTCAACTATTAGAATAAAATTTAAAGTTAGGAAATCAATATTTAATATAACAGAATGTATAAAATATACTTAAAATGAAAAAATATAAAATTGGATCACTTTTTTACTTTGAGATGTAGCTTATTTTAAAAAGGAAAATTAATTTGATAGAAGAGGAACAAACTTATAAATTAAGATTTAAATATGTTATAAAGGTAATTATAAATAATATACATGATCAAATCAAGCAATTTTATTAGAATACTAAACTTCAGTGCTTAAACTATTTTATTTTTTGTGTTTCTCATCTTCTTTGCTTTGAGCGATACTTTTGACTCTTCCCTATTGATTAAGAAAACGATCAATCTTATTTAAAGAAGAAATAATTGATTGGTCACTTGTCTTACATTGTAAGAGATATTTTTATAATTTGACTTCAGGTGTTGGTTTCTAAGTTACTTAGTATTAAAAGTTACATATGAAGTAATCCATTTAAAATCATCATCAATATTTATATGAAATGCTTAGATTTTCATTTGATTTCTATTTTCATTCATCATTTCAATTTAAGGCATTCCAAGTATTTTTCTAAATTCAAGAAAGCTTTTTTTAGAAATTGTATTTTCTAATTTGTATCCTTTAGGTTTGTGAGCCTTTCCCATATATTAATTATTGATAAAAAATAAAAATATTTGTTAATTTAACTTAATCATTCTATTTAAATAGAGAGCAAAAAACCGAAGAACTGTTAAGTGCTAAAGCAAATATTTAAATAAAATGTAACAAATTTATTTTTATAAGGATAAGTTAAAAACTTTAGTTGCATAAAAAAAAATAGAAAATGGTGATTTAATTTTGATTTTGAATTTATCTTAAGGATAAAAAAATCAATTTTAGATTCTAATTTAAAAGTATTAAATTCTATTAATTTCAATGTACATGTATATAAAGTAGTTGATATAAAAGAAAATAATTTAGGATAACTAAAAAAATTAAATTTCATAAAAAGAGTGAATAATAAAATTAAATTAAAATTAATAGATTAGCATTTAAATTTTTATAAGTTTGAATTTCATTTTTAGTGAATTATATTTAGTAAGTTTGTAAATAGAATCTATAATATTTTAGAAATTTGAATATAGAAGAAACAATTTATTTAATAATGTAATTTATAATAATAAGTATTTAAAAAATCATTAAAGCCAATCATCCAAAGCTATTTCTTTAAGTGGAGGTCTTTCATTCTAATTAGTATTTAAAATCTTTTTGATTAAATTTTTTAATTAGAATGACATATTTTAAGGAAATTCAATTTTTCCAGTATTGATTGATTTATATAAATCTTTATCATCATTACCTCTAAATGGAAATTATCCAGTTGTCATTTTATAAAGTAATATACCTAAAGCCCAAACATCAGCAGGAAAACTATAAGTTTATTTATTAACTATTTCTGGAGCCATATATGATGGAGTACCACAAAATATATTAAGTCTACTGGCAGGATCAATAGCAATAGAGAAACTATTATAAAGAATAAGAATTATTTTACCCAAAATCTATAATTTTAATTTAGTTATTTAATGGATCAATAAGTATATTTTCTAATTTTAAATCTCTATGAACAACACTTTTATGATGACAATATCTTAAAGCATCTACAATTTAAATAAAAATATATTTAGCTTCATTTTCATCAAGTTTCTTTTATGGTTGTTACTTAATAAAAGTATTTAAAGAAGTAGCACTGTAATATTCCATTATTACATGTAATTAAACTTGAGTTTCACAAGCACCAATTAATTTAATAATATTAGAATGTCTTAATTTTGATAAAATCTTGACTTCTCTACAAACATTTTTTCTTTTTTGTTAATCATTAATTTTAGCTTTTTCATATGTTTTAATAGCACAAATTAATTATCCTTTTTATGCCAATCTTACAATAGCATAAGAACCTAATCCAAGTACTTTTGATTATGTATAATTGTCTATTGATTTTTCTAATAAATGGTCAGGCAGAATTCCTTATAATATTCCTTATTCAAGAATATTTTCAGTTTGCATTTTCACATTTTCACTTACTATTCTTATTTCTCTTTATTTTGTTTCAGGAGTCTAAAATCTTGGACTTTACTTTTTAGAAGTACCATGGTACTCAATAGGGACATTCACTTTTACAGGACTTTTAGCTAAAGGTGACACAGACTTTTTTCCATTAGATTTATTTAATTCATGAATTATATGTTATAATTCAGCTATCCTATTTTTAGCTTATTTAATATTATCGACATTTGATGTATAATCTTTTAGAGGAGGTCGATTCTCAAATTAGAAATTTGGACTGCAATAGTTTATGTTCATTAACAGATAGTTATTATTAATTTTTATTTATGTAATTAATTCTTATAAATAATTAAAAATAAATAGAGACTTTTTGATAAATATTTAATTTTATTTCAAGTTTTAGTATAGAAAAGAACATCATTTATGTTATTCTAAAACCAATTTTATATCTAAATATTCTTTATCAATTATATCAATTTAATTAAAGTGCAATAAAAAAATAAATATAATCATAAATCTAGTATTGAACTAACCTTTTATTTATCAATTAAATCTTTAATATTTCTTAAAATCTAATCATTTCTATTCAATAGATAAATTTATTTTTATGAGTTTAGATTTCTTAAGCTTAAATTTTATAAAATTAAATCAGTTGAGCCAAGTTTTAAAAGTTTTTTTTTACTTAAAAAGATTATATTTTTCCATTTCTTTTTATATTATTACTCTTTTAAGATAGACTAGCAACTGAATTGATCAATCCATCCATTTTAGAATTTAAAAAAATTGTTTTTTAATCGAAGTAATATTTATTTTTGTAAGTTTAGTATTTTTGTTATTATTCTTGTTTTAATTTTTTTTAAAGCTGATAATGATAAGAACTTTCGATTTAATATTTTCATTCTTCTAATTCCTTAATTTGTTTTTTCATTCTATCATTTTATTTTTAAAATCGTTATATTTTTCTTTTTCATCTGATAACAATTCTATATATTATTGTTCTCATTCTTTTTATTAATTATCAAAGCTTAAATCATGAATAATTCTGATGATGAAATTTATTTTTTATTTTTAAGTTACTGAATTTTTCTTTTTTTTCCATAATTTTACACTAATCAATATTTATATTATCTATTAATGAATCAATTAAACAAATCTACCGAAATATTTATGCTGATTAGTTATCTTATTGATTGATTCAATAAATATATTAATTGAATATGGAAAATTAATTTCTTATTTTGATTAAAATCCTAAAATGATTTATGATTAATATCAAAAAAGAAAACATATAAACTTTTCTGAAATGTTAACTTTGTAATAAGCATCAGAATTATTGAGTTATTTCAATAATTTAAGCTAACTTTTCAAAGTTAATCTCAGTAAAATAAATAACTAGTTTTCATTTATCATATCAATAATTTTGAATAAATATTAAGAGATCTCTAACAATTGGGCCTTTAGAGAAAACTTGAAATATTTTTTTCCGTCAGCAATCGTCAAAATTTAATATTTTTTTCTTGATAAAACTGAAATTAAAAAATGTATATTATAGCATAGTTCTATATTAATTCTGATTTATTATATTTAAGTTATAGAAATTGAAGGATATATAAAGCCTATTTATAATAATTAATCGATTAATTATTATAATTTAATTGAATGGGTGTCTTGAAAGAAAATAAATTCAGACGAACAAATAAAAATAGTTTAGGTTAAATCAGAAATAAAGTTAGATATTTTCGAATTGATTTACAAAATCTCTCTTTAGGATAATATAGATTATTAAGAAGAATGTTCAAAGATCAAAACATTCTTTAAGAAATATAAAGAAAGAAAAAAACAATCAAAAAGCCAATATGTGATAATAATGCTATTCATATTCTAAAAAATATTATTCCATTTTGTATTAGATAATTTGAATGCTATCTAAAGACTGAAGAACCAAAACGATAAAATATTATAGATTTGATAGAAAATGTTAGAAATTCTAAATCAAATGCTAATTAGAATCAGAAAAAAATATAAAAGCTTGAAATAAAAGAATTGAAAGAATTTATTCAAAATTAAGAATTTGTATAGAAGTTTTCAGCGTTTTTAAGAAGTCAACATTACGAGGAGAAATATATAGATTAGAATAAAAGAATAAAAGAAGAAAGAAAGTAAAGTTACAAAATTGCATCTAAAATGGTTTTAGAAGAATTAAATAATCCTGCAAGATAGAAATTTTAGAGGTTTATTTCCAAAAAAAATAATTTAGAGAAATTATTTTTCACTGAAGAACAATACCTTGACTAACAAAAGGAACATGATTTTTAAATCGAAAGCGAATTTATTGCCATCAGAAAAGACAATATCGATAATTACTTTAACTTTTTTGAAGAGAAGTAAGTATTTGTTGAATCTGATTGATATTTACTAACAATATTAATTTGCTAAATACAAATTTATTACTAAAATTATTTCTTTTATAATAACAAATTCAATTTCTAATTATTTATGATTTTCTTCTAAAATTATTAAAATAGTATCAAATTACAAAGATATTTTCTCTCTTCATAATTGATATTTTAGATAGTTAAACTCTTATTTTGCCAGAGTGATTTATTAATTAGGAATCTTTTTAGTTTTTTTTAAATTTTTATAAAGTTTTCTTAATTGCTGATTATTGTTTATCATTCCTGGGTTTATTTATATTCATGTCAAAATTGTTTTATTTCTTCCATCTTTTTACTTCTCTATGAATTTTCAAACATTTTACCCATAATATAAATTCTTTATGAAAAATAATTTATTTAGATATTTTATTGGTCTTCAATTAAAAACAAGATTCTTTTTTTTATAATAAAGTAAAAAAGCAAATAAAAGAACTAACTACTCCATTATATTGAAATTCTTTCTCTTATTGTATATCTAAAATAATCGAATTTTAAAAATAACCACATTATCATAAATTTTGAATAAATAAAATGTTACATCTTTAAATTTCTAAAATGAATTTCGTAAATAGTTTTATTAATAAAATAAAAACAGTTTAAAGGATATCTTAAAAGTTATAATAAGGTTGATATCCTCATCAATTATCTTTATTATATTTTTCTTTAAAAAATTAATGCTGCCTACCTTTTTTTGCAAAGATCTAAGTATTTTACAAATTAATAATTAATTAATTAATAAGAAGTGAATACTCCAATACAATATTAAAGATTTTTTAAAATTAATATATACTTTAGATTTGAAATTCGTACAAAAATTCCTAAATTTTTTGTTAAGTAAATTAAAATTTTTTAAAATATCACATCAGATTAGATTATTAAATGTTTTAGACAGATTTGTATGATTTGCCTTAATTTTCATTATTAAATAATATTTATTTAGAAAGTTAAAAATTAAAAGAATTATTTTTAATAGAAAAAAATATAATCAACTTTATAAAAAAATAGAATTATAAAGTTTTGCATCTAATTTGTTTTTAGTTTGAAAAATAACAAATAAAATTTAATTTTCTATCAAATTCTTATAATTTTATTTCTAATTAACTTATGAACAATAGGTTAGCAATTTAAAATTAGTATTTAATGAGAACAATAAATTTTATAATTTAAAGTGAATGTAAACAATTTATCATTCTTAAATTCAATCTTAAATAAGAAGTAATTTTTCAACTGCAAGACAAAAAAAGAACAAATCATTGTCTTTATCATAATATACAAGTGAAGATGAAATATCAAGATAAATTAGATTTGATCCACAAATACAATAATTAGATTTTATGTTAAAGAAAAGAACTATAAAAAATAAGAATATATCGATTTTGGAATCAAAATTTTATAATCCTTTTGAGTTTAAAATCAAGACTTATTAGATGATAAATTTGAGAACAATTCCAAAAAATGAGAAAGGTGTTAGAAAGGCAGTTACTTCTTATCGAAAGCAATTAACACTTAAAGGAAGAGAAAAAAGCTAGTAAACATAGTGGCAAAGAGTTTCTTAAGAATTTAGTGATGCATATATGTGAATATATTAAATTTGATTATGTCAGCAAATTTTTTAATAAATAATCATAAATTAATGTTTATAAAAATCAAAACCTTGATTAAATATATATAGATATTGAGTAAATAGATATAAAAAGAAAAGATGTTAAATAAAAGTAGAGGAATAGAAATAAATAAAAACATAATTAGAATTTTTATAATAATAATAATTTATCTAAAATAAACAATCATAATTGATCATTGAATAATTGAAATTTGTTTTGTTTTTAATTGAGGAATTATTCAAGTTATTCAAGTTTAGTTGACTAATTATTCATAATTCTTATTTGAATAAGCATTATGATAATCATAATGGTAATTAAAAAAACAAAATAAGTTTCTTTTTTTTTAATATTAATAGAATGTGTTCTATTTTTTTCTTTTTTAATTTTTATATTAGAATTAGAATTTTTTAGTATTTTACTGAGAATATTTTCATTATCAAGGATAATTGATCTTTGAATAATAATTAAATAATTACTCTTCAAAATCATGAATTGAATAAGAAACTGTGGATTTAGATTGCTTAGCTTTTTATTCTAATTTGATTTTTACATTGTTTATCCATTTTTCATAATCTTCCTTAAAACCTGAAATAGTTCTATTTATAATAGTATTTTTCATAATAGTAGATTTCGTAAATACAACTGATACGAATACTCTTAAAAGACATTTATTATCTTCAAGTTTAGTTACTTCCCATTTGTCTTCAGCTTAAAAACAATTTCCATATGGTACATCTAAAGTATGAGTTGTACAAGTATAAATTATTTTTTCTTAATCTCTTTTGTATGTAAACAATTTATGCATTCTTGTTTTATCTTTAAAGGGAACACCAGTAAGTTTCATAATATGCTTCATTTCTCTTTAATACATATCTTAATCATCTTCATTTACTGTCCATTTTGTTAAATTTATATCACTATCTTATTCATTTTAACGATGATCCTAAATTGAATACAAAATAGCATTATCAGCTATAAAGAAATCAAAAAATCTATCTAAAGAAAATGAAAATGTGAATTTGCAAATTTCTTAATCATTAGAAGATTCGGATTTCAAAAATTGAATTTCAATTTCAGCATTATCAATTTAGGATTATTCATTAATAAAGTTCTCATTTATTGCTTTTGAATCACTTTAATTACTTAATTGCTAACTTTATAATAGAGAATTCATAAAATTAAATACATGTTCCTTATCTTAAAAACTAGTAAAACAATAAACTTTATTGTTATTTAAAATGATTTCAATATCATTTTTATTCTTACTCTCTATTTTTTAGATTTCTTTTATTTTTAAAACTAGATTAATTTTACTACCTGCTAAATTAGCATAAAAGCATATATGATTTTCGGCTAAAAAAATTCTACCATATTTTGAAATTAAACTTTTTAAAGCACAAGAATAATCATGGAATATGATTTCTCCTTTAGGCAAAGAAAAAAGTTTAATTAATAATTCTTTAGCTGACATTTAATAATATTATTTAAAATAGATATATTTATTTTACATTATCACTTTTTCTATAATTATGTATTAATGACATGTGCTAATTTCACTATTTCGCTAAGATATGTTGGTGATATATTTGCAGCATTTATATCACAATTTTCTAGTTTATTTCTCATATTAACTAAATCATGGAAAGGTATCATATCAGTAATATCATTATTTGAGTTATATCTTTTAATTGATTAAATCTCATTGCGATCAGTTTATGCTCTTGGAGATTAGTAAAAGCCTTAAAATTATGTAACTACTTATTTAGGACTACTTATAGGGTGTCCAAAATTATTATTTACAAATTATTAAGGTGAAGTTGTTATGGATTTAATTCTTAAATAAATTTTATTTTTACTTCTATTACATTCCATTAACAGTTACAGGAGATGAAATGTTTTTTGGAGAGCAAACACGTGAATCTGTTTTTATCTTATTTCCACTGCAATTCTACAATCTACTTGATATTGAGTCGAGAGTTGGAGCACTAATATTAAATTAATAATTACTTTTTCTTAAACGATTTTCTTTGACTATTTAATTAATTGTCTTATCCTATATTTGTATTTGATGAGTTTCTTGAGTACTTATCACTTAGTCTTTCTCTATACAATTTTAGATTAAAATTTAGTTAATCACTCATCAAAGTTAATATACAAATAAATTATAATAAATAATCATAAATATATAAACAAACGAGAGAAAATAATCAAATTATTTATTGATATTATCATTTTAAGACAACAAAATTAAATCTTTATCAATTTTAATGATTTCTTTAAGTCTTTTCATTAATATTACAAAATACAAATAATAATTTATTAAAAATGATTAAATAAAGAAAAATTCCATTTGTAGGTTATAAATATTTGATAAATTACTATAAAATATTAGTATATTTAACTTATTAAATTTTTCAAAAAGATAGACAGAAATATCAATTAAGTTAAATTAAAATTTTTGTTAAGGTAAATTTGAGATGAGGAAAAAATAATACGCTTTACAAAAATATAAAATATTTTTAATTTATAATGATAAAAAATTTCTATTTTTTTTATTCAAGAATAATAGTAATTTTATTAAATAAGAGGTTAAAATATTTTTAGAATTAAATTAAAATGGAAGACTCAAAATAATATTTTTTTTAAATTTAGAAATTAGAATAAATTGATGAATGAAAGAATCACAAAATGATAATAAATATTGATATATTAATATGATTATAGATATAAATTAGAAAATGAGAGTTATTAAATATATAAAATAATTTAAATGGTCTAAAGATTTATAGTTTGATAAAAATTGAAATTAATTTAAAAGTTATAGTAAAAAAAATAATTAGACTTGAACAATTAATAATCATCTCCAAAGTATAGCATTTCCTCCTTGATCAGCTGTTATCATAAATCCATTAGCTTTATAGTAAGCAAATGAAACAATTCCATGTTCATGTTTTTCAATTTTAGTTAGGATTTTAGCTTATTGTATTAATGTTAAGCTAATGGATTTATCATTACTTACACTTGCTATAAAACCTGGTTATAACCTAATGTATTAAGAAGTAATACATAGAAATTTTAGTAATTTTATCATCATGTAAATTGAGTTATTTCATAATAACAGCTCTTCCATTTTACCATTAAAATATTTTAGCAATGCCTTTTTCATTTCCTGTTATAAATTTTTATTAAGTTGTCTATTTCTTTTTTGAAACTAATTAATCTATAGGTGAGACAGCATATACTTAACAATCATCATTGATATATTAAAATGGATTAATATTAGAAAATGGTAAGGATAATGAAACAGTTTTATCATTATTTGCAGAAATTAGAATGCATCCATTTAATAATGTAAAATCTAAGACTTATTAACCTTATTTTAATATTTGTTCTTCAACAATTTTTAATGTAGTATCTAATTTCCATAATTTAATGATTCCATCATCAGAACATGAGATTATTTATTCATCAATATCTAAAAATATACTATTCATGCTTCCAGTTTAAGATACTTGACTACTTAATTAAGCTGTAGTTGTGCTATTAGTAAAGAAGTTTTATGAGAATTATGGATTAACATGTAAATATTTAATTTTTCTAATAGAATTATTATGTGCCTATTATACAACGAATGATGGTTTCAAACTTTTTAAATCCCAACTACATAATGAATTACCTGTTTATGGCGAATATCCACTCGAAAGTAATACTGATTATCCATTAAATTAAAATGCTCTTAAAGAAAATACAAATATTCCATGTTTTAAAATTTGAGTTTATTTTTTTAAATTTACATTATAAATTATAATAGTTCCATCAATAATAGCTATTGCAGCTAAATTTTCATTAACAAAACAAACATCAATAATAGTTTTATCTGATGGTTTAAAAAAATGAAAAGGTTCCCATTCACTTAAACTTTTACCATCTTATTTTATTTTATAGATGCTTTCTTCTAAACAAAATGGTTCACTATTTAATAAATGATATTATTTTTAAATAGCTTCTATTTCACCATGTTATTTATATAGATCCATAAGATTCTAAATTTTCTCCAAAAATAATTGACTAATGCTGACTAATTTATGTTGTAATTTATCTGCCTTTTTTGGTAACACTTATTCAGTTTTAACTATTGCACTCAACATATTATCTATTAACTGTTTATTATTAATAAATTTTATTCCTAAAATAACAGCAGGATTATTTGATGCTATTTTTCTAAAAATAATAATTTAAATAATATACTATACAGTCATCATATGAATAAATTGATCAAAGTATTCCTTTGTAAATTATCCTCTTAATTCTTTTGGAGTAGATTCTTCTATTAAATGATATTTAACAAACATTTCTTTAACAGTAAGTACCTATTCTGTTAATAAATTCTTAACATTTTCTCCTGCTGTACTAAATAGTTTTTCAATTCCTTTATGAATACTTAAATCATCCCAAGGAATTGCCAATTACTCAATTATTTCTTTGTTTAAAATTCTACCCAATCTAGCACTAAATTCACTCATCTTCATTCTATCTACACATTTAGTATCTATTAAACAATCTGCACACATTTTTCGATCCTTATGTTAACAATCCAATTTTACACATATAGCTAACACCTATCTAATTTAATTTCAGTTTTACTTCTTAATTATGAGCTAAACATTTAAAATTGACTTTTTATTATTATTGATTCTATTAATTATTAGCCTATTAGATTTCTTTAGGAGAAGTAATGTTTTATTTATCATCATTTTATTTAACTTTACTAATAATATTAGATTAGTCTTTATTTTAAGGAACCCTTTTACTCATTAATTAAGGTTTAGAATCTTCATCTAATAAATATTCCATAGGAGTAGTTAATAAATGAAATAAGAACTAAGATAGTTCTACAATATAATTACTTCAATTGCTGTCATATATTTACTTACTACTTGATTAAACTTAAATACAAAATCATTTGAAAATTCTGTAATTCTATTTTTTTTTTTCTCTATTTATTCACACATAGTTTCTACTACTCCTCTATTTTAAATTAAATAGATTGCAAAATCTAAAGTTTCTGAATGAGCCTCATTTGCCTTATCTAAAATAGTCATATTATAATTATTAATATACTCTCTAAAATAAGTTCAAGTTAATGAATTGTCTATTCTTTTAATTTGAATGGTAATTTCTATGAAGCCCAATAATAATTAGTAATTAAAATTGGAACATATTGTTATCCAATTGAAGACAATTTTGTTAACACCATTTCAATCACAGCTGTTATTTATCTATTCAGATCAGACTTAACCTGATTCTTTTCATCAAATAATTCCATAAATGCTTCTTATGCATCTTTTGATAAACAACTTCTTAAATGTCTCAAATAATCTGTGATTCGAAGTTTCTTACTACAAGGATAATCTATCAAGCATTCTACACATAAAATTTTATTATTATGTTAGCAATCTTCACACATACAAACAGCTTTTATTGGTTCATCTGAATGTACTTGACAATTATAACTATCAATTTATTATGGTTTTGGAGTTCTAACTTATTATTACTGTTAAATTCTTTGACTTTAAGGTGCACTTTCACTTATTTCTAATTTCTTTTGTGATCTATCAGTTTGTTTACCTCTTGTCGGCTTTTTCTTTTATTCTTAACATAAAACAGCATTTCCCATTATTTTAATTTAATTTATTTTTTAATATTATAATATTTCTTAATTATCTTTTAACACTTGCCATCTCTTACATCCTTTTTAATTTAATTAATGTTGAAAAATCTTTATAAAAAAATCTTTATTTAATTTTATATATTCCACATTCTCAAATTATTTAGATCCTTCTTTTATTAATTTCATTTTTACATTATACAATCACCCTTTTTTTTTGGTTATTCACTTTAAGTTCTTTATATTATCATAGAAAATCTTATATATTATTACATCAAGTAATTTAATCATTACTTTAATTATTATTTAAATATATTTCTTTACAAATTTATATATGAAATAAAGAACTAAAACAATGTCAATCTTTATATTATTTAATATTTTATTTAATTTTTGTATAAAATAAATATCAAAACAATTTAACTTCTTAAATAAATCCCCAATTCTTTCCTGTAACCCAAAATGAATCTGAATATTAATTGTATGCAATTCCATTTAAACATTCATCTCTTTTTTTTCTATTAGCATCCTTAACCAAATCTTTGAAATCAAATGTAGCTATGATTCTCTAATTTTCTAAATCAATTGCAACTATTTTTGATGTTAAATAGATATTAGCAAATAAAGTTCCATTTACATATTCCAATTCATTTAAATTTGTAACTGGTTTTTTTTTATCATCAAATATAGATATAGATTATTAAACTATAAAATTTTCATCTGCTATATGAACTTAATTAGAACCATCAGTTATCAATACTTATATTTCACCATTAAAAACTCTATGAGTTAATCCCCATCCAGCTGCTACTTTATCATCTAATTTCATATCAGTTATAAAACTTAAATCATCTGCATTAAATACATTACTTATATATAATTTATTCATTATTACATTTTTCTTTCTAACCAAGTCAATTGATAAACCTTATTATTTATTATGTCACATCCTTCCCCAAATTAATTTGATGGCAATTCATAATTAAAAATCAAATTATCAACATCATTTAAATTTAAATAATGAATAGAGCTTTTTCCATATTATCCTGAAGATTCTAGAAGTGTTGTCTCATTAACAAATAATAATCCCTTAAAATCAAATCATAAATTACTTATGTATATTATGGATTCTTAGTATTATCTCTATTAATTCTAGATAAGAGTTTGTGGGTTCCTTTAAGATCAGTATAATTTTAAGGACATTCAGTTTTAGAAAGATTAGATTATTCATACGCATCAATACTACCCTTTATTATAAAAACAAATGCAGTAAGCGAAAATGCCAATATGGAAAAGCATGAAAGCATTGATGTTTTCTTATTTAACTCTTCCTTTTTATGATAAGTTCTTCTATTATTTTATAAATTCATATATATTTATTAATTAAAAAATACCATCAAATTTCTATTATTTATAAATAAACAAATATCCATTAAATAGTATTATCTTTCGAGTCTTGCAGATTAATTAGAATACTCTTATTTAAGCATTTTTTAAAATTTTAATTTCTCAATTGTTTTAAGAGATGAATTTTGTAATATTTAAAATTTAGTTCAATAAATTTTTCTTAAGAATCAACTTTCTAGTTGGCTCTATTAATATTTTTGGTATGTCTCAAATATAACTATAATATAATAAAAAATAGACTAATTTTCTAAATTTAGATATTGTTTTTTAATAACTTAATAGAATAAATTCTAATTATTATTCAAATTAAACTAAAATAGGATAGAAGCAGGAAGAGTCTGTAAATATTTGAATTAAATTAAAAAAGTATTCAAACTATTGATTAAATAAAATCTTTTTATAATCATATACCAAATAAATCAATACATAATTCAATGCTAACTTATTTAATTTAAAGATTTATTTCTTTAAATAATTAATTTACTTTTGTTGTAATTGATTTTATTAGTTAAAAGATATTTTCATTTGATTAACACATAGACGATATTTTAAGAATATTATCATAAAATAATTTAGTTTTAATTATTTTATTCATCAATTTAAATCCAGATATGTCAAATTCAAAAGTTCATTTAAATAAGAATAGTTCCTTTAACCCCATTTTTATATTTTATTAATATTATTAATTAGATATCTTAATTATTATCTTCTCACGAATTTATAAAAAAGTATCACAGATTATATTTTCATCCTAATACAATGGTTTTATAATCCATTTTTTATTTCATATCGTCCCTCTTCATTTAATAATATATTAGAAATTTATTTAAGTAGCTCTTATATTTTAATAAATTGACTTTAAGAAATCTACATTTTTTTATTTATTTTTTGACTTAAAATTCTGTTAAGATTCATATTGCCCAATATTTCTATAATTTAATTTAGCCAATTAGTTCATATAGTTTGCTATTTTCTTTCATTTACATGTTATTTTATTTATTTATTTTTGAGAAATCTACTTAAAATTTTCAATATTTATTTGTTTTTTTTTTAATGTAGCAGTGTTTAAGAAAATTTTAGATAGGGCAAACTATCATAAGGTATCTATGATAATACAATATATATTGGATTTTTTTGACGCATTATTAAATTTATTTAGAAATCTAAGTAATACAAGTATTAAATTTATTTAATTATTTTGTTTTATTTTTAGATAATGAAAAGCATATTTTTCAATATATTTAACATTCAATAATAAAGAAATAAATCTTAAGGTTTTAGAATAGTCATTTGAGTTGATATTTTGAACTTTAACTTTAATCTTGTTCAAATATCAAGAATAAATTGTGATAAGTAGTTATTTAAATAAAAAAAATCATAATAAAATAAATAACATTTAGAAAGAATTACATTTAATTTTCTCATATACTTCTGATTGTTAGAAGTCTAATTTTTAATTTAAATTATTATTGAGATTCTTATTAATTTTCTTTGTATTCTGATATTTAATTTTGATGTCATTTTAGAATCAATACTAACAATCTGATATGAAATTAGTTAAATAATAGAAGTAGCTGAATAATTAAATCAGTATACTTATATAGTTGGGATTAATATTTAATACGATATAATTATATGATTTTTTGAATATAATTAAGCAATGATTTCTATAATTAGTTTATTCTCTTAACCTTGCTTATTTAAAGTTTATAAAAATAATAAAATCAAAACAGTAGCACAATTTCAAAGATTAAAATTTCTTATTAATTTATTTTATGCTATAAGAATCTTCTGGAATATGTGATTTTAGAGAATTTCAAATAAATTTTGTTTTTGAAATCCCATTGTGTAATAATTAGAATGAGTTTAGTTTAAGTTAATAAATATTAACTATTGAGGTATAAATTAAGTAAATATTATCATATAATGAAAAATGAAGAAATTTTATTTTGGTGCAATTTGTAATAATTATAATCAACGTGCAAAGGCTTTGTTTAAAACTTCACTTATTTTCCCTTCAAAATCACAACTTGGTTCTAATACCATTTTATGAAAAGAATCAACCCATGTGCTGCCTGATTAATATGCCTAATAATATTATATAAAATAAAAACTGAAAATGGAGTTCCAAAACAATGAATACATCCTACTATGCAAAGTACACAATTAACAATTTCGAATCCACAAAATACCATAAAAATAGCAAACAAAACTTTCCAAAGTTAACTAGGTATGGCTTTAAAGGCTAAATACAATAAAAGAGCAACTGTTACTTTTTGATGTAATATCACAAGTCCTTGCACAATTATGCAAAAAAGAGAAGTAACTGAACCACTAAGGACAACAAAGAATGCACATAACAATTTTGATAGGCTATTTTTAAATTAGGTGATTCATACATCTGCCATTGGATTTTATTTTTTTATAAAGATTTTATTATTAGTTAATTTTTTTCATTTTTACCAATTAAATACAATTTATTTGTATTAACTAATAATCAAGAAAGATAAAATTTCAGTAATATTATTTTTAGCAACCAAATTTTTAAAGAAATTAAAATAAGATGAATAAATCAAATTCATCAATCACATTAGATAACAATATCTTTTGATAAAAGAATTTCATTATTTTTAATCTCTGTAAATTATTTCGAAACACAAACAATCCCTTGTTATTTCATACTTAATTATTTTATAATTTTGTCTGTCGTATAAACTAAAGGAGTATAATAATATTGATTTACAATATTTATGCTTCTAACATTATTTAAAAGCAAGTATCTAATCTTAAAAAATATATATACAGATTTAATTGCATCTATTCTTTTTGATTTAACTATCATATGTATAATATCAATGTTCCATCATTACATAAGAAATTAGAATTAGCTCCATATTTCATGCTAAAATCTATTAAAATATAATTTACATGCATGTATAGAAGTTTATTATAAAGTAAAATTTCTATCTTAATCCATAACATATATGTCATCTAATGTGTAATAAAATTCTTATTTTAAAATACGATAAAGTTTTTATTTTAATTTGAGATATTGTCATTTTTTAACATTAGATGAAAACTCTTTTTCTAAATTAAATCTTGATAATTTATTTTAATAAATTGGAAGTTTTTTTGAAAAAATAAATTCTTGTATAGTTTTTTACATTTTTATAAGTAATTTTTTTACAAATAACTTTTAAAATCATAATAATAATTGAATTTAATTCTTTTCAGGAAGATTAGAAGGATCATTTAGATTTATAGAATCATATTTAGATCTTATCTTAATGCTTGATGAATATAACTTTATAAAATTCTCTCTTTTATTATTATCAAATGCTAAAACTCCAAATCTAAATTAATTTTCTTTTTAATTTAAATCTTTTCACCTTCCCTTCTATATCCCAATTATCACTCATCATTCCATGAATAGAAAAAATCCTAATTTTTAATATAGATGATATAGTTTCTAATTAAGTTACTTTTTCTGCTGAAGGTAAATGTATTTGATAATAAAATTTATATTTTAACAATCAATAATAAAATTAGATATTATTGAATTTTTCAAAAATAAAACGTTATTAAGAGTAAATCTCTATATATACACATCATTTGAAAAGGTTTATTAAGGAAACTAATTATTTAAATTCTAATTTGTGAAAAAAATGATCAAAAAAATCCCCATGTTTTTGCTTAATTTTATTAATTTGTTTTTACTCTATACAAGATTAATTTTCGCTTTGAAAATGACAATTATTCAATCATTTGAGTTTCTGTAATGAATTTTTTTTAAGAATGATTAAATGTCAATAACTTTTTGTTTGCCCATCTCAACTATTAATAATTTAATTGTTTCATTTTAAGGTTGATCTATAAATTTAAGTGAATCTCTTTTCTATTTATTTTTAAGTTTCTAAATCAAATATTTATAAAGGTCTTGTTGTCATAGGAAATCTTGATTATTTTTATTGTTATACTCTTAATTTTTTCATAATTTAATAATAACATCAATTTTGTCTCTTTACAATGTCTTTGAGTTTTAAATCAGATTTTTGGAAATAAATACCTTGAATTCTTTAAGATAATGTTCTTATTTTATGATTATCTGGAGATTTATATCTACTTGTAAGAGCAACTAATTTATTCATAGGTTTCTTATCAATTCCTGAGGATGAATTAAGAAGATTAGAAGCTCCAATTTAACTTATTCTAGAAACTCTTGGATAATAAAACTTTTTGGTATCAATAGATAGTCGATATTATTATTGTTGCATAATTGGTTCTGTTTTTAATCTTAATCCAATGAAAGGGCTTTGTCTATCTTTTTATAGAGAGGGTTTTTAAGCTTATATCTACTAAGTAAATTCAGAGATAATCTATGGAGATGATTAAAAAAGTTGTTATTACTATTATTTGATTGTTTGAGAATTTACTAATTTTGATAATACACTTTTTACATGTACCATTTAAAGAATATGATTGATTTGTTTATATTTTATTCGTCCTTTACTGACATTTACAGGTGTATGTCTTAAATATAAATGAATTAAATTTACATAGAAGGATTTCCACTTGAACGTAGTTGAGTTTCCATATTTTTAGGACTTTTATCCAATTCTAAATATTTGACTTTAATAGTCTAATCTAGATGAATTTGATTGTTATCTTATTTCTGGAGTAATCTCTTTTAAATTTTACCTCCACATTCATTACATTAACAACTCTAATTTAAAGCTTTTTCGTCAGAGATAACTGGTATCTTCTCACTAAAAGATTAACTTGGTTTCAATTTAGAATATGTTCTTGAAAAAGAGTAAACTTTATACTAGCTTCCTAACTTATAAGTTCTTTTGCGGCATGGTTAATTAGTTTTGGAGTGGTAATATGATCTTAATGATTAAATATCAAATATATTCATAATTATTGTATAATGTTTTTAAGAATATCTATATCAGATAATTAATATTTCAATTCATCTGATGTAAATTTACATTTTACCTTTTTTATTCTTACTTTAAAACTCATCTATTCTTTTATTACTTCTCTTATATCAAAAAAATTATAATTCTATAATTCAATTATTTCCTCTTCTAAATCTATATTTAATTATAAACTCATTTTATATTTAATTTCATTCACTTTTCTTATTAAATCTTACATATCTATTTCAAAATTAGTTTTATTATCTTTCAATAAAACCATTAATCCTATTAAGATTAATTATTAATTAAAGGCTAAACTTCCAACTACTTCTTTCATCTAGAAATCAACTCTATTTAAATTTATTTATTCATTAGACTTAACATCTTTAACATTTCTCATTATTTCATTCAAAACTTCTTAAATCGATCTCATATCTCCGCCTTTCTCATTATAACTTTTTGATATCATTAATTTAACAATATTTTTGTCTAATTCACTTTAATTTATATTAATATAATTTACATATTATCTTTTTAATTTAGAATATCATTTACTAATTCTTGTACCTAATTCAAAGTGTAAGGTTCTAAAAATATATTTTAATAAGGAGGTATTTTAATTATTATTTTTTAAATTAAACTTCTAGAAACCCTATATTATTATTGATTCCTATAAGATGAACATATTTGGATAATTAAAATAATTAAAAAGCTTCAATATCATTTCCTTTAAATAAATTTTCAAATTCATCCAAAATTATAATCCTAAAAATTAATAAAATATTTAATACAGTTTACTTGATGTGTGTTTTTATAATTTCTTTACTAAGTCTTGATGAGTATCAGTTCCACGTAATTATAATTATTTTGATAAATATTATATAACTTCTTTATAATTGAAAAATCCCATAGCATTTGTATATATGATTTTATAATTCTTAATTTTCCATAATCTGGAATATTGATGAATAAGAGATGTTTTACCAGTTCCTGATTATCCTGTTAAAAATAATAATTTATATTCATCATTAGAAATTATGAATTTTTAGATTTAATTTTATTCATATTCTCTGAATTTTAATTATTATAATTTTTGAACAGTATTGTTATTTTAATCATATATTGATTCATATTATTTAGGCTACTTTTTTTGATTTTTTTAATTTGCAGCTTTCTTAGTTAATTTATTTGACATATAATTTATAATAAAATGAGCGCTTTATAAGTAAATTTCTGATATAAAATAAATTAAAAATCAATTATCCTTTTTTTATTTGTTTCTTTGTCTTGCAAGTAACCTATCCTAAATAGATTTTGATTAAGTTAATAATTAAGTTTCAACATCATCTAATTTTAATTATTCTTAAGTTATTTGTTAAGTTGAACAAAGTAAATTTGGTGTACTTTTTGATTATGAATTTTGAATAGGATGATTATAAAATTCATTTGAATTAGATTATAATTGATTTTTTTTGAAATTGAGTTAATCAGTAGATTTATGAGGATGTGAATCGTCTATTAAGTTTTACAATTAATTGATTATTTTTAAGTTTTCTTCTTATTGAAATTAATCTTCATCTTTTGGAGTAGCATATTCTGTAGGTTTTTCAATTCTATCTGTGAAATCTAAAAATTCTTAATTAACATGGATATCAATTTATTATATTGGTTATTTTCTATTAAGAATTAAATGATGTAAAATACTTGGAACTATTAATGGATTGAATAGAGCAGGATTCTCTTTAAACAGATTATTCTGATTATATGATAAGATTCTTAATTTTATAAAGAAAGTAATATTTAATAGGATCAAGAAGTGTGTCATATTATTATATACATTCTTAATACATTCCAACTAATTTATCAAGTGTATTAACTTATTTGATTGGAGATTTATGAAATAGATATTCTAAATTAGCTAAAGTGATAAAAAATTGTTAAGTTAAAGTATTTTTATTCTTAGAGGCAAGATTTTGATTGGATTGATATAAGAATTCAGGAGTCATAAATTATTGATCTATATAAAAAGAGTCTTTAGGATTGGATTTATTTTCTTCTTGTTACTTTTTTCCTTGAATAGTTTCAAATGCTTATTTAAAAATTCTCATATAAATATTTATTATTATTATATTATTATAGAACACTATAAAGTCATTTAAGACACTCTTTGGATATTAGATTTGTATATGCTTAGGTACCTGGTAATCCTTCATCCATAATTTTGATATATAAATTATTTTTAGAGAGTTCAAATTAATCTTCTAATTTATCTCTCAACAATTCTTCAATCTATTTAGATTGATTAAGAATAGATTTTTAATCATTTTTTAAAAGTTTTTTACCAAATTGGGATAATCTGTATAATTTACTTTTGATGTAAGCATATTGTAATTCAAAATGATCTTCTAACATTTTATAATTTCTTTTAATTCTATCTGGGGTAACACTTAGAATTTATGGATTATAATTCACTTCTAAAACCCAAACATCTAAATTATCATCAAGTAAAAAATCAACAGCAAAAAATTCACCAAAACTAAATTTTTATAATTATTAAGTTACGTGCTATCTCTAGCAAAAGAATGATAGGTAGCTTTAGTCATATGAATTAATGATCTATGAATCTTTGGATAAAGATAGGCTTATAACCATCCTTTTTTAGCTCTTCCTTATTTAATTAATAAATCTTCAAGACCTTCTAAATACCAATCAATAAAGAATTCTTCATCTTCTATTTCATCATCATCTTTGTCATTTTTTACTAAATTTTTCACAATAGCTGTATTACAAACATGGGCTCCTTTCTCAGTTGAATGAACACTAAAAGGTTTTGCACATCTTTTTATTAAAGCTCTTTTGTAATAATATTAAATTCAATTACCTTGAATAAGAATAAGCAATAACTGGCTTAGTTGATATGATTGTGTAATATATTCTAAATTCAATCTTATGTCCTTTATATAAGAATGGATTTGATATATATCTTTAAGCTATTACCTATTTCTATATATTTCCACATTCTTCACCATGATTATATTCTTCTAATAACTCAATAGTTTCATTCTTAAATAATACTGTAATTCCTTCTCCTCTATGCTGATTAGTTTTCAAAATATATTATGGTCCATACTTATTAAATCTCTTTTTATATTCATCTGTTTTAAATGTTTCAAAGAATGCCTTACAATCATTTTCATCATTTAATCTATAAGTTTCAGGAATGAAAGAGGCATTCCTTTTACATTCTGGATTAGTAATATTCTTTTTTTCAAAATCTCTAATATATCTCATAAAATTATCAATCAACTAATTTTTCATAGCTACAGAACTCTTGCCTGGAATATGACTGTATTTTTATAATACACATCCTAATCCCTTTCCCCAAACATAATTATTAAATAATGTAGAAACTGTAGTATAAATAAATCCAAGTTAGAGTGGTAATTAATTTTCATATTTATATGAAGCAACCTTTGATGGACTTACCTTATCTAATACTGCAAATGTTCTATCTAATGTTATCTTTTTAGGTAAATTAGTTGGAGGATAATCTCTCCAGACATAGTAATCTTACAATACTATATCTGGATGTACCATTTTATATGAATCACTTCTTTTACAATACACCGGTGATTCTGCTACATTATATCGAGATTACTAACTCATATTAATATTCTTTTACATTATATTCTGGCTTAAATGCAGAATTCTTTACAAATGTTTACTTTCTAATCTAATAAACTTCCCCAAAGAAATTCTCCCAAAATCCTCTTACATATTATTCCTAATTTTGTAAAGCCTTTGAATTTGAATACAATAACACTATTATTAATGGTGCTAATATTCCTTTTATTATATATCCAATTATCATTAAATTAATTTTATTTCTTATTACTTTTACATTTATTCTAACAAAAAACGAATCGAATTCTCTTTTTATTTTTATTCATTCCAATCCCTTTATTATATCAATAATTATTATATTTCTCCATTTAAATATTTGATTCTAATCAAAGATATTTTAATAATTAATACAAATTATGGACTCAAACTTTTCTGATGATGAATAATTCAATAACAACACTTGGGATGAATACTCTGATTTAATAGTTTGTCCATCACCTCTTTTACTTGGTCATCCTAAAATTAAAAAGTTTAATGACTAAGATGAACTTTCAATCATTCATCTCTAATATCACACTGACACAATAGATGATGGTTACAATCCTCTAAACTAATAGTAAATTTCTATTAAAAAGAAACTTCATAAAAATCATAAGAAAACTTCTCTTAAAAAAAATAAAAGTCCCTCTAACCTAAATTCAGTACTTAATGACTTTGTTTCCTATGTAAATCTTCCATAAGATGGTACTACTCAATAGATACACTATTGTTAATAAATGAGACAACTCATTGACAATCTAGAAGGAATTCTATAAACCATCAAATCACAAATTTTAAATTAGTACCAAAAGTAAAAAAATTAGAAAAATTGATCTTTTTCATCTTTTAATCAATTTATATAAGATTCTAGTTATATTTATATTTCCAAACTTCTTTGCTAAATTTTCATCAGTAATTATATCAAAAATACAAAATCACATGTTTAAGTATACATCATATATAAATTAAATAAATTAATTCAGTTCTCAATTCATTTACTTCAAAAAATTTATTTATAAAAAATGCTTTGAAGTTAGTTGAACTAGAAATTTTGCCAATTTTATGCTAGAAAATTATTTATTATATTTTTATAATATATAGGAGAAGTAATGGTATAAAAATTTAATTAATTTAGAAATAATTCTTTATTAATTACATTAAATATTGAATATAAAAATTTTACCAAAAGATCTTATTAATAATATATAAAAAGAGAGTTAGTTTCCAAAATACTATCCTCTGATTTAATTTATTCCTTTTCTTTAAACCAAATTTGACTATCAATACCAATCTCAACAATAATGAAGTCATTTTATTAAAAGACAACAAGTTTTAAAAACATTAAATTAGAAAGGCTTTAAAATTTTAAGAGTTTACCAAAATCAACTACATAATTTCTAAAAATTTATTAAACAATAAGTTTAAAATAATTAAATTTAGAAATTCAAAGATGAGAATTTATTGTTTATAAAAATAATAATCATGATATCATAATTTTGAACTTAAAAAGTTATCTCAAGAACCCTAATTAAATATCTTTTGAAATAATAATTTATATAGTTTAATAAACTCTTTTTAATGGACTTAAGCTCTTTCCTTTTTGATAATTTACCTTAACCCTAAGATAATTATGAATAGATTTAAGATGATTGCCATCAATAAAAATCTAAATTGAATTTCAATAAATCTTTATTTAGAATTTAAAGTCCTGAACCATCTATTCAAGGAGATTGTTTATCAAATATAAATGATTAATCATTTGAGATAGGTTTAGGGGAATTTAAACTTTCTAATGAAGAAAAGAATGGAATAACTGAAGAACAATTTAAAAATTTTCCTAAAAAAGCATTAAAAATTTAGAAACTTGAAAAGAAGAAAAAATATTAAAATAGACCTCTATCTGAAAAAGAATTTATTGGTATAATGAAAAAACTAGGTCAATGTCAGTAGGTAATGAATATGATAGATAATATGACAATAATTTTAAATAGATTTGTATATTCGCTGTAACAAGAGCAATATAAAATGATTTAATGATCAAGTTGTATTTTAATTATAAAAATCTTCTATACTTTTGCTGTCTTTAAAACAGTTTATTCAGTTTATTCACTTATATAAATAATATGATTAATAAATTTTATGATTAATGAATAAAAATATAAATGATATATCAATTTTATCATATGAACTTGAAAATGATTGTTAGAAGACCATAAATGATTATAGAAACTATAAATAAATTGATTGGTGATGCAAATTTTCTAGGCCATTGAGTCTATGGAAAATCGCTTTAAGGTTTTCCTTTTAGTCTATCCAATCCTAAACTCAGATACCACATAATAATAAAAAAAACATAAATTTCGAAATCTCTTAAGGGAGCCTTCCATTCATTAATTATACTAATTAATTATATATTATTTTTACATTCTAGGTCTTGATAATCGACCTATGCTTTTCTAAGGACTCATATTTGTAATAGGAATTACATTTATTTTTGCTGTTTAAATATTAAATTATTAACCCAAATATTCTATTATTTTATCATTTTTTAGATTTTTTCTTTATTGATATGATTTCAATAATTAAATTATTTAAAACGCATAACTTTAGATATTTTCATTTTATTTTATTAAGAATTCTTCTTCATTACTATTTTTCACATACATGTCACAAAAATTCTTAACTTCTGAATATGCTGGTATTTAAAATGGTTTTTAATTTAGAAATTTCAAAGAGTCACAAAAGAAGGAATTTTAATCATTAGAATATAAAAATGATAATAAATGGATTAATCCTTAATATTCTGAATCATTAACATAGTTTAAATTGCTTAAACACTAAAAAATAGTAATAAGTAATTTTGTATAAAAAGGATAATAGAGTCTTATAGAATTTTTCATCTAATTTCTTTAGGATTCTGATTCTCTTGTATGACAATCTGGTTAATAATCAAATATATTAAATCTTTATTCTACCATATTAGGTTTAAATTCTTTAAATAAAATTGCTTGAGGATAATCCCCAAATTTATTTTAACACATTTAATATATAGGATTTAGTTCATTTATGAAAAATCTGATTAATGGATTATTAATTTTAGAAGAAAAGTCTCTCTTTTTTTAAAGATGGCTCAAAATTATACTTTATGATGCTACACAAGATTAAAGTGCTTAATCAAAAATTAAAACCTGATTATAAATGCATGATTCATATTTAACAAATTACCATCTTAAAAATATCACATAAGCTGCCATATGAGAATATAAACTAATTTAATTACATTACCTCTCATTTGGGTAAATTTCAAAAGAATGCTAAAAGAACTTGTATAAACCTTATTAGTAAGTTATTTATTGTTTTTATCTTCCACATTCAAAAAAGAAGCTTCTATTTTAATAGATAAATTAACTATGTTTGTTAAAAATATCAGAATTTCTTAAAAATGGTTTAAATTATTAATAAATTGTTTCTAAATCAGATCCGTATAACGAATTAAAATAAATTGTTAAATAAATTAACATCATTTGAGTATCTAAGACTATGCTGCTTGGCTTAATTTTGTATAATAATTTCTATTGATCTATATTTAAATTTAATTCAAATAATTTAGTAACAAATAAGTGTTCATATAATGAATATTCTTATAAAAGTATAATCATCTATTAAAATGTAAATATTGCCAATTATTTATTTGAATGACTTAATATTTAATTATTTTATCTAATTTTCATGTACATATTTTCTAAAATTCTTCTAATAATAACTAAGTATGGATTAAAAGTAAGTAATTTTAATAAGGGATCCTTTGTGTTGAATTTCTTTTTGAATTTATTTAAAGCGCAATCTAATAATTTTTGACTATTATCAGTAACAAATAAAGCACTATCCTTAAAATTTGTGGCGCCATTTAATAAATAAATCCAAAACATCATTTTAGCACTAACACAGAATTTTAGTTATTTTTTTTCAACTAAAATATTCTCCTAAAATATATCTTAAAATGATTAAAATTGCTAATTTACATTAGCTATTGATGGATCTTTAAAATATAATTAAATATGTGCAGGTAATACTTCTAATTATAAAGGGTGATAAGGATGTTCAGAGGGCAATGATTAATAAAATGACATTTCATTAGGAGAAAGTAAATTCATCAGTTTTATGAAGAAAAATGTGTCTTCAACAGAGCTATATCTTTATTGAGTTGTGCGAAAACTATTATTCAAAATACCATTTTATTTGAATATAAGTTCATATACATTTTATTGAGATCTGAAAAATTCTTAGCTATATGAATATTCTTTTTAATTAATAAGTTCGTAACTGATATTTTATAACCAAGATAAAAATTCATTATTAGTAGCATTTTGTGCATATTTTAATTCATCTTCAAATTTGTTCATAAATATTTATGTAATAAAATTAATTAGTATAAACTGAATCAAACTTGCTTCAATAAACCTTATCAGATTATCAAAATCTATCTCCTAAATATGCTAAATAAAATTAAAAAATTACTTCTGTTTAAAATCAAAAATAACAATTATTTAGAAAATTACAATAATTTCATCGAAATCAAAAGATTTTTACAGAATTTAATTTAATATCTCAATTACCAACTTAAAAGCTAATTTCTAGTCCAATAGAAGGTAGAGCTTTATTAAATAATTTAATATTCCCAAGTAATTCAAAAATGATACTAAGTCTCATAGATTTAAGAAAAGATCAGAATATTTAAAAGGAAAATTAATTTTCAAATAGAAAAAGATTATATGCATAATCACATCAAGAGTTTAAAATATAAAAAAATGAATTCAAATCACAAGCTTAAAATTTTAAAATTCCATTAAATAAATTGAACAAAATTGGTTAATAAGATCAAAATTTTTCATAATAACTTAGGCGTAGTAGATACATTTCATTACAAATGTTTCGTACAAATTGTTAATTATTAATAAATGGAGCTTAAAGCATTGTAACTAGTAGAGATGCAACACCAAAAAAAAAATGATTGTAATTCTACTTTATTTATTTAGAATTATTTTTGATTATCAATATAATATATAATTTTCTTAAATTGATTTAATTTTATTTTTTCGTAAGAATGCATCCTGAATTTCTTAAGAATTGAATTAATTAAATTATGATATATATTCTTAAAATGAATAATTCATTTTTTTAACTATTAAATCTGTTAATTCTTACAAGAAATAGATATGATAATTGATTTAGATTTTGTTTTAAAATGTCTTGATTAAAAGATATAAATCAATTGATATTTAAAAAATCATGAGATTCAAAGGTTTTTTTTTTAAAAAGTTAAAAAATGATATAAACATAAAGAAAAACGAATATTTTTGTTTTGATATGATGATTTATAAAAAAAAACAAAAGATGCTGTAAACACTTAATGGTTTTTGATTTTAAAATCCTTAAATCAGTGAGTAACTTAAATTATTTAATATTATTAATTATTATGGGACTTTATTGTACGAAATGCTAAATTAAAAATGAAGAAGACTTATTTTTAGATAATTTTATTTTAGAAAAAAAACCTTAATAATCTGAGGAAAATTTAGATGACAGTGAAGAAATAGATTCAAGTATATATGAGTTGAAATAATTTTATAAATAGTTAAACCTCCTAAAACAAATGGTAAAAAGAGTTTGAATGAATTGAAACAGATAGAGTAGATATTAAGAAAAGAGAAAGCAAACTCATCAGATTCTAATGAGACAGAAGAATTAATCTTTGATGATCATTCAAAATTTTTAGGTCGGATAGAAAAGAATAAAGCAAATGGAGAAGGTAAATTATGGTTGTAGAATGGTGATTATTATGAAGGAAATTTTAATGATAATTTAATGCATGGGAAAGGTGTATATAGATATAAAAATGGAGCTAAATATGAAGGAGATTTCTTGAATAATAAACCTGATGGTTTTGGAATAGAAATTTAATTTAATGGATCAGTTTATAAAGGAACATTTAAGAATGGTTTAAAAGATGGATATGGAAGTTATAAATGGTCATAAGGATGTTAATATGAAGGTGAATGGAAAAATAATAATATAAATGGAAAAGGGAAATATGATTGGCCAGATGGAAGGGTATGTAGATCATAATAATAATTTAAGTCTTATGTAGGAGATTGGGTCGAAAATTAAATGCATGGTAAAGGAAAGTACAGTTGGTAAGATGGGAAATGTTATGATGGTGAATATCAATTCGACAAAAAATAAGGTTTTGGGATATTCTACTGGCCAGATGGAAAACAATATAAAGGATACTGGATGGATGGAAAATAACATGGAAATGGAATGATGATATATGCAGATGGTAAAAAAAAGATGGGTGAATGGAAAGATGGTTAATTTATTCATTGTATTGAAAATGATCAAGAATAATGAAATAATTTTTTAGAATTAGATTGTTTGATAACAGTAAGATTTATATTTATATTTGTTTTCACTTTATTGTTTTATTAACTTAGCTCTTGATGGTATCATAATTTTAAATGATTATACTTAATTTCTAATTCATCTATTTATATCCAAACTCTGCTTATACTGTTTTAATTAGTTTTTATAAAGAACTATTTGGTAACTATTTTCCTTAATAAAGTATTTAAAGTCTTTAAATTTCTTATTCTTCTAATTCAGTTATCTAATTATCTAAATTATTTATTTAAATTGAATGATTAGATAATTTTTAACTTAGATTATCTTATTTTAAATCACTCTATTATTATAATTCCAATGATTTTAATGTATATTTTTATTTTCTCATGTTTTGAATAGTGTTCATAACTGAAAAAAGTTTCTTTTCATAATTAACTCTATTGCCTTGTAATTATTATTATTTAATTTAATTTTCTTTGATTTGTAATTTCAAATAATCATTATTAATTTCTAATTTTGCTTTTGATATAAGAAAAGCTCTTGATTAATTATCTAAATAGCATGGAAAATCAGCTTATGTCACACTTTCATTAATTTACATTAATAGTTTAACAATAATTATGATAGATCCTGAAATTCTATTTATTATAAGTATATAAGTTACTAAATTTCTTCACTCTGCAATACTTATTTTAAAAACTCTGCCAAATCTTATTTGATTTATTTTTTACTAAATTTAATATCTTGTAACATTTCCTCTTCTTTTTTTAATTAGTTCTGATTAAATTGTAATTATTATTAATATTCCATATAAAATGTTTTAATTCTAGCTAATTCCATTTATTCATTTTAGTCAATAACCTAAAAATATTGTTATTTATCCCATTTTTTATTAGGATGAAGTTTATCTTCTTAATGTAATGCTAATTATCTTTATTTAGTATATTTTGATTTGATTTGATCAATTTCATCACCTAATTTGATAACATGATCTCTTAATTTACAATTTTCCATTCTTAATTTTTATAAACTCATTTAATATTGATAGATTTCTTGACTTAGTAATTTAATTTGATTTAATCTACCTTCAATAATATAATTGAAATTGAATTATTATCTTTCTAAATTTCGATGTTCTTCTTTGTTAATAGTAATTTATGCTTAAGATTATCTAATTTAATTGGCAACAGCATGATAATCAACAATTTGATTTACACTCTTGAACATTGAAGATAGATTCTTGAAACTTTGTAATACATTAGATGTAGAATTATTTAATTCATGTTATGAGACAACTCTCTTTTATCTCATTTTATTGAATAATATTTAATTGACTAGTTTTTAATTAGTTTGTTTTGATATTTTTTCAGCAGTTCCATGTATTTTATCTTCAATTAAAGTTTCTTTTTTATCAGAATGATAAATTTAGAATATATTATGTATTAATTTAGTATTAATAGTTGGACTAGGATAATGTGGATTATGATCAACTTCATCTTCAGCTAATTTACCTTATTAAAGCATTTATTATAAATTAAACTTTTTTTAATGTTTTTTAGCTTTAAAGTAATTAAGATTGATAACTTCCATTTTTTCATCTTCTGATTGATTATCATCTTCATCTGAATTCTATTTAAAAATCATAGATTATTTTTTGAATGGTGAACGTATTTGCTTTTAACTGAATTATTTACTACCTACATAAAGAGAAGTTGATTTAGTATTCATTTGTTTAATTTTAATTTTATAATATAAGAAAATGAATTTATTAGAGGATTTAGAAAATAATGGAACTCAATAAATGGATTTGCTTAATTTTGAGTATGATTAATTAATTAATTAAATTATTAGTCATTAAGCTAATGTGATACCAAATGTAGATTTTTATAATGCAATTGTGGTGAATGAATTTATGAATAATCGAATTATAGAAGTTAAAGATGGAGAAGTAGTAAAAGAAGGATATATAACTAAATATAAGTTGTATTTAGTAAGAACAAAAAAATAAGGAGGAGAATGGGAAACAGAAGTATCAAGGAGATTTAGTGATTTTGAATGGTTATACTAGGAATTGATTAATAAATATGGTGGATATATAATTCCTGCAATTCCTGAAAAGCATCTACTAACTAAAGTTAATTTAGCTAGTTATGAGGTAATATTTTCGATTTAAAATTTAAAAATATAGTTTTCAGAAAAGAGAAGAAAAGACCTTTAGTAATTTCTTTAAAGGATACTTAATCATCACCATCTTAGATATGTGCCAGAATTAAGAATATTTATTGAAGATAAAGAAAAAGTATTAATAAAAATGATTTTATTAGTTTATTTCACTTTTAAAAGGAGAATTGGAATAAAATAAGACAATTGAATAAAAATGTGATAATCTATTACAATCTGTTAAGACTCTATGGCATAGTAGTACTATAGCAGCAAAAGGTTAAGATCATTCAAAAATGTTTGATGGAAGCGAGAAGGATCTAACTTATGATGAAACACTTCTTTTAGCTTTTTCTATGAAAGGTAATAAACTTAAAACTGTTGTTGAAGAACATGTAATTACATTAAGAGAGGAAGCAAAAACATTAAATGATTAAAATGAAGCTCTCTATTCTTGGAGTAATTTATAATTATTTATATTATTTAGATGGATTAGGATCTGCTAGTGAAGAAGATATTTCTTAATTTAAATTATTGAAGTATAACAATGAAATCAGATAAACCAAAATTAATAGAGAAATTGAAGACATTGATAGAAAATTCTTGCCAAGACTTTAAAATTCTTTGTTTGAAATAGAATGGGCATTGACAGCTTGTAAAAGAAGAAGAAATCTATAATAATAACTATTAATTGATTAATAAAGAATTGAATAACTTAAAATGTAATACACAGATAATTCAAGCAGAGTATTTATTATAATCATTTTAAGAGAGATTTAGAAATGGATGTACTCAAAACTAAATATCAAAAAAATAAAGATAAAAGTGATAAAATGTCTATTATCATGTAGGATGAACTATTGAATTTTATCACAGAAATGAAACAACAATTAAAATCAATTATAGAAGAATGGAGAACTATTATGAAGAGTTTATCCAAAAATGTTATTGAAGATGATAATGATTGAAATATATATGTATATCTCAAGTTTTAATTATTTGAGTCTGTTTTATTGATGATTTACTTAAAACTAATGTTTAATTACTTTCAAATTATTAACATATATCAGAATTGATATGTAAGAAAATTAATTTTGAATCTTTTTATAGGTCATTTTGTATCCTTTAAGTTCTTAAAGTCTAACAATTTTTATTAATTTTAATTTACATTATTCTTTAAATGGGAAGTCAATGTTCTTAGGCATAATCAAATAATACCGTTATTTAAGAAGAAAAGAATGAAATTAAAAATGTGGTTTAGAATTAGACACCTTGTGCATACGTTTTCACAACGAAATTGAAATTAAATGTGGAAATTGATAAGGCTTTATAACCACTTAAAGTGAATGATTCAGTTTTAGATATAACAACTGAGAGAAATTTGCAAGAATCATAACAATAGAAGTTTGATTAAAAAATTACTCAGTTAGTTATTATCAAGGAAGTATTTTGATGAGACAATGACAATAAACAAATCACACAATTTAGTTTATTCAAATACAGGATTTAACATTCTCTCAGACTTATGTCCAAGTGAAGTAGTGTCATAGAAACAAAAAAAATAAAAAAATGTAGAAGAATTTGATGAAGACTATGATTAAATGTGTAAAAATGATTTAGATCAGTTTAAATTTTAGCAACCTGCAGTTATGAAATATGTAGATAAGCAATCACAATAATAATAGAAAATGTAGTAAAAATTTATTTATTGAATAGTGCTGTTGAACAAAGAAATCTTAAAAAATGATTTATAAAATATAGATTTATTAAATGATTATAAATTGTTATATAAGAAATGCTAAAAGTTAGATAATATCTCCCATGTTTTCTAAAGTTATTAATGTGAGTCACTACAAAAGAATTTCAAAAGTCTTATCTGATATGGTTTCTATTAAGTTAGCTATGATGAGTATATTCTCATTTTTATTAAAGGATTGAATAAGGACAAATTCTTAATTCGAGATGGAAAAGAATTAAACACAAAGAACATAACAGGGAGTTAAATCTGATATGTGTTGTTATATAGGGAATGAAATTAAAATCTTAATAAAAATTCATTGTCCTTTATCAATGGCAAAAGAATTAATGATGCAAAGCTTCACGACAACTGATTCTTTTATCGGGATCAATTTCAAGCATTTTTTATAATAAATCTCTTAATAATGGATCAAGTATCAATTCCCTTAATGGTTTCTGATTTTCAACTCTAGCAATGCTCTCTTTGCTTGTGTGTTCTTAAGGCCAGATGTAGTATTTCCCATTTGTTGAATTCTTTGTGAAACATTATTTCAAAGATCCTTTGACATTACTGGCCATCCAATAAGGGAAGTTTTGATCAGTGATCTTTTCAACCAAAGCCATATGTTCATATTCATTCTTTCTTGTTTAAAATAATAAGTGTCCTAAATTAGTTTAAATAAATCATTCCTACCTAAATACATTTCAGCGATGATACAGGCAATTCCCCAAACATCGCTTTTGTGATTCCATTCACCACATTACAACTAGACCTCAGGAGCTCTATATTGACGTGTATTAATAATACAATCATGTCCTTCATAATCAAAAACTGCTCCACCAAGGTCTATGATCTTAATTCTATCATCTTAGGGTAAGTATCTAATAAAAAATTAATATTAAATATATACAAATCTTATTATCCTTTTCTGAATTTATAATTTTTACTGAAAAGGATATTCTCAGGTTTTAAATCAGTGTGAACAATTTTTAAATCATGTAATTAACCAATATACTTTAATAATTATATGCTTATGCTTCTTAATAAAGTCATAGGAATTCTATGATTTTTATTTAATTTCATCAACTCATAGAGACTTGGTCCTAGCTATAATTAAATTATGGCAAATTATTACTCTCTCAAATACCATACAATAATATCGTCTATGATGGAAACATTCGTACAATTCCACAAAGTTACGATTAAGTCCTTTTCTCTTTAAATAAAACAAAACATCAGCTTCTGATTATGCACTTTCAACATGATTTCGTCTGACGATTTTAAGGGCATATGTTTTTGAATTTCTTCTCTTGACTTTCAAGACTCTTCCAAATGTACCATCAAAAATATGTCTTTTGACCTTGTAATCTCTAATATATTCCCCTTTTCTGTATTTATAATGTTAATCATCATCACTAGAAGAACTTCTATTAGATTCTTCATCAGTCACTACAGAGGAAGTTGTAGTAGAACTATAAGAAAATTATATTTGAGATTCTTACTATTTTTATTTACGATTAGATCGTCTATTTGAACGTCTGCGTGATTCTCTTGAGACCATTTTTTAATATTTATATTTATTTATATTTTTAATAATTAAATATTTTTTAAAGTTGGACTAAACATTTTATAAACTTACTATTATTTATTTTACAACATTCTTGTCATTAAGAATGTTTTATTATAAATTAATTATTTCATAATACAATCAAGATACCTATGTATATTAATTAATAATCATTCTCATTTGATTTTATAAGAATTGACATTAAATAGATTATATACAATAACATATGTATTAAAAAAAATAGATCATTCAATACTTCAAACCCGCCTTAATTTATTTTTCATAACAATCCTTGTATAATATTCTAATCAATGCTAATGAAATAAAAGCTCCAATAAATGGTAATCCAGCATATATCCATAGATTCCAAAATCTAGCCCAATGGCCATCTTTACAACATTCAAAAAAGACAAGTCTAGAAATTTTGATTTTAAATATATACCCAAGTGCAATAGCTGGATTTAGACTACTTTTAGCAACATAACTTAAAGTTCTACCAACTCCATATAATCCACTAATAACTATACTATGTTCCAATCTATCAGCTGTAAAATCCATTAGATCATCATATTAAAAGAGAAATCCAGCAGTAAGGATAAGTGTTCCTAAGATTTCTCCTATAATAACAGCAAAATATTCTTCGAAAGTAGTTTAGGACAAATATGGAACTTCATTAACACTATAAAATAGTCTATAAAAATGAATACTAATTCTTAAAGCATAAGAAACCTATCAAACTTGCTAGAAATGCTCCTCCAAATTAACTTGCAATAGCCACTGACACCCATAAACCTTTATCATTCCCAGATAATACAGTAGTAATTGCAGGATTGAATGTACATTTTTGATTTTAAGCAACTAGAATTAGCATACCATATGCGCAAGTGAAAACAAAGATATTATTACTTTTTTAATTATAATAAATTATACTTGCTTGCATAGATAGAAAAAGCTAGCATAAATGTGCCTAAGAATTCAAACCAAAATATATAAACAGCTTCTTTTTTCATTTTCCCGACCTTTGTTTAAGGCATTCCATCTACTTCCCATTTTATGGGTTTATTTAATGAGCTGTTTTCTTGATTCACCAAATCACTATAGTTTTGTTATTATTCTTCCATTAATCAATAATTATTTTTATGTACAAAAAATTCTATAAACAAAATAAAATATTTTATTCAAATGATTCAGGTTCATGCTGACTTAACAAAAATCTATACAAGAGAAAAATAATTTATAACTGATTTAGATGGATATAATTTATAATGATAATATAAATTATTATAAGATTTTTTTGATGGAGATGGTTAATAAGGAGTAATTGAAAAAGCTCAACAATTAATTCAAATCAGCAAATACAGTATATGCAAAAAGTCAAGTTGTGAATTAATTGTTGAATTCAAATTAAGAGATTTTAAACATGTAAAAAAATAATGAGAGTTTATTTTAGGTTCGGATAATCAAGTTAAATGAAGATGATTACTTAATACTTGAAAGAATCTTTGAAATGCATTTCAGCAAATGAAGAACTTGTAGATAAAATATTTATGTTATTGCTGAGAATGAATTTAAATGATGAAATGCTTAGAGAATGTGAGATGGGACATTTGTTAATAAAAATAAAAGAAAAAAAATTATTGGAGAATTAACGATCTAATGTTGGTGATTAACTCTAATAAAAATGGTTAAGAATTAATGCAATGTATAGAAATGCTTTAGAAGAAATAAAAAAAAATATGAATTCAAAGGATAAATATGAAGAGCGTAAAAAGAAAGTAAAAAGAAATTAATCATCAAGTTCAAATGAATCATCAAATAAAAAGAAAAAAAATAAAAAGAAAAGTGTTAGGTATTAAATTTAAGAAATTATTAGATTTGCAAGAGATGGTATACTAATAAATTATAAATATTTTAAAAGAGATGATGAACCTAATTAAAGAGGAATGACAATTGAGGAAGTAATGGCTTTTCAAAAATAATATCCAGAAGAATTGAAAAGACTTAAATAAATAAATGGCTATGATATAAAACATAGAGAATCTATAATGGAAGGATAAGAACATAAATTATAGTTAGATAATATTTAACATATGATAGAATAAATTCCATTTATAAAACCTTTTAGTAAGTTATACATAAAATAGATTAGAATTACGTCCAACCTTTTTTGAACCTTATGATACTAATTTCAAAGAGACTTAGAGATAATAAATAAGAACTGAATCTAAAATGTCAGCATTCTATAATAGAGATGTAAATTTTTTTATTAATTTTCATTTATAATAGATTCCAGAATAGCCCGGTTATAATGAAATTTCAAATACACAATCCGGTATTCAACCTAAAATTATTCATTTGGATCCTCCTAAAAGAGAAGATCTAATGTTTATGGTTTAAGTCATCTGCAATCGTGGTTTTACTGAACTTTAAGAAAAACATAAAAATGCTAATAAAAAATAAATCAAAGGCATTCTAAAGAAAATTGAAGAAGAACAATCATAAGAAAAGGATGTTATACTCAATTAGGCTAAATAGGATCTCTAACCAAAAATGCAATAATTGGTTTAGATGGTTGAGTAAAAATAAAATCATAGCCAGGAAAGCATTCGTAATATTATTAATTTATTTAAGTAACTTTATTACATGATATTATATAAAAATTAAAGGAAATTGGTGAGGAATAATATATAAAAAATTTTAAATCAATCCTTGAAAATAAGTTGAATGACTAATAATAAATTATAAGTGAATAGGAACGTTTTAAATCCCAATAAGAATTGTAGAGAATTCGAATTGAACAATTATAAACTATCAATCCTGTTCAAGCTCAGAGATTAAGAGCATACAAAACCAAAAATTGTCACAATTATCATTCTTCTATTGGCTGTACTAGAGGAGATAATTGTAATTTCATTCATGACTCTCGTTTTCCTGGAAAACCTGCTCCCATTCTTTAACATCCCAATTTCCTAAATAAAACCCTTTAACATTAGCCATCTATGCAATTAATCATCCCTCCTCTGCTTTAATAGCTAAATCCTGCCATATTACTTGGAAAACTTAAAAAGTATGACAGTTTATGAGTTGATATTTATTAAAAATACATTTAATATGCTAATTTAAAACTTCCTACTTTTCTTAGTATTCTGATTATAATTTCTTACTCAAAGTGTTATTTAATCTATCTTTTAGAAATTTTAAAATTCATTATGAAAGTATCAATATATATATTCACATATTAACTTAATTCATGATCTGAAACCTTGTTTCCTAGCAAACCATCCAACTGCAGCAAATCCGACTAAAGTGATTATCCCAAAAAGGACCACATTGGAAAGGAAGTCTAGAATCATTATACAAAATTAATTATTTAATTACAAATGTCACTTTATTAAAAGTTTATTATTAAAAACCAATTCAATAATTAAATTTCAATACTTTAATTAATTAATTATTTTATATTCATTTGTATTTTAAATTATTAATACTTTTATAAAAACTTAAACCTCTTCAAACCATTTTTTTCTTTGTTAATCTTACTACATATGCTTCTAAAATATTGCTATCATTTTAATATACTTGATTCTAAAACTTATTGTATTATTTACTGTATAAATTTCAATCAGAAAACCAAAATATGGGAAAATACGCCAAGAAAAAATTAAATAATGACAATGCATAAATTAAATCAAGATTTTTTATTTATTTGGCAGATGAAATTTAGAAAATATATGTTTTGGAGCATTTGGATCATTTGGAAAAGTAATTGCTGCTAAAATGAAAAAATAATCTTATTTAATAATATGCAAAACAAAAATATTGAGAAAAAAAAAGTAACCTTATAAAAACAAAATAAACTCATATATTAGTAAAGATGGATTCGTTAAAGTATAGCATTTTTTATGAAATAATATCTAAAAAATCATATGGAAGGTAATATGAGTAAATAATTTAGAATATATGCCATAGCCTGTGTTCATAATAAAGAAGTTGTTAATAGATATAAAAAGAGAAAATATTATATTATTAAAAAATGTGCTTTTTTATATCTGATGAAGTTTAAAATCTTTTTTTGGAATTTATATGTATATGGCTCCAAAAGTTATTTCATGAAAATTTGATAATAGGCATATTGTTGTTTACAGTTCATAAATTATTATTAGTTTAAAATAATATATATTACTTTCAGGTCATATGCCTTTCCATTGTGAAATTAATAAGTAAATTATTATGAAAGTTTGATGTTTAGATCACCTTTATATGTAATCCTTAAAAAAATGTAAGTAATGACAAAAAAGGTATCATTTGAGGGATGTTACAAGAGAATCTTAACAAGAGACCTTTTGCAAAAATTAATTAAAACATGATTGGTTATACATAAATTGTCGTTTTCGAGGAAAAATTTCAATTCGATCACAAAATTTTTTAAAAATTACCCTACTCATTCTGATAAGATGCTTAAATAATTCTTTTAATGAAAAAACAAATTCAGATTGGAAATAATGACAATTTTGATAAAATAATAAAAATGAATAAGGAATGAGTATTTAATTAGAAAAGTTCAAATAAATAGATATCGATAATTCTGGAGCAACTACAATTTTTGATTAATTTGATAAAATATTCTTTGATTAATGGTATAATTACCAGTCAACATAAAATGAGAGATGAAATAGATCCTAAAATAAATTTTCAGATAATACAGAGTATTATTCATATATAACATTTATATGTCAGAAGAGTGGATGTCATAAAATAATAGAAGGAGCGTTAGATTAAGGATCTTTAGTTTCATCTTTAAATTCTAGAGTTTATTAGATTCCAGCGACTCCCATCATTTAACAAAAAGCATCAAATCCAATTTTATTCTCATTGTTTGGATCAATTTCAGAAATCATTTCGTTAATTTTTTCTAATGGGATAGAACGTCCATGTCTAGCAAAAGATTCTTTAATTGCTTCTCTTGATAAATGATTTACATTTTAAGTGTCAAAATATTTAAAAATTGACCATAATTTTTCTCTTGTAAATACACGTCTTTCATCGATACAAGCAGTTAAAAAATCACTATACTTAATTACTAAAGGTTTAGTTGTTGTTTTATGAGATAAAGTAGCTGTTTAATCTTCTAACTCATTTATATCAAATCCAATATTTTCCATAATTTCTTCAATTTCTTCTATAGTTGCTAAAGAGCCCTTATTAATATTTTAAATAAATACTTCCTACATAAGTGCATGATGTAATTCTTGTACAGTAATTGTACCAGAATTATCAACATCAATATTCTTAAATATTTATTATAATTTTGCTAAATCCTTTTCATTCATCTAATTAACTAGAACTTTCATGACTTCTCTTTTAAATTTGGCACCAATTCGATAAGTCTTAAGCATTTAATACAATGTCCTTTAATCATCATCAGATTAAGTTCCTGAAAATCCAGTACTCCTTCTTGGAGGTTTAAAAAGTCCATCTTTAAATAAAAGTTAAAACCATGAATGATTAAGACATTCCTTAGCTGAATATCTTAGTTATGGGTTTTTATTAAGCATTCTTTTTAATAGATCTTTTGCTTCATCGCTAATAATTCTCCAATGCCTTTTATCAAATATTAACTAAAGTATAATTAAAATTGTATACATTTTGATATTAAATATTTTAATATAGTTCCTATCGATTCCGACCATAAAAAGGTGGATATCCAACAAGCATACTAAACAATAAAACTCCAAGACTCCAAATATCACATTTTTCATTGTATGTACCTTCAATTACTTCAGGTGCCAAATAGACAGGAGTTCCAACCCCAGCTTTTAATTTACTATATAATTAATGAGGCTTTCTTACTTATAGCTAAAAGCATCATACTTTACTGAAAGCCCAAAATCTATTAGTTTAGGCTCAGATCTGATATCAAGATCTGTAAACATAATATTCTCTGGTTTTATGTCTCTATGTATTATTCCTAATTCATGAATGTATGCAACTGCCGAAATGATCTATATATATCATAATCAATTACTTTAACCATTATATCTCTGGCTTAACTTTCATTATATGATTTTTAATTTTTAGGCACGCTATCCGTAAGCTCTCCTCCAATACATTTATCCATACATATATAGAAGTATAATTCACTCTAATATACTTCATGGAATTTGATAATGTTTGGATGATCTAATCTTTATAATACATAAATTTCGTTAGCAAGCATAGTTTCCCTTCCCTTCACTTTTTTCTTGTCAATTATTTTTATTGCATACTATTTTTCTCCGTTATTTCGCCTTTTTGCTGTCAGAACTTTACCAAAAGCGCCTATTCCTAACACTTTACCAAAAGAAAATATTTTATGTATATCAGCTGTTGACATAAAAATATAATCTCTGTTTGTTGTCTGCATTGCAACAATTTTATTTACACCTTTAGGCTAGAAACAACCCATTATTTATTTTATATTATACTTTTACAAGATCTTGAATTTGCTTAAATTTCAAAAAATAAACTCATAAATCATATTCGTTTACGGAAAAATATCAATGGGTTTTGAAGTGTATTAAAACCTATATATATTAATTAATTTATTTAAATCATTTCTCATTATGCAAAAATTCAATGTATTTTATTATAAGACTTAGTCAATTTCATTCGATACTGTTATCACTTTATTGATAACTATTTACCTTATTGTCATGCCTTATAAAATTAATAAAATTTTACTTGATTGATCCTCAATTCTATAAAGATGGTCCAAACATTCTTGATCTTAAAATTCCTATTTTTGATAAAAACTCTTTACTGTTCTTTGCTTATTCAAATTAATTTTTTTTAAATGAGGAAAAAGCTCATAACAAAATTAGGATAATATTAAGATTAAATTTTCTATCTTTAAGAATTTTTTTTAATGTTTTAAAATTAGAAACATAAAATGAGCGAAAAATATAATTAATTTCATCACAACATTCTTTATTTTTGATTTAAGATATGAAATAACAAGTATGATTAAACCCCATGTAAAATTGAACAAAATTTCAATAAAATTAAAATAATCTCAAATATGCTGAATTATAGAGATTTAAAATAATTTTGTTATTTGGAAAATTTAATAGAGTTGATAAAAATATCCTCCTTGAATATGATTGAATAAAACTGAATTATTAAAAAAAAATGCAATTTTATTTTAAAAAATAACATATAAGATTAACGTAAATTAGTGAATATCTATCAAGTTGGGTCAAATATCAAATCTTGCTTATTTCTCAGGATTTTAGCTATAAAAATAATTATAAAAAAGAAAGAAGTACAGAATGTTTGTTGTAAACTTAATCGAGAGTAAAATGAAAGATATCTATAAATTTAAAAAAAAAAAATAATTATATATAAAATAGAGTGCATAAAAAATGAAAAATTCTAAATTTAAGACAAAATTATTTAAGGAAAATATGATATAAAACACAAAGAGATTTGTGAGATATTTTTATCATTCTAAAATTATATATTTCTTAATCTAGATCGGGTTTTTTTTTTTTGTTGTATTAATTTGTAAACTGAAATGAGATTTAAGTAAAATTATCTCATTGTCTCTTGATTCAAGCTTCTACAGAGTTTAAAAAAAAATATTTATAAAAATCGTTGAATAAGTTTTAAAAAAAAGTACAAAAATAGTGAAAAATAAATTTTACTCTGAAATTAAATATTGATATAATTAGATAGAAAATTAGCTCCCTTTAAATTATAGTGGTAATTATATAATGTGAATTTTTTAATTATCATGTGAATCTGCATTTGATTAAAAGAATGATAATAATTTAATTCAAATATTTATATAATATATGGGAGATATTTAAGGAGAGAGTGGGCAAACGTTAATTTAATCTGAATCAATAGGGTTCTTTGAGCAAGTGAAGCAAATTATTTTTCAAGTTCTATTTGTTTTACGTAAAGATGAAGAATCAGAAGAGTCTTAAATATCATTTTATATATAAACTGGGTTGGATTACTTTTAAATGCATACTTTTCCATTTAATAATAGTATATACTACTTATGGAAGGCAGATAATGTGATTGGGTTTGTTCTAAATTTTGTAAACCTTTTTTAATTAAGTACATACATTCCAAATATTTCTTATTTTGCTCTTTTATCATCAGTTTATATTTTACTTGTAATAATATTACTAATTATTTTGGATATTATATATGTAAGTTATTCATTTTCTAAAAATTAATTTGCTGCAACATGGCCTTTAGTCGTTTTAAGATCAGTTACTTCATTAGTGGTAACTGTATTGTTTTTGCCAATAACTGAAACATTATTTTCTATATTATAATGTGAAACAGATCCTACAACTGGTGAATATATAATAGGTGGATATAGTGAAATATATGTTGTTTGTTGGTCAGGATGGCATACATTTCATGCATTATTAACATTATTATTTATGTTTATGTTTGTAGCAATTTGTGCTATAGTAGCATATGCTTTTTTTGAACCAGGTATGATGAGTGATGATAGAACAGCAAGATAGGACAGTAAAGGTGAAGTTGCATTTATTATAAACAAAGTTACATGTTAAGTGTTATATTGTTTTTTAGGAGAGGGTTAATCATGGGTATTAGTATTGGCTACATTTTTAATGGCTGTATGGTTATTTTGGGAATATAATTTTGAAGATCCTTATTATGATTTTGAAGTTGGAAGATTTTACTCAATAATATCTAGTTATTATTTATGGGCTAACATTTTGTTATTAATGTGTAAGATATTTGAAAATCAAAAATTTAATGGAGGATTTATTGCTTGGTTAATTGGGTTACCATTTATAGTTTCGATCATGTTAATGACTAAAAAATCTAAAATAGATACATTGATTAAAGTTTAAAAGAAGATTAGAAGTGGTAAAGAGATATGGGCACATATTCGTTATGTTTTATAGTTGATTTAATAATAAGAGAAAGATAGAAATTCATATATGCTATTAATTGGATATATTGAAAAACATAAAGAAACTTGTAAATATAATGATTGCTATTTCAAATTTAGTAGAAGAAGAAATAATGAATTAGATATGAATGATATGATTAGAGGTTTAATTTAAGAACTTGAGAAGATGTTTAAAGACGGAATTAAGAAATTTCCAAAAAGTGCTGAACTTAAGATCTTTTATGCATTGTTCATTATGGAAAGAAAAAAAAATAAAGAAGGAGCTTACAAATAATTTGAGCTTATAGATGATAAATGTAAACCAGCATTATATCAATAATTTATTAGATATAGATATATGTAAAATAGTTTATTTATTATTTTTAAGGAAAAGTATAAAAGAGAATAAGAAAGAAAATAAAGATGATGATATAGTTGAGGCTATCAAATATAATAATCATTAAACTATGTGTGAAAAAAGTATGCAATAATCAGCAAAATTATAAAAAGATTTTTGGGGAGAATTAAAAGAAGATCAACCTGATCTTGGTAAGTTGATGAAATTGGGTGCTGATATAACATATGTTACTAAAACTGCTAGATCAAATTATGAGGAAATGTAAAAAATATCATAAAATTTATATTAAAGTGTTAAAATTTACAGTAATTTTATTTTGTATGTTTTAAATGATTAAAAGTTAGGAGGAGAATTAAGAAAAATTGCATAAAACATTAAAGAAGAATTTTAAAAAGAATTTGGAGGAAGAAATGAATTCTTGAATATTGATAATTAACCCATTCCATTTATACAAGTAAGTGCTAAAAAAGCTGAAGTAGGAAAAATAGTTAATGTTAACACTTTATTTACTACATTTTTTGGTTATCAAAAAGAAGAATTATTAAATAAGTCAATTAATGTTTTGATGCCTAAACTTTATGCAGAAAAACATGACAATTATTTAATAGAATTTTTCGATAATATTGTATTAAATTTAAAATTGGAAGGAGAAATAGACAGTTAATATTTGGATACAGATTAAACTTAAATTTTTAAACATAAAAATGGATATATAGTTCCATTTGTATATCATGTTACCCTTAATCTAGAAACTATGAAATATTTGACTACATTTAAAAGTGAGAATACTATCAAAAGTTAAGTCATCCTTATTTTAGATAGTAGTTCGAAAATATTTGAAATGTCTTCAGGGGCAATAATCTTTTTTGATTTAGAACTTAAATAAATTGAAAAAGAAATTTATTTCAATAATTATATTCCAAATATTCTTTTATAAAATGACAAACACATTTAGTATAATCATTAAAGCAAAGATGGAATAGAATGTAATTTAATTATAATAACTTAGAAACATTCTATTTTTTATGTATGATTAAAGAAATAAGGCTTCCTTAAAGAATGGAAGAAAGTAACCATGATAAAACAAACTTATAGGATGAAAGTAATAATATAAAAACTGGGAAATGGTTGGTTAGATTAGAGAAATTAGAGAAGAATGAAGTTAACTTAGGTGGATAACAAAAGAAAAATAAAAACTTTACTGCTAGTACAAGATAATTAATAACAGTTACAAATGCAAATACAAGCAGTTATTCCAATTCTTAAAAATACCTTTAGACCTCAAAAATTTAAGTGAATTAATCAATTGATGGTCAAATACCAAAATTTGATACCAACTTAGAATTTGATTAATAATATGCAGTTTTTTTATCTGAACTTTATTCTGAACCTAGATTTGATGACTATAAAATGCTTTTAAATCAATAAGTAGAAAGTTATGTTAATCCAGTTGTAGACTATTCTTGTGACATTGTAATTAGAAGATTGATTAGAAATTAAATATTGAATATTGACGAGGAAAAAGAATAAGAATTTTTACTTTAACTTGAAGAAGAAGAAGAGGAAAATTCATTGTTTCGATTTAATTAAAATTAATATGAAGATGAAGATGATTATAAGATATTTGCTCATAGAAACTCTTAAGATCTTATTCGTAAAGTTCTTAATCAAGACCACAAACACATAAAAATAACAGAATTTAAAGTTTATTCAAATCTTTGGATATTCTTTATATTTTTTATTACAGTTATTTAATATTTATTCTGTTAGTCATATTTTATCTCATATAAAGAAAGCATACAATCAATTTACTTAGTGAATAATGAAATAATATAATAAAATTAAGTAATTTCAAGGGTTTTAGATTTATGTTTACCTTAATAATTTAATCTATCCTAATTATATAAAGAACTTTAGCTAGCTGCAAATAATGCAACTGCTTTTAATAAGTTTGTTAATTCTGCCTTATTAGATTATTATTTTGAAAATCATATTGTAACAATAAGATTTTATGATGAGAATGCTTATACTGAAATTGATATTAAATTGGAGAGCGCTATGTTATTAGTTGAATCTTTAGCACTAAATACAACACTTTAAGATAATTAGACATTCAATTACTAAAGCAATATCATATAAAATATTGTTTATAATCATTTTAATGTCATTAATAGATAAATTATCAATATCGCTTATGAATTATATTCAAATGTTGAAAATTAGATGAATCGATATGATACTAATTTGCTTATTACATTAGGAATATTAATTTTAGTCACTTCTCTTGCTATGACAAAATTCATTACCTTAATGTTAAGTATCAAAATGGATAGAGAAAATATTTTATTCTTATTTTTAGATATACCATAAAAACATATTTCTATTCTCTATAAAAAAGTTGAATATTTTATTAAAAATTATATTAGCATTGAAGAATTAAAAAGAAAAAATGAATTAGAAGGCTATGATTCAAGTGAAGAAGAATAAATTTAAGAGGATTAAAATAAAATATAAAATGATCCAGAAGAGGAAGAAAATTTTATATAATCACAATTAAAAAGAAAGAAAATTATTGAAAAATATAGAAAAAATAAATTTAAAGGTAATCAAGCGATTATTATTCAATTTATCTTCATAGCCCTTTGTACATTAATATTTGCTGTTTATAATATAATAAGTTCAGCTAGTGAAAGAGGATAAATTAGATACTTACTTCCTCAATACTTTTCTGGTTTTATGGATATTTCCGGATATGGAAATTATCTAAATACTTTTAAATTAGCAATTTTAGATAATGAATATAAATTAATCAATTAAACTGCATATGAATCAGCTTTTACCGAGATTAATACTTTTACAGGTAATCAATTACATTCTTAGGCTTTTGCTTCTGCTCTATTGAATTAATTACCATCATTAAGAAGTAAATATTTTGGAATTTACTATGGAGATATTTGTAATGAATTAGGGTACACAACAAATGATTCATGTTATTCTATTATTGAAGGCAATCTTGAATTAGGGATTTTTAATGTTGAATAATATTATTTATAATATTTTAGACATCAATTGTCTATAAATTAAAAAGGTTTGATTAGTTATGATCCTTATATATATGAGATTGATTCATCTATGTACAATTATGTTAGGGAAGCAGTAGATCGTTTACAAAGTTATTAATTATAAATGATGACAGATCAGATGGATGAAACATTAAATATATAACTTATACTTGTTATAATATTTATATTGGTGCTATTGTTAATATTCGTTATTTATTGGTTGCCATTTTTAACTAGTATTAATTCATAAGTATATTGAATTAAATAAATAGATTAACCAAAATATCCAAATGTTGAATATGATACCAATAGATGTAATTAAGGATAATAAAACCATTAGAAGATTTTTAAAGAATCTAATTAAAGATATGAATATTTAAGATTGAAAACTTTTTTATCGTTGCTATATGAATAGAAAGATTTTTTATAATTATTATCTTCAAAACCAAAATCTTTTTAATTTAATTCATTTATCAAAAGGTTGTTCTAAATAAAAAATAAAATTTAAATAAATTTTTTATATATAATTGGAAAAAAATTTTATTAATAATTTTATTTTAAACATAATTTAATCAAATTAAATTCTTGAAAAATTCAATTTATATTTTTACTAGGAGGAGGGCTTCTCTTGATTTATATTTGAAGCATAAAATAATTTGCATTAGCTAATATTTTTTACTTAAAAGAACATAAAAGTTTTGTATGATTAAATTTGAAAAAACAGATGTGAAATTTTAGAATATCCATTTAAAAGATTTATCCTAGGAATATCTATAAAAAGATTCAAAAATCCATCAAAATAAAAGATGTTTCCAAAAATTACAAGTTTAGGAGAAAATCTATATTTATTCAATTTTCTTTTTATTACTTATTCAATTATTATGAAAAATAACTTGATTTTTCTTTTGAAACCTATAAAAACTGGGATAATAAGAATTCTAATATTCTCTTCAATTATTTTCTTAGTTCGGGAAAGAATTTTTATTAAAGTGTAATTTTCCTTCATCTTTTATTCGATCTATTTATCCAGAATACTTACTGTAATTGGAAATTAAAGTCAAACTGTAATAGTTCTATTAAAAGAATACGATAAATTTCTCAGAGAGTGTAGCATAGTTGATATATATAATTTGATGATGTCATATTAATATTAATAAAATAAAAGACAAATGTTGAAAATTCTTATTCTGCTATCTCTTTGTTTATTCACTTTGGCATAGTGGCAACTCGTTAGTGAAGATTTGATGGGTTTTTCGGTTTCCTCTTCGTAATGGAGTTTTAAAAATACGTGTGATTGGAATGGTGGTTCAATGGGTGGAGGTGGATCAGTTGATAATTGTTCTAGAAATCACATTTATTACATTTTAGTTGGGACTTATAGAATTAGAGCATTTTACTCTGCTTAAAATTTACCTCCTCATTATTAAGTCAAAGTTATAGTGGATGGTTATTTTTTAGACTCCTCTAATAGTAGGCTTTATTATATAGATTACGAAGTATAAGGATCAACATAAATATATGAATTAGAATACAGAGATAATATATTATAATCATATTAAGTTGTTTGTAATACAGGTTGGGATGATTTCGAAATACAAACATTCATAATGACTTTTAATCATAATGATAACAATGAAATTAAGTTTAGAATTTGTGCAGATAACTACAGCAGCGATAGAAATTATGGTACAAGAAGTTTATAAATATATGTTAATAAATGTCATTGGTCCTGCTTGAAATGTAATTCTGATGGTCCTGGAAGTTGTTTAGCTTGCTTTACAAATCCATCAGCAACTTTAGGATCAGCTACTTCTTGTGGGATTTGTCCGGATAACTATTAATTTATTGAATATATATATGATGTTAAAAGTTGTGTCACTGAATGTCATTATTATCGAGTTCCAGATTCCAATAAAGTTTGTTAATTTAATGAAAGTAAGTTATTAATCTATATTAGATATGCTTCCATATACAACATATTTTGACACTGCAACCTTTACTTCTACATCTCCTTGGGTATTCGTTCCTGATCCAATTAATTTTAATTTACTTTTTTCCCAAAAGATAAGCACAATAGATTGTTAATCCAGCAAGAATTTTGTTGGACCCTTCTAATATAATGAAGGATTTAGTGTAACTTTGTCTATCCCTTATAACATTTCGTATATAAGATTTAGAGCAACAATAATAAAATTTAACAATTGGGTTGATTATTCAGCAGTACATGTTTTATTAGATAATGTGGAATTTGCATCAGTTTATACTTTATCTTAGGTTCTTACAGGCAGAAATGCTGATAAATTATATTCAGATTCAAATTGTACAAGTCCTAATGTTGCATATTATAGATTAGAGGCTAAATTAAAATCAAATATTACTAATCCTATACTAACCTTATAAGGATCAATGGAGTATATATTAGTTAATAATTAAAGCTCATTTGGTTCATAATCCTGGGGTTTTCGAGATATTGTAATGGATATTATGAAATGTCAATAATCTTGTAACTGGTGTGATTTTGATTTGAAATGCTATTCTTGTTCAACAGGATTTTTATATAAAAATAGATGTGTACCTAGTTGTCCTCCATATGGGTTACCAACTACTGGAGTTTGTTAAGATTTGGATGAAGTAGTTGAAAGTATTATATTATACTAAATTTTTAGATTCCAGATATATAATAAAAGCATTTTATGACTCATCAAATACAACAGATACAGACATAAATAATATTGTTGGAGCAGTTTCAAATGAAGGAGCGGATTTTAAGACTTCAGATCGCTTTATTGGCACCAATACGCCTATTTATTTTAGCTACTATTTGGGTAAAAGAGTTTTAGGGGGTCCATTAGTCTGGTTTAAAGCTAGATTTAATAAACCTGTAGTTTCAAATCCACATTATGCCATTCGATTTAAATTTGTAGTAATATTAGGAGATGATTTTAATGGAAATTTCTAGTATAATATTGGAGGAATTACAGAAACACTAACAAGATCAGGTCGACCAGATGCTACTCCTAATGTTGGTAAGAATAATAATGATAAATATATTTTGGTTGATAAGACAGAACCACATTCCACACCTCTAAGTTTTTCTATCGAACTTAGATGTAGTTCAACAGAATCATCAATTATAAATAATTTTTGTATCGTTTATGATTATTTTATTTTGATTTTAGAAGTAAGTGATTAATAATAATTAGTGTACTTAATATTGTTTATCTTGTACTGGTCCGACATGGGGGTAATGCTTAGATTAATAATCATTACCACCTGAAATGTCATCACCATCAACATGCATTAATAATTCTTATTATTTTGATGGAACTGTTACTCCTGCTGTTTGTCTTCCATGTACTCCAACTTATTGTTTAGAATGCTTAAATTCATATATATGTACTAAATGCGCTACCAAATTCTATTTATAAAATGGAAATTGCCAATGTTATCCTTGGACATATTTAACAAATACAAATACTTGTGAAGATTGTCATACTTTATGTGATTCTTGCTATGGTCCTAATTCTAATCAATGTTTATCATGTAAAAATTCTTAACATCGATATTTGGATAATAATCAGTGTGTTTGTTAAAGTAATTATTATGATGATGGAATAAATTATAAATGTTAGTCCATCTGTGGTGATATGATAGTAACTGAAGGAGAAGATTGTGATGATGGTAACACAATTAGATTTGATGGATGCAATAATTGTAAATTTGAATGCTAGAAAGAATGTTAAACTTGTGTTAATGGGTAATGTTCAGTTTGTGCTCCTGGTTATACTCTTTAAAAAACAATGAAAAGATGCTTTCCTACTTGTGGAAATAATTCTATTGTTAGTGAAGAATAATGTGAAGATAATAATGTGACTCCTTATGATGGTTGTTTTAATTGTTTATTTTAATGTTAACCTTAATGCACAAATTGCATATATGGAAAATGTTATCAGTGTGATAATTCAATAGGTTATTACATTAATTTGGCTACTTTTAAATGTGTTACAGTTTGTGGTGATTTAATTCCTGCTGGTGGAGAAACATGCGATGATGGAAACAATGATCCATTTGATGGATGTAATAATTGTGCTTATTCATGTGATTCTTTTTGTGATTTATGCATTATGGGAGTTTGTACTAAATGCAAATAAGGATTCTATTTATTAAATAAGAATGGTAAATGTGCCCCTATATGTGGAGACAAAATTTTAACATACAATGAAGAGTGTGATGATGGCAATTTAATTAATTATGATGGTTGTGATTCATGTGATAAGACTTGTTAAGAATAATGTACTTCTTGTATTTTAGGAACTTGTTATGAATGCAATACACCAGGTTATTAATTAGACCTTAGACTCAAGAAGTGTATTCCAATTTGTGGGGATAATGTTTTATCTCCATTAATTGAATAATGTGATGATGGTAACTAAAGATTTGAAGATGGATGCTTTTAATGTAAATATGAATGTTAAGCTGAATGCCAAACCTGTGCAGCAGGTATGTGTTATAGTTGCAAAAAAAACTATTATCTTAGTTCTGAAAATACTTGTCTTCCTATATGTGGTGATGGGGTTATTACCAAATATGAATTATGTGATGATTATAACTTTGTAATTGAAGATGGCTGTTCAAACTGCACTTTCTAATGTGAAAAATCTTGTATTTAATGTTTATTTGGAATTTGCCTATCCTGTTAAAGCGGTTACTATTTAAATTAATCAAAAAAGAAATGTTTTCCTATTTGTGGAGATAAACTTATTCTAGGAGATGAATAATGTGATGTTGGTATTATTTAATTTGATGATCCAATTAAAAATAACACTGGATGTATTAACTGTTAATTCTAATGTTCTCCCTAATGTGAAATTTGTACCTAAGGTCAATGTTTAAAATGTAGAGAGTCCTTAGGATGGTATTTGGATGAAGAAACCTTATCTTGTTACAGTCTTTGTGGAGATTCAATAATTACTGATTATGAGGAATGTGAGGATTTAAATTCTTAACTAAATGATGGATGTACTTAATGTGTTTATACTTGTTCAGAGTAATGTTCTAAGTGCATTTTTGGATTATGCTAGAAATGTCATGCAGGATATACTTTAATTGATTAAAAGTGCGTATCAGTCTGTGGCGATGGAATAATTGCTGGAAATGAGGAATGTGATACAGGAATTATTACTTTTGATGGATTTGAATGTTTGAATTGTAAATACAAATGCTCAGAAGGTTGCAATAATTGTGTTTATGGCAAGTGTTTAGAATGCAAAAATAATTATGGATGGTATTTGAGTTTAAATGATCAATGTGAATCGAAATGTGGTGATCTAATTATCAGCGACATAGAGAATTGTGATACAAACTCAGAATCTTGTGAAAATTGTAATTTTGTTTGTGATGATAATTGTACTTAATGTAAATTTGGAATTTGTTAATATTGTAAAAAAGGATATTAATTATTACTAAATAAGTGTATTAGTATTTGTGGTGATTCAATTTAAACAAATATAGAAGATTGTGAAAATGATGATATAATTCCTTTTGATGGTTGTTATTTATGTTAATTTTAATGTCAAAACGAATGTTTACATTGTATCAATGGTGAATGTATATCTTGTAATGAGATTAATGGATGGTATCTATAAAATAAAAGATGTGAAACTAAATGTGGAGATGGGATTATAGCAGGATTAGAAGAATGCGATATAAGTTTGGAATTAGATAATGGAGACATATCAACTAATTAGTGTTTTAATTGTAGATTTTAATGTGTTTCAAATTGTTTAAATTGTGAGAGAGGAATTTGCAATTAATGTGAAAATGGCTTTTTTTTAAATGATTAAAATGAATGTGAGAATATTTGTGGAGACTAAATTAATAAAGATTTTGAGTTCTGTGATGATGATAATCTTGATGCATTTGATGGTTGTTTCTAATGTCAATATGATTGCTCAGCAGAATGTTAAGAATGTGCAAATGGTTAATGTTAATTGTGTTACGATGGTTTCTATTTGGATAATACTAATTGGCAATGTAAGTCTATTTGTGGAGACATGAAAACAACTTAATATGAAGAATGTGATGATGGCAATGATATACCTTATGATGGATGTTACAATTGCAAATATTCTTGTACTGAAAATTGTTAAAATTGTATAAAAGGAGTTTGTTCAAGTTGCAATTAAGGGTATGTACTCTCATTTCCTAAATGTATGGTGGATTGTAAAGATCTAATTAATGGGTAGAATTAGGATAAATGTTATTAAAAAGAATGTTAACGAGAGTGTTTGATTTGCGTAAAGGGTGATTGCTTTTAGTGTTAAAATGGATGGTATTTAAATTAAATAGAACATACTTGTGAAAGTATGTGTGGAGATAATATAATAGTTGGATTAGAATAATGTGATAAGCCTTAATTATTATTAAGGGATGACTCTTTTTGTAATAGTTTGTGTTAATTTATATGTCCTTATTACTGTGCTACTTGCTCATTTGGTATTTGTCATTAATGTTTGAATGGATATAATTTGGTAGAAAATGAATGTTAGAATAATTGTGGTGATGCCATTATAACAGAGATAGAACAATGCGATGATGGTAATAGCGAAGCATTTGATGGATGTTACAAATGTTCTTTTGATTGTTCTAAATAATGTGCATTATGTATTTAAGGAAAATGTGAGATGTGTTAATCAGGATATGAATTGAAAAATGGAAATTGTTTACCAATATGTGGAGATGGAATTGTTACAATAGATGAAGATTGTGATGATTTAAATTCTATAAAATTTGATGGTTGTAATTAATGTAAATATGAATGTGATTAGAATTGTATTTTTTGTGAATTTGGTTAATGTATATTTTGTTCAAATGGATATTATTTATAAGGTTAAATGTGTTTATCGATTTGTGGAGATGGGTTGATAGTTGGAAATGAACAATGTGATGATAGTAATTTAATTGATGAAGATGGATGTTTTGAGTGTCATTATTCTTGTCAACAATAATGTGTTAATTGTTAATATGGATCCTGTATATTATGTGATTAAGAAAAAGGATGGCATACAACACCTTAAGGAGATTGTTAACCCTTTTGTGGAGATTAAATAATAGCAGGAGTAGAATAATGTGACGATGGTAATGAAATTAATTTTGATGGTTGTTATGAATGTGAATTCATATGTTAAGAACCATGTACAAAATGTATTAATGGTTAATGTTATGAATGCAATACTCCAGGATGGAGATTAGAAAATTATTTTTGTTGGGAAATATGTGGTGATGCACTCAAAGTTGGTATTGAAGAATGTGACGATGGAAATGATATACCTTATGATGGATGCTTTTAGTGTAAAACTTAATGTGAAGAGGCTTGTACTGTTTGTTTGGATGGATAATGTGAATAGTGTACATTTGGTTGGTAATTAAATGATAAACACAGATGTGGAACAATTTGTGGAGATAAGTATGTCATACCTAAATTTGAAGATTGCGATGATGGTAATCTATTACCATTTGATGGATGTTATGAATGCAGTTATTAATGTGTTTAATTTTGTACTGATTGTAGAAAAGATGTTTGTTACGAATGTAATACACCTGGTTGGACTTATGATTAAAAAACATAATCATGTGTACCTATTTGTGGAGATGGAATTGTTAATGGATATGAAGAATGTGATGATGGCAATCTCATTGAAAATGATGGATGTAGTAATACTTGTGAATATTAATGTCATCTTGCTTGTCTTAATTGTGATAATGGTAAATGTTTAGAATGTGATCGTTACTTGGGATATTTTAAATCAAATAAATAATGTGCATCAGCATGTGGAGATGGATTGTGGGAATAAAATACAGAGTATTGTGATGATGGAAATCTTATCAATTAAGATGGTTGTGATAAGAATTGTAGAGTTGAACTTGATTGGTATTGCAAAAATGAAGCCTTACAAATTAGTATTTGTATCTATAAAAAACAACCAACTATTTAATTAAAGTTATTGTCATAAAAAGAAAGTCTTTCTGAAATTGAAGTGACATTTTCAACTTTAATGATGCTATAATCAAATATTGTTTTGATAGAAAATAATGAAACCAATCCTCTTAATACTGATTAAGCACTTTTCTTAATTAGAATAGATGAATTGACTGATGCAGATTATGAATACCAAATTGAACCTATTGTTAGTGTTTAAGATTTTCCTTAAGACATTAAATATATCATTAAGTTGAATCTTTTAAATAATGTTTCTTATGATTAAGTCAATATTTTAGTAATTGTTGATAAAAGGCTTATTATAACAGAAGACTAAGTTAATCTAGATAAAAATTCAGCTCAATTAAGAATACCTGTTCCTTATATTCAAAATTCATTTTCTTAAAAAGTAGTTGAACTATTTTCAAATGCTAATGAAATATCCATGTATGCAGCAACCGGTGTTTCACTGATTAGTATATTTTCATCAGGATATTCAAATCTTTTCATGACTCTAGATACTATTTAATACCTATATTACACAAGATATATCAATTTGGATTTCCCTGATAATTTACAAAAGAATATGGACAATCTAAAAAAATCAACACCGAGTTAATTAGTGTAAAATAAATTAGGCCAAACTGGATTACCCTAAACAATTACAACATAACCTAATTAAACAGTGGAAGAAATGCCAAATAAATTTAAATAAGATAATTTACAATACGAATTTACTTCGAATATAAAAATAACGGCTGTCTCACTATCAGCAGGTCTAACTATATTCTTAACTACATTATCCATATCCAAATTGCTACATTTAATTCCTCCACATAAATTAAATGATTTTGGTTCTATTATTGGTGGAGGCATTTTAAAAGTTAGGTAGAAATGTACTAAGCTCTCTAATGACTTTGTTTACTCTGGAGCTATTAGATTAATAACGATCAATTTTTATGAAATGCAATTTGCTTCATTATTGTAGCTAACACATGTTGATTTCAATTCTTATAATGATATCACTAATTCAAGTGGAGCAATTGCAACTTTAGCATTTAGTTTCGCTTTTACTAGTCTTCTTGTTCAGAAAATAAGATAAATCTAAACTAAATAATCTATCACAATGAAGCATTACATTCGCACATTATTACAATAAGATCATAAAGATCTTTAAAAATCAACATGGCAAATACAATATAATACAATCCTACTCGTAAAGAAATCGTTTTACATGTTTACGATTGTTTGTTTTTAAAGTTAAGGTCTTTATTAAACTATTGGTGTGGCCACATAAGCAGCAGCATTTGCTACTTATTTGGCTGTATCTTCACCATTTTCAAATAGTGAAGACTAAATCAAATAAATGATTACAGAATTAGGAATGTTAGCTAATTCTCTAAGTTTTTGTACATATTATACCCACGAATATTTTTCCATATCTTAAGAAAGTTTAAATTAAGTTGGATGGTTTAATATAGGCATTTTTACAACTGTATTATCTTCTAACTTGGCAGTTGATCTTATTACTCAAACGAAAGTAATATATAAAAAAGTGAAGAAAAAAATCAATAAATTCATTCAATCTTAAATGCCTTCATAATCAAGAGTATAACCTATATTTGTATGAATTTGATATGTTCATATTATTTTTTTATTTTTTAAATTTAGTTGTCAACAATTGAATAAATTGTAAATAAAAATATTTTCAATTCTTTTAGTGTTTTTTATTAATATAAAATTTTTAGTTATGAAAATATTATTCTGGTTGATCTCATAGTGCTATTTGTGGTTACCTCGAAAAATTCAGAAGTCTGTATAAAAATCTTTATTGTTACAACAGGGCATTGATTAAACCTAAAAAGTATAATTTCAAACTTAAACTAGATTGAGTTCTCAAATGGAGAAGTATAAAAGATCACAAATTTTGAAATAGCAAGCAACAATATTAAATTAATAAGTGTATGGAAATGTTTTATTTGTTTAGATTAATACAATTATAGTGATATTTATTGAAAAAATAATAAGCATTGAAAATATCATAATACTTATTATTCTGATTATAGTACTTTCTGGATAAACTTATTATTATGATAGAAACGAAGAAATTATTGTATATTATACACTTTTTTGCTATCTCTTTAATCTATTAATATCTCTTGGAAACATTTTAATAATAGCTTTTTAACGAATGACATAATAAAAAACAATTAACTCATAAAAATGTACTATTATAGCTAAATTTCCAGATGTTTCAGCAAAGAAACTCTTAAATAAAAACACTGAGTAAATTAAATAAATTATATATTAATAGATTGAATTCATATGAAACCATTTCTTGGAGTTAAATAACAGTGGGTCATATTATTTGTTTATAATAAAATGAATAGAGTCCTGCTGATTTATTGATTCTTGATTCAAGCAAAGAGCAGGTTCTAATAAACTTTGATTAAAGAAATCCATGTTCTTGTACTTTTGTTAGTCTAAATTAAACAATCAAAGGAAATATCTTAGACTTTAAAACAAAATTAAGTGGAACTATTTAATTCACTATTACTGACCTCTAAATATAAGGAACTATAAAATTGAAAAATGATCCAAAGCTTACTCCTTTTACTAAAAAGAATATGATTTAAAGAGGTGAAACTTTGGATTCAGTTGATTGGATATTTGGTATGGTAATTAGAGTAGGAAATGATTGTATTGCTTAATCTAATTTCTCTAATGAAAACGTCACGCATTCTAGTTGGATAAATAGTATTTATTAGAAAATAATACTTATTTGTATTGTTTTGCTTTTAATTCTATTTATTCCAAATATCATTTATTATTCATTTTAATCTTATGAGAAGTATTTTTATAGCAGTATTACATATTGTTTATTATTAATTCCTTAAAATTTATTATGGTTAAATTAATTATGGTTTCTGATCAATATGATAATAAACAATCGCATTTTTAATTAAAATTAACAGAACGAATGTGCTTAATAAAGTTCAATCAATAAATTATCTAGTGATTTTAGTGAAAATCAAGTAGTTATAATTTCTGAAAATGAAAAAAAAGTACTCTTACCAATTTAAAAGTAATTTAAGATAAATCTTTTACCAATTAAACAACCTGAAGCTGCTTTATATAAGATAAAGAAAAAAAATATGAAAGGATTTTTAACATTTTCAGCAAACAATATCTTAGATATGATTAAAGGAGATATAATCTTATTAGATAATCCTTAATAAATATTTAAAAATAAACCAAAAATTATGTAAATAATAACTAAAAATTAAAAGTAATATATTTTTAATTATTCTAAATTGTAAGAATTAGTTAAAAAGGCTTCTCCAACATTAAAAACTAATTATGAAAAATTAATAATTGATACAAATAGACAATAGACAAATGATGAATAGAAAACACAAGATTTAGACTTTTTATTAGCTGAGAAAAAAGTGCCAAATTTAAGAAATTCTAACGAGGGTTTACATCAAATGAAAAAACTTTAATTGGCATCAAGGGAAGAACTTGTAAGTAAAACATTATTAGGTACATAAAAGCAACCATTGCCAAAAAAAAAAAGTACTAGATATATATTTGATTAATCTTTTGCAAAAAAATCATCAGAAAAAATCGATTCTATGAAAGACCTTAATAAATTAAATAATAGTGCTACAAATAGTAATATGACACCTCCTGTCCCTGGTTCTTTATAGAAATAGAGAAGCTAATTTTTTGGTAGAGGAGGTACTTTGATAAAGTAATTTAATAATACTTCTTCTTTATAAATATCTCCAACAAAATAAAATGAAGAATAATAAGGAACAGACAGATTAATTGGAGATTATTTTAATGAATAAGATTTTATTGATCAATTGTATAAAAAGGAGGATACTCTTCATAATGAAATTTTATTAATGATATTAATTACTAATAACATTTTAAGTGTTTTTGATGATGAAACAAGAAAACTTCAATTTAATTACGGAAATAAATTTGATGAATCATTATTAGAGTTTACAAAAGTCTTCAATTATTAATTATTATGTAGTACTGAGATTGAAAATTCAAGATTAGATTATTAATTAAAAAGTTATATAAAAAAAGTTATATCTATAGAAAATTAGGTAAAAGTTTTTGAAATTTTGGCTTTTTTAGAGCCTACTGAAAATAGAAAAAATACTCTATCTGTTTTAGTAAGGGATCCTGAATCATTTTTATTAGAAGAAGGTTCAATTTTATACACAAGAATTTAGACTAATGAATTAAAAGATATAATTAAAGGAAATAATGATTCTATGAATAAGAAACCAGAATTTTATACATAATATAATGAATTACTTTAAGAACTATTGTGGGATGGCTAATAAACTTTTATATACACTAAACGTTAGTTGAATCAAAATTAAACATAAGAATTTTTGTAGAAATTGTCATAGTTACATGATGCTTATGGAAATAGGTCTTCAGAAATTGAAATTGAATACTAAAAGTTAGAGTAGTAAAATGAAATTTTGTTTTGTATCGGCATCAGATCAGGCTATCATAATAATTAAATTCAAATATCATCGAATGAATTTTATGTAGACTCTTTGAAAGAAGATAAAATTTTTTAAACTCTCTAAATGTAAAACATTAAAACTTGTTTAACAACATCAAAGTCATATGAAGAATTAATTATTTTTCTTAGATCTCATTAAGTAGTTTAAAAAGAATAAATCGTTCATTTTTATGAAAGAGACATTTAGCAGTTATAATATAGGTTTAGATAACACATTTAATATTTGTTAGAAGAATAAGATATCATGGGAAGTGATACATAAAGACATTTAGAAAAGTATATAATAATAAGTAAATAATCATTTAAAATAATACTCTAAGATGATTATCTAAAATACCATTTTGTATTTATAACTTAATTTGCTAGTGGCTTTGGAGCATATGAATTTAATGGTAAATGCAATGGATAACTTATTAAATTGCTTAAATTAAACAATAAAAAAATCATTGCTATTGGTAACTCTTTACAAAACAATTATTTATTTAATAAATCAGATATTAGTTTTACTTTAGCTCAAAATAATCCATTCTATTGCATAAATTAACCAAATTTTGTTGTCAAAAACATTAAACAAATATTTTAATTATTTTTCTTTTATTGTACTCAGTATTTATAGAATTACATATCTTTATTAGAAATTTAGTTATACAGAAGCATTTTAATAGGCTTATCAGTATTTGGCATAAGTTTTTCTTAAAATGATTTAGACTTGTTACATTTAATAATATTTTTTCTTATTCCAAGTAACTTATTAACTTCTATATTCTAATAATATTTGTTAATAACTTAAACAGATTATGATAAGAAATATTTTACAAGTTTTACAAATAGATTGTTTATATTAAAAAATGAAAATATTTTTAAATAGATATGTAAAATAATAATAATTGCAATATTTGATTCATTATTTGTAATTTTATTAGAAAAGACAATAATTCAATTAACAAATAATGATGGTAAGATAAACTAAACAAATTAAATTGTTTTGTTATATACAGGTATTGAGCTTTTAGAGAAAAGTAAACTATTATTTATTGTGTTTGATTTGTTTAATGATATTTTGTATAAATTAAAACAGATTCTTATGATAGTATGCTTAACATTGATTTTATGTATTTGCTATTTGATAGCACAATCAATTTAAGATGAATAGTAGATTTCATAGTAATTCAATAATGCAGGATTATTGATTTTTACATTTATGGCAATTTTTTTAGTAGGTTAATCTTTTGTAGTTTATTTATTACTATAATTGAATAATATTGAGTTTTCATTTCCAATAGATAATTCATAATTAGATATTCATATGAAAGAGATAAATAATATAAAGTCGAATCTTAGTTTTGAAACTAATGAAAAAGGTCAATTTTAAAAAATCAAGAAAATGATAGAAACATTATTTGAGAACAAGGATATAGTTGATGAATAAATAACAAAATTTATTAAAGTAGATTAGACAACAATTGATTACATGGATAAAAATCATGGATTTTATGATAGGAGAACTGAGAATGATTTTATGGATTTTTTTAGATAATAAAAATGGTAAAAGTATAGTTTATTTTATGTGTTTATATTTTATGAGGTAACAATATTTATTTCTCGTCTTTATGAAATAACGATGAATAACTTTTCTACATCAATCCTAACAATAATAATAATTTAATTAATAATGTAAATGCTTATAGTTATATTATAATTTAAATTCATTAACAATAAAACTTCACATGAATAATTATAAATATTATCATTTGGATTACGATTTGTTTTTAAAGTTTTAATAGATTTATTGTACTTGGATCATAGGAAAGAGTTTACTGCTTTTCTGTATCATACTTTATTTATTATATCATTTGCTCTTACAACTTAACCAAAGATCAATATATATTTATATGCTGCTTTGTAATTGATTATGTATCTTTTTAATTTAGTTTTGGATGGATTCACAATAAGATTTGAGAATGTTAATGAAGCTATATATTGTTCTTTAAAATATTTTTTTATAATAATTGAGATTTCCTACCCTATATTTAATTACATATAGAAAATACAATTTTTATAAAGATCCTCATATGTTTATTAGAATAGATTAAGTAAGGAATAAAAGAAGATTAATAGTGTATTAGGTTTATTAATGCCTAGATTCATATAAGAAAGAATGAATAAAGGATAAATTCAAATATCATAAGACTAAGGAGATGTAAGTGTGTTATTTTGTGATATTTACTAGTTTGATAAAGTAATTAAAGATTAATAAGAGAAAATATTAGAATTTTTAGATACAATATATCGAGCCTTTGATTAATTATGTTAAAGTTATGATTTATAAAAAATTGAAACTGTAGGTAAAACATATATGGCAGCAGGAGGACTTAAAGATTATGATGTTGTGATAAGTAAGTTTGATATTTAATTATTTAGATTAAAAAAATGCTAATAGCACTTTAAGAGCTTTAGAAACAGCAATATAAATGATGGAAACTGTTAAAACAATGAAATATGGAGATAATTAGGATGTATAATTAAAAATAGGAATTCATTATGGAAGAGTGATCGCTGGAGTTATTGGAGTTCATAAACCTTAGTTTTCACTTATAGGGGATACAGTTAATACAACAAGTAGAGTTTGTAGTACAGGTGAAGCTGGATATATTACTTTAAGTGAGGCTGCATATTTAAATATCAAAGATAATGCTAAATATTAATTTGAAAAGAAATCAGTTGCAGCTAAAGGAAAAGGAATGATTGAAACATATAAATTGATTATCTAATCTAAAGAATCAGCAAAAACATTAACTCCAAAAGTATCTACATTAGAATATTAGGACAAAACTTAAATCTAAACTAAAGAAACAAAAAAAATAATTAATTTTAAATCATCAACAGATAAAAAAAATATTTTAAAAAGGCCCTCAATTTAACCTGCTTAAATTGGTGCTTTAATTTTAAATGATCATGCAAAGTCTCCAAAACTTGTTATTAGATAATTACATAAAGAAACTCAATCTTCTATTATGCCAAATATGATTTTAAAATAAAAACCCTCAGTAGAAAATGATTAAGATATCAAACGCTTGAATTCCATTAAATCCAAATCATTTAATTAAGTACCATAATTTTACTAATTTTAAGAATGATGACATTTAAATTAAGGACAATAACCCTTCTTGTAATGCTAAGACTCCAGGATTTTAAAAAAATTGGATTTAAAAACGCTAAAGTATACTAGATAATATTTAACCTAATATTTTAACAATACCAAATAATTAATAAGATTCTGTTACATAGATTTAATTACCATTAGATCCTAAACCTTAAAATCAGATTGTATCATAATCTTGTTAATAATAAATATTTTAATCTGGTGTTAATCTATCTCATTAATCAAATCAATAGTAATTCTTAAATTCAGCTGATTAATTATTAAAGTATTCTGATCAATTTAATGATAATAATAAATAAGATGGATTTAATTTTATTCCTAGACCATAAATCAAAAAAAGAGGCACTTTTATTTTAGGAGAGATGATTTAAAAAAAAGGAATTATAAAATCTAGTTCAAAAATAGTGCTCCCAGAAGAAAAAAATTAAATTGTTAAAATATCTGGCGTTGGGGGTGATAGTGATTCCTAAATGGATTATAAAAAATAAATTAGAAACTAAAGATCTTTAAAACTACTACAGTTTTAAGATTCTAATTCTGCTTTAAAGAAAAGTCCTGAATCTAATAATGAAAGATTAGAAGAATTAGAAATAGCCAAAAGAAGGATGATTATAACACCTGAATAGAAATTTGACTATTAGACTTTGGAGAAAATTAAGAAGTTTAAACTTGATTATGATGATAAATCTACATTTGAAATTGATAAAAGTTAATTTCAAAATAATGATCAATAATTATATCATTCAATATATGAAGAGTATAAAGAATAAGAAAAATTATAGATGAGATATATTTTAATATTTTTAACAGGCTTAAATTTATGTAAAGGCTTCCTACTATTTATAATAAGCTAAGAATTAAATGGAACATAGAATGAATTATTAATAGTATAAATTTGCCAATTTGGTATTTGTTTAATTCTAACAATTTGTTATTCAATGCTTTTAGATAAAACAAGTAGAGAAATGTTAAAAATAATTATTTGGATTTATTATTTAAGTTATAGTAGTCTTTCTATATTAATAATTTTATTTGAGAAACAGAAAGAATTTGAAGTAATTTTATAGATAAGTACAATAAGTGCTTTATATATAAATATTTATCTTTCATAAATCTTACACTATGAAGATAGATAGAGAATTGTTGCAATATTTATAATTTTGATAACAATAATGATAGTTTATAAAGTATATATTTTAGAATTAATAATATATGAGATGGGAATAGGTGGATTAACATTTTTTTGCTAAAGTTAAGAGAAGGAATTATTGTTTAAGAATTATTTAATAAGCTTAAAATTATCAACTTAAATAGCAAAATATGAAAATATGCTTTAATATTTAATGCCACCTCATGCTCTAAGAAGATTGTTAAACCCTGATTAAGAAAATACAGATACATTTATGGATGTTTTAGAGAACACAACAGTATTATTTGCAGATATTGCTGGTTTTACAAAATATTCAAGTTCAGTTGAGCCAGAAACAGTTGTAGATATGCTTAGAAATTTGTTTTCAAATTTTGATTAGTATTGTTAGAAGGCAGAAATATATAAATTATTTACAATAGGTGATTGTTATGTATGTATGGGTGTATTTGATTGTAAAAAAAGAGATCCTGCAGGAGAAGTAATTAATTTATTAGATATGAAATTAGGCATAAAAAGTATTAGCATTTGGATTTAGTATGATTGAAATCATCAATCATTATAAAAAAGATCCTTAATATTAACATCTCAACATGAGAATAGGTGTACATACTGGTCGAGTTTTGGGAGGTGTTGTTGGAACAGATGTCGTTAGGTATGATATATATGGAGAAGATGTAACAATAGCAAATTTAATGGAATCATCAGGATAAGTAATTTATCAACTTATTTTAGGAAGGAAAAATACTTGTTAGCGAAATCACTAAAAATTTAGTTGAAAGTGAATATGAAGGTTTCTAATTTGATTATGCCAAAGATGTTTTTCTTCCTTCAAAAAATCTAACCATATCTACTTATTTTGTTTAACCTAGTGATGTTGAGTACAGTTAAAATGATTGATTTTTCTTCCTTAAATTAATGTATTAATTTCATAATTTATATCATGATTCCCTCAAACAAATTACCAACAGAAATTGAAATATTCTATTTCTATTAATAAGCCATCAATAATTTAGAAAAAGGCAAATTAGATGATGCAAAAACCTAACTTAAAAGTCTACTCTATAGCAATTTTATTAAAAATTAGGATTATAAGACTGTTCATTATGCTACTTTAATTTCATTAGCTGAAATTTATGGAAGAAGTAATTCTATTCATGAGAAGTGTGAAGCCTTAAAATACTACTATGAAAGCAATTTAATTATATAAGATTCCTGGGAAACAAATAGAAAAATGGCTATTCTTTTTAGAGAAATAGGACTCATTTCAAAAGCGTTACATTTAACAAAAAATGCGTATTTATTCATCTTAAATATTTAGTTTAGAATCTTGTAATTAAGTCTAAGGTAAACATATATTATATTATTAAATATGTTGTTTATCATTCTTAATTAATGAACTTGAAAACTTTGATTTATATTTACAAATGATTCCTAACTAAAAAAAATTTAAATAATAACTCTTAGAGTTGGATTCATATATAAAAAAGTAAACTTAAACTTAATTTGTTAATGAACTTCTTGAAGAAAGAAGCTTAATTTCAAAAAAAATAGCCACTATTCCAAAATAATATTTATCTCTAGATTATTTTTATTAAGAATATCAATACGAAATTTATATACTTGATCTACATAAGTTTTTCAAAAAAATCAGAAGATTATTATTAACTAATTTACAAATAGATGATAACACATTTGAAGTACAATAAAAAGATATTTCAATTCTCCCAAAAACTTTTTTTATAATCAAATCTAAAAATGAAAAATCTATTAATAAAAATAAACTACAAGAGTAGCTACAAAAAAACATTAAATAGGATTTGAAAAAAAAATTATTATTAAATTAATTTGAATAAGCCAATATGAAGAAGTTTTCTTTACAATCTATTTTATAAAAATAAAATTTTTAATCTATAGAAATATTTAGAAAATGCGGTTTAGATATTGAATAAATTTCAATCTTTGGCAAAAATACAATCTTACAAAATTAATTAACTCAAGGTATATAATAATAATAGCTTAAATAAATTAGTAATAATAATGTATTGGGATAATATTTAATTAATAGATTAAAATCATAATAGTTTTCCATTTTTAATTTATTTAATAAACTTACCGAATTAATATTTTAAATACCTGAAGAATTAAATTTAGATTAAGAAGCTGTAGATTAAGTATAAAAAGATTTAGTAAAATGTTATATTTGGGCATAATATTTTATGGATGAATTTACTAATGATCCTAAAATTGAAATTAAAATTTTAATCTAAATGTTCAACATATTTAAATTAAAAATTAAAAATCAAAAAACTTAAACTAAGGAGTAAATCATAATATTAAAAAATTATTAAAGATTGATATTAAAATATAATGATAAATTGCTATTTTAAATTAGTTTTAAAAAAGATTATAAAGAGGAGCAAATTTCTTAAACAAAAGAGTTTAGAATAATTATCACTCAGATTCATAATGAGATTGGCATTCTAAAAAAGGTTTTTCCTTTGACTGATAACTAAAATCAACTAAATAATACTCCTAAATTAAGTATAACTATGGAATCCTCCTTAAATGAAATACTAGAAAATTGGGAATCACCATATTATTTTATTCAAAAAAAAGATCAAGTATCTAGTCATTTATCAAAAATACACACTTATGTAAAAGAAGAAAACAAATAAATTGCTACTTTAGAGACTTATTAAAAAATAATAAATGTTTGCATAAAGTAGCTTTATTTTAGTAAAATAAAAGATTAATGTAAGTAAGTATTCATGATGATTAAACCAATTTTTGAAACATTATATAGGTCAATATAAATTAATTAAATATTAGCTTTATGTTTTCTCAAATTATCATTTATTTATGGAGCTTTAGATGAAGAAGCAAGTTAACCATTAGTTTTATTCTTAACATTTTATTATAAAAACTTAGAATTTCCCTATAAAGAATTATTTTTAATAACTATTCTATAATAAAGATAGATATAACTCTGTAAGTTTTTTGAAATATTTAATTTGAATATAGTGATTAAAGACTTAATTAATTTAAGAATTAAAATGAAACAAGAATTTCAAAAGACTTATGAAAATTTTTTAGAATATTTTTAAGAACATGAAGATGTGCAGTATTATTTAATGAATTAAATAAATGAAAAGCCAGGCATATATGGCCATTGTTTTGTTAAAATAAATCAAACTCCTATTGAAGCTAAACCTGAAAATCCTGGTAAAGACTTACAAGTTCTTGAAAATTTTTCAAGTGAATCAGAAGATGATTACTACTATCCTTATCCTTATTATAATAATTTTAAAGAAATTAAATTAATGAATGATTAATTAACTGAATCTTTTAAAATTGGATAAAATTAATATTAATTTAAATATGAAAAATAAAAATATTTATTAAACCATAAATTAACAGTAAATTTAGGAGATTCTTAAATATCTAACTAAATAAAAAGAATTTCAAAAGAAATAATGAAGTAAAAATATTAATAATCTACTAAATAACTTAAAAAAAAATTTATTGTATATTTTTTTGAGAACTATTATTTCAATCAAATTCATATTGAATACTTATTATCAGAAGATGAAATTAAATTTATTGGTTATTTCTTGCCAATTTCTTATAATTTCTTTCTAGATAAAAAAATAGTCAATACTTTTACAAATAATATTGTCTTAAAAAATATACCAAAAAAAATAGATTCACGTATTTAGCAGTATGCAGATGCTTTATATGAATAATTTTTTTCAAAGTAACCATAAAAATAAATGCCTAAACTTAATGAAATGAAAGACTTTTTAGTATCATAAAAGTTGCAAAATGAATATTTGGCAAATATTTATTATTTATTATAAGTAACAAGAGAAGATGAGAAAAATTGTATGAATATTTTATTAGCAATTGCATTTAATGAAATACCATATTTCTGGAATTATTTGTATATGAAAATTTTTCGTCTAGCATATAATTAATTAAATTAGAAAATACAGACTTAAGAAAATGACTGGTTTATTTGTTAAAAAAAAATATAAGTTCACTTATAAAAATAATTAAGTTTGATTCATCTTTTTGAATATAGATTTATTATGGATTTGCTAAAAGCTTAGTAAAGATAGAATGAATATGAAATTTAGCCAAATGAAAAAAATTATTAAAAAGTTTAATAAGCTTACTAATTCATACTTTAACAAAATTAATTCATTATACCTTGTGATATTTGTCAGTTGTATCATAATTTTAGAGCCATATTGCTTATTGAAAAAAAAATTATGAGAAAACTTAGAAATGTTTCAATTGAAAGAATTAATTAATCAATTTCTAGTTACTCTTAAATTACTAAACTCATTTTATAAATGAAAGAATAAAAAATGATTTATTTTTATAATTCTTTGGATGGTGAAGTTGAAAGTTTTTCTGATTTATAAATAAATGTTTACAAATATTTAAGAAGATTTATACAAAGTAATTCTGCAGAAGGTGTAAAATAAATATTGAAAACGATAGAAGATAAAATTCCATTTTTGATGGAAGTTATAAAAGATAATTAAAATTTCTAATATTGTTTGTCTCCAGAGAAAAGAAATTATAAAATTCCTTTGTAGGAAAAATAAGATGAAGATTAAAATTAATATTTAATCTCAAATTATTATCAACAAAAAATAAATGTAGTAATGGTAAATTTAACCGTATTTTTTGAAAAAATTAAATAGAGAATAAATTGTAGTGCTCCTTAAAGATATGTAATAGAAGCCATCTATTATTTATGTCATATTCAATTACAAAATAAAAATTTGTCAAAAAATTAGCTAGATAATTTATATGAAACCATTTCTATCATATATTCATCAGATATCAAAGATTTAGTAAAATATTAAAAATAATATGGAATCTAATATTCTGAACAAGATGAAGTTTTAAGAGAATATTATCATCATGATCTCATATTTTTATACTAGAAATAAAAGATTATAAAGTTATTTATTAGAATAAATATTGCAAATAAAAAATGGAATGAACTTTTAGATTTAATTGTATAAATGCCTAAAAATTTTGATTTAAGAGGATATCAAATTTGTTTAGCTTTAATAGAAAATTAAAAATAATTTGATGACCCTTAATTATTATTAGATGTCTTATGTCATATTGATTATTTTCTAAAGAGAAATTAATAATATACTTTTTTGAATGAAAATAAGGAATATAAAGACATGTTCATAAAATTATATAATGTATATTTCATTAATTAGTAAAAACAAAGAGATACACAGTCAGATAAAGAAAAAGAACTTTATGCCAAAAAGTTTATTGAAAATTAATCTAAAGAAATTAAAAAAACCAAAAGAGACAATCCATAATGTTAAGATTTACAAAATATTATAGAGATTGGTTGAGAAGAAGAGATGGTTTGTTATAAGAAATTCATTAAATAATTTAATCAAGATTTCTTTTAAGAAATCTCTTTTCTCAAATCTTCTTTATTATCTTGTTTATCATCTATCGCCTGATAATTTTCCTCATTCTTTATTAGGTTTGATCAAAATTAAATCTTTTATTATCTTAGATTGATTATAATCGATTATATATTCTTATGATATAAATCTAATTTTAAATTGAACCAAGGCGAGAATTTTACACCTTTGTAATAAAATGTATTGAATTTCAAAAATACATATGTAACTAGGTTTTGATATGATTAAAATATATTCTTAAATTTCAAACCTAATTATTGCAAAATAATGGCATTAAAGAAAAAAATCTATTAACAATATCAAAATATTTATTTATTTAGAATTAAATTATAAATGTAAGATAAGAGAAATAAGTCTATAAAAATTTTATTTGTTGAATAAATATAAATATTTCTATTTAAATAGAAATAATATTTTTGATTATTAAATATATAAAAAAAATATGATAGATTTTTTTAACGTTTTAAGTATATTATCATATAAAGTAGAATAGAAACTTATTTTTTTAACATTTTTTGATTATTATTTTAACTTTAAGTTGTTTAAATTATATTAAAAATAGATTTCAAATCATGATGTCAAGATTGTCTCATAAATTTTGTTGAAAGAAAAAATTTAGATAATAGTTATTCTGTATATATGACAGAAGCTATATAACTAAAAAAAATAGTTAAAGTATGATTAATAATAGAAATGAAGAATTGAAAAGCAATAATTTTAATCATTTGAGAAGTATAACTGTTCCAAAATCTAATTGAAAATATCGACATTCATTTAAAAATGCAATTAAATATTACACTACGATACTATCGATACTATGGAACTTTAGTTAGATAGGCATTTTGAGAACTATTAATAATAAAGGTTTTGTCATATTCATCAGAATAATTTCAAATAATCGGTATCTTATTATTTTAAAGCAGTTTTGAGAAATATTTCAAAATCATGTTCAGTAAGAAGGCTTTAAGAATTCAAATATAGTTTATTTAACTAAATTATAAAATTAGATAAATTTATTTTCTTTTATATTTTTATCAGGGTATACCAATTTAATCCAGGCAATAAATCTACAAAGTTCATCTTTATCCAAATATCCATCCTACCTTTATCAAACTTAATAAATATTTCCATATACATTATTCTGATTTATAATTTTCTATAAAATACAAAAATTATACTCTTTTAAATCTTCTTTCGTTTTTGTATAAAAATATTAAAAATCCTCCAATCCTTGCCGCCATAATTTTTCAAAGTTTAATTTTAAAATTTTGAATACCTCTTCGCTAACAAAGATGTATAATCACACAAATTTGTCGCCTGTGAATTTTTTACCTCGAATATAATCTCAATATTTTATCATATCTTAACTTACATTCAATATGGGTTTGTTTTTATATAAACAGAAAATCGAATTTATCCTGTATAAATCTTATTTTCATGATATAAATTAGTTAATAATTATTCTCATGAGATTAAGAATTTCCCAAATTTATTACCTGATTATATATATTCAATCTCATATCGATAAATCAATAAATTTATTGCTTAATTGTTTCTTTATTAAGAAAAGGGTTTTTTACTTAAAACAGTTGTATAATTCATTTAATATTTTATCAATTATTTATTTGTTCTGTAAATGGATTAAAAATTTGATTAGAAAAATAAGTAGAATAAATTAAGTACTAGCAAAACAAATACTCATTAGTATGTATAAAATCGAGATGACTCATATAAAATTTATCAACCATAATAATAGTAATAACAATATTCAATTCAATAAATGTAACCTTAAACTTAAAAAATGGTGGCATAGGCTGATTATGAGAAGATAAAGAAAGTATTATAATGAAATAAATATAGGAAAATGAACTTCTCAAATCTGAATTATTTATTACAAAAGAATAACTTAAAAATCTTACAGAAGATTATCAAAAACTTTAATAGAGATATCATTAATTATAATAATAAGTTAGAACACCTCATGAATTTTTGATTGCTGATATGTAAAGGCAATTAAGATATTAATAATATTAAGAATTTATGTAAGAGGCTATGATGCCTTAACAATAGTTTTAAACAGATGGAATGACCTACGAAGAATTATTAGAGTTACAAAATTAAATAGGACATGTATCTCGTGGATTAACTAAAGAATAAATAAAAAAAATACCAAAAAAAACTGTATATACCAGATAGAAGGATGCGTATTAATAATTTCTGAATATTTAGATGTTCAATATGTTAGAATGAAATAGTAAAATTAGAAAAAATTAGAGAACTTAAATGTAAACATTCTTATCATTCTAAATGTATTAAAAAATGGTTGTTAAATGAAAAGAAATGTCCTATTTGTTAAACTGAAGTATGAATCATAAATTATAATTTATATATTATATTATTTAATGTTTGTTAAATTCTAATTAAAATTATAATCATAATCAACAATAATTTAGATTGTAGATTATTTAATAAAATTATCATTCATTATTAATAGGATTATTTTTTAAGACATAAGTATCCATTATTATTTTTCATTCTTACAGTAGTTGATTGTTCAAAGTTTTCCTTTTAAATGTATTTCTAATTTTTCATTTTTTATTAACAATTCAATTTTAAGACTTGATTGTAAACAGATTCTCCAGGATAAGTACATAATTCTTTAAGAATTCTTTCTTTTAATGTGTCTTCTCCATTAGAATTTTGAATAGGTTAAGAAGTGTATTATTAAACATTCATATTAGCAAGTATAAATTATCTTTTTCCATCTATTTAGTCTAATGAAGGTTATTTAGGTTATTTTGACTTCGATTTACGATTAAGATGAAGATTATCCTATTTTTGATTCTATTAATTAATTATCCTTGATTAAGGTTCCTAATGAAGAGGAGTTAGAGATTTTTATTATGGTTACGAATCATAATTGGTTTTTGAAAATTCCTTTTAACTTTTTTATTCTAATAAATTATTATTTACTAAAGGATATTAATATTAAGCTTTAAATAAATTATAATATTTACATTTTTGATTAGCATGATTGGCAAATAACTTAAAAGTTTATGGTATAACATTCGTTAAGTTTTTTTGATGTTTAGGTGTATATTCTCGATCTTCAAAACTTTTTCTATCAGTATCTTTTGTTTATTTTTAGATATAGAATTAATTAATATTTTATTAATAAATTTTTTCTTCTTATATATTTTCGTCAATATATGTTTTTTACTTTTCATTTTATTGGATTAATTATTTTTCATTTTATTGGATTAATTATTTTTCATTTAATTCAAATTAATTATTCACACATAAATAATTACTCGCTTATTCGCTTACACTTATGTTACGTTTAAAACTTTCTCTGTCATTTGGAGTTACTTGAGGATTTTTTCTTTCTAAACATGCCTTAAATTTCCAGCTTTCAGGTGTATTAGTATTACTCTCTCTTCTAGAATTTTATACAGTTGATCCTGGATTTGAATATTAATTCCCCTTTTACTTTTACTATTATTAAAATTATTGAGTGGATATTTTGATTGGAGATTAATTATGATCTTTAATTGGATTTGAACAAGTACTTTAATAAATATCCTCCCCTTCCAATAATTCAAAAACCTTCATATATGTAGGTGAGTTTGTCGTTTTTTAGAGTATATTTGGACTATTTTCGTGTTTATTTTTCCTTAGAGTTTATTCAGAACAATCTTCACTTTTTAATAACAAATTATAACACATTTTATTCATGTCAGCTAAGATTTAGTTTTGTTCAAATTTAATTGATGTTTAAATGTATTGTTAATTGAATTCTTGAAGTTATTCTTTTATTTATGATACTTTTTATTCATATCTATTCATTATATCTTCAAATGGTTTCATTTCCATTTTTTTCACTATATTCTCATGATTTTTAGTTATATCAATTTCATATTGTTTCAACTAAGTATCAATTTATCCAATGAGACTTATTTTTTACGTAATTTAATTCAAATAACTTATGTGATCAGTTTCAAATTTTGACAAATAAGTTAGTTTCAATTAATTAGCTGTATTAATAACTGATTCAAAGAATATATGACAATTTTCTTTTTATTCTTTTAATTGCTTAGAAGCATTCAATTCTATATTTTTTAACTAATTCAACTTATTAGAACATTATTATAGAACTTGTATTAACTAATCTTAAAATTAATATATTCTTTATTATCTATATATCTCAGGCTATTTCCCTTCTGTTTCCTCTATTTTTAAACCTTATAGAGCTAAATTTAAAGCGCATTTTGAACAAAATAACTTGCTATTATCATATTAAACATAATATTTAGCCTGATTTAAAAATATTTTTTTACTTTTTTGTTTGGATGTTTTGCACAAATATTATTACATTATTCTTTTTACTTAAAAATATTAGAACTCTTGAGAATTCGTTCTTATTCAGTGTGTATATAAGATGTTTCTTCTGATTCAGAAGATGAAATTTATCCATTCATTATCTGTTAAAAAATTTATAAATAAATAAAATTGAAGAAAAAATCATTAAAATGCGCAAATGCTTTAATTCAATTTAAATATGCCATAACTAAATTACAAAAAGAAATACCACCTACCTCGTTAAAAATACTCTTAATACTTACAATTTGTATCAAAACGCACTTTTAGATAAGCAGCTCTTATGGAAAAAGAAAACTTTTAATCATTTTTTAAATATGCTAATTAATCAAAGAATGATAATTCCTTCATATTTGTTAAAATTCATTATATTTTTCTTGTACATTTTTTTTTCTCTATTACCATCTCTATACTGATGCTTCTAGTTCTCTTATATTTTCAGGATTGATCCCACTTGAAAATTATTAAAAGTATTAATTTGATTTAAACATCTAGTTAAAATTTCCGTATGCTTGGTTTTGATACTAAGCATTAAAATCAAATTTATTTGTCATTTGATAAAAAATTGGAAATTACTTCTCCTTTGAATTTATTAGTTCACTTCTTTATTTTTAGAAACTGATTAAACATATATATTTACTTAAAATACATATTATTTTGCTCTATAGGTTGCATGTATCAAACTTTTATTTTATTTATTATTTTAAACTCAAAAATTATATAATTTTCATTTTGTTTTCCCAGTTATTTAATAAAGATTTTAAAATATTTGTTAATTAGTCAATTTTTCTGAGGATATCGGAATATCATTTTCAAAAAAATTCTTTTATTCACTTGTTATATCATTCTTAAAATTTAAATAATTTTTATAGATAGAGAATTGTATTTTTGTTTATTATATTCCTATGAATTAAGATGTGTTATATCCTTCAGGCTCTAAATATGTTTACTTAAAAGTAAACCTATTCTATGGACCTAATATGCTCACAAAATATTGAGCTATTATATATCCTAAAGTATTAAATTCTAATTAATTTATATTATGATTTGACTTCTGATTCTAAGTATAATTTGATTTTTGATTATCAATTTAAATTATTTTATAAGAAGTTATTTCCTTTTAATACATATTCAACATTTGCTGTAACGTTTAGTTTATATTTGTTATTTTATCAAAAAAATTTCTGTATTCCCAATTTCTTTTATCATCATCCAATTAAAAGGATTGAATATTTTATAATTCTGTAATAATTGAGCCAAGAATATTTAAATTAGGATGGCTTAATGAGAATAATAAAGTGTTATCAAAATTTTTGGATTATTTTACTGAAAGTTTAATTGGCTTTTTTAATGGATAAGGCTGATTTGGAATAGTAGTATCACAGTGGATAATAGATAGCAGTAGTTTTATAAATTAAACTAAATTCATGATAATTGAAATGAGCTTTTATTTATCAGTTCTCAGGATTGCATTTTTAATATTAGAATCTTTTTCCTCTAGTTTATTTTTTTTGTATTCTATTTGGAGATTAAGGCATACATCGATTATAAATTAATTCAATTATAAAATGTTTATGTCACTTTTAATTTACCTATAACAAATTTGATATAGATTGTAAAGATTGCTGTTCAAATTGTAAAGGAAATAATTTAATTGTAATTATTATTTTAAGTTTTATTAAACCGGGGTAAGGTATTCATATTTTAAAATTTCTTGATAAAATTATTAAATAATCTCAAGTTGAAGATTGATCTATAGTAAACTTAATTTAGCATTTTACTATGATAAATAAAAGATTATTACATATTATTATTTATCTCTTTATTCGATAGCATTTATGTACTAATCATATTTATCTTCTTCAATTTCTTCAAAGAGTAATAGAATTTATGGTTGAAAAGAATTAAAATAAACTTAAGTAACTTTGAATCTCCTAGTTTAATCTTGTTCTTTTAAAAGAGCAAAATATTTTTGAACTGGATGATCTTCATTTTTCAATTTGAGTTCTTAAATTATTTCATGTTCTAATTTGATTAATTATTAAGAATTTTGAATTTGCATATCGTTGAATACTAATTTTCTTAAAAATTCTCTAAGTGCTTCATTATTATACAAACTAAACTTTTCTTTCAAATGTTTATTTATCTTTTCAATATCTAATGAACCAGTTAATTTGTTATATTTAACAATAACAACCCATGAAGGTAATAAATCTTCTAAAATATTTTCATATTGAACTTTGGATAAATTGACCAAAAAATGTTTTCTGTTAATCATCTCATACTGATATCGTAATAAAACAAGCAAGATAGATATGATACAATGAGATATGACTGATTATATATCATATGTTTAGAAATTATAAAAGCTTGCAATCTAAGTTAAGAGAAAAAAAAATGTTTAAAAAATAAACGATGAGCCAGTTAAATAGATTACTATGATTATTAAATGTACTTACAAATCTTTAGAATTGATGAGTGATTACCATAATACCATTAGTTTGATTCTAATCCATAGAGTCTTAAGCTTTCCATTATAGCACTCATAAGAAGTATATTAGCAACAACTAAAATTTCTTTATATTCTTGATATTTCCTTATTACTATATAACTAGTCATTATTAATGACAAACTAACACCAGCAAATATTTAAGGAGTCGAATTCTAATACTCTTTATATTTGATAATAATAAGTATTAGATAAACACTTATAACTGTGTATAAGTATTCACGTCTATACTTTAGACCAGTCAGCTATGATTAACGATACATCTATTCAATTTCTTGAGACTCAAACTGTAAGCTATATGTTTTGATCATAAAAAATTATAATATTTAGGAATAACCTAATTAAATACTTGATGCATGATTTTATACATTAAATTGTTTATTTACAATACAGATATTAATTTAATTGAAAATAAATAAATAAAATAAGTCATGATTAAGTTATTAACTTAAATTAATTAATTAAACAAACTAAATAAAATAATAAATAAAAATATGAGTTATGAAACCAGAGTAATAATGAATTATTAGTTTAATACTTGTGACATTATAGGAAGAGGGTTCAGTTCTATTGTTTATAAAGGGATGAACACAATAACAAAAGAAAATGTAGCAATTAAAGTAATGGTTTTTTTATTTATTGCTTTAGGTTATTAAAAGATAGTTCTCAGATCAATTGCCAGTTATTTAAAATGAAATATAAATCCTATCGAAATTACAAGGACGTAATATATTGAAGTTTTATGACCATTTCATGAGTCAAAACAATATATACATCATCACTGAATACTGTAGGTAAGGCGATCTGGCATAGAAACTCAAATAATTTGGATATTTGAAGTAGGAATATGCTGTAGCTATTATTCGATAGGTCATAGATGGTATTAATGTGATGGCTTAACAAAGTATTCTAAATTATCATATGAGATATCATACATAGAGACTTAAAACCCTAGAACATCTTAATTAATGAAGATGGCATTAAAATTGCAGATTTTGGTTTCGCAAAGCCCTTAAATCAATTATAAAATGAAATGAATGTTGGAACTCCTCTTTACATGAGTCCAGAAACCATTATTAAATCTTAATATAATGCTAAAAGTGATATATGGAGTCTAGGAGTCCTCTTTTATGAAATTCTATTTGGAAGACCACCTTGGTAGGCTTAGACAGAACAAGAATTGATTTTTAAAATGCTAAATTAACGCATTTCTTTTCCAGATCTTCCACCTGTGACAGAAACAGTTAAAGACTTTATTAAATAATGTCTTATTGTTGATCCATATTTAAGATTAGGAATAACAGACCTCATCAAACATCCTTTAATTCGAAAACCTACAAAAAAAATAGAAAAATTTATAAGACCAACTGAAACTGAGAGCACTTATTAAACTATTAAATCTGAAATTCCAAACAGTTCAGAACCATGGACTCACAATAATTCTAATAAAAAATTAGTTTATGTTAATTGTAAGAATCCTTAAGTTAATGCAATTCTTAATAAATATTTAAATACAAAAAACAATTAAGTTACTAATAACAAGTCTAATTCTAAAAATTAATCTTTGTTTGATGAAATTTAATTAATTTTGTAAAGTCAATTCTCTTTGTGTATATTTCTTAATAATATAATATCTAAATTAAGGGATTTTAAATTAGCAACACCTTTATTAAATGAAAAATGTAGGATTATTTTTTCAAAGCATTTGCAAAATATCAAGGATACAATTTACAAACAATTAATAGAGAGCGACAATAAGTTTAAATTTAAGGATTGGTAATTATTTTGCAAAGAAAATGCTTATAGTAGATTTAGCGCTAAATTTATATTAGAAAATAATTAGTTTACAAAGACATGTTAGGAATATAATTAAATGATAAAATCAAATAAATAATTAATAATTGAGTATTAAAAATATGATTCAGAATTCTATTAAATTTTGTTTGGATTGGAGTGGAAGGTTATTAAAAAGATAATGAGAAATTTAATAATAGAATTTAATCATATAATTGCTTTAAATATTGATACAAGCAATTTAAGTAATAAAATCAGCAAATCATAATAGATTGAGATTTCGCTATTACAATAATTATATTATTATTTTGAAATTGTTGATAAGTATTATTTGAAAGAATTTGATGAGAAGAGATTTGCTCAAGAATCAAAAATATAATAGTACTTGGTAGTAAAGGAATTCAGAATATCTGACTACTTAGAAATAAGATAACTAGTAAAGAGGTTAATGAAATCATGAAATATAAATATATTTCATAATTTTTGTAATAAAATATGAAAACAAAGTAAACTTAATAGTGCAGATTCATTTTTAGCCTGAGTTTGCATATTCTGAGTATTTATTAGAGTTTCTAAGACTGCCTAATAATTGTGAAACTATTTCTTCTTTATTTAATTTAAGAGGAGTTGAAATTTGAGTAGTTTTATTACTTAAAATGGATTTAGAGTGAGTGATACTATCAATTTTTCTATTTTTTACATTTGATTCTGATTTTCCATTAACAATGCTATTCATGGTATCCCTAAAATAAATTGATTAATTGATTACATCAATTTAATAAGTTTGTTGCTGTCTGGTTTATCAGTGGTAGATTAAGATTATGGTTCAGGAGGATAATAATTATTGTGTAAATTGATGGTTTGTTGATGCAAATCATTTAATTCAGTTGATGATTATAATTTTAAGTTAAATTTTTAAGGTGTCTTTACTATTTCAATATGTTTTGGATTCGATTAAAACTGATTGTAAGTTGATTGAGATTGTCTGAAATTAGATTTAAAATCTATTTCTTTTTTGTCTCTGATTGAATTTGTTCCTTGACGTATGGATGAAAATTCTGACAATCTGCCTTGATATTCAGTAGATCTAAAGGCTTCACCTTTGATGGTAAGTCTTTATGAAGATTTGATATTTTGTTTTTGACGAACTCGATCCATAATTCTGGATGCCATTTCAGCAGCTTCCTTCTCGACATTAATCTCTGAATGAATTTAATAAGAAGATAAACGGCCATTTATTTACATAATATTTAATGTATTAATATTATTTAATATTTATTCAATAAATTCTTTTTTTATGAAGAACTATATCAAATTCATTTACATATTGAATTTTTATGATGACTTAGAAATAATTGATTTTAATTATTGCTTTTCTCTAAGTTAATTTGATATTTTCCAGTTTAGATATTTTGATTCAATCCAAAGTATGTTTTATCCAATTTTCATCATCACTTTCAGGATAGCCATCATGCCTTTGAATTCTTTTCTATTATGAACTCCTTTATATGTTCATTCAACTTTAAGCTGAATGATATTGCATAGAATGCAATATTACTTCAATTATCAAGTTTTTGCTTAATTATTTTAAAATTTTTTCTAATTTTAGTAATAGTTTATAATATTTCATGATACCTGATAAATTGTTACAATATTAATTTCTCAAGTATTTTGAGATTAATTATATTAATTTATTTAAGTTTCCACTTTTAGACCAAAATAAGTAGCATCTTCCAAACTAATTTAATGAAACTAAATTTCTGCTAACTAATCATATCTTTCTAAAAATCTTTCTCCCGATTAATTTTTTATAATGCCATATTCTTCTCTGCAATCTTCAGTTATTAAATAACCTAATCCATTAATTCCAAATCTTGATTGATTATTATTTTCTAATAGGACATCCTCCTCTAAATATTGATTAATCCATCGACAATTGACATAAAAATTACTACTTTACTGGTTAATTTTTTACTATTCCAAAAATTATTAAGTTATTTCTATTGAATGTACAAACCTAAAATTGTAATTCTAAATATCAATAAAAAATATAAAATATAAAAATATTATTAAATATGATCAAGAAATTCCTACTCATGCCAATAATTAGCTATGTTGTTTATTTGTCTATCCAAATTCATAGAAATGATTCCCATGTCATATCAATTTTGAATATTGTAGCCAATATGACTGGATTTTAATCTATTGATAATACAGCTTGGATCATTATCTTAAACGTCATTGCATTTTCGATTCTATTTGGCATTTCTTATATAAATTATGCTTTGACGATTCTTCAATTTATTGTCCTATTTTTGCATATTCAAATATTAGATGATTTTGAAATTACAGAATTGAGTCAAGCGTTTAAAATAGTAGCAGCTGACATCGCTATTATTGGAATATTACTTGCATCAATTAATTAAAAAAATTAACAAAAAGTTGAAGATGAAACTCAACCCAAAGAGAAGTAAGAATGATTAATATTTATATGTTTCTTATATTTTTATTATTAATACATAATTCTAAGCAAGAACACATAATCATTCATTATCCACCATTTTGTGCTTAATACAGATTCACTTTCATCAAAATAGCAACTTAATTTAATCTGACAATCCTCAACATCCCCTCAGAGGAATAATCAATAATTTTACTAAATAATTCTAACTCAATAATATAATATCAATGGGATGTATTTGAATTTGATATTAAATATTGGTTATCCATTTATTTCTAATAGCAATTTCCGACACTAAATATGCCTGTCAATTAACTAAATTAAATTTAAGAAAATTTAATCATTTTTTATGGTCTTAATGAAACATACTATACATATCTACTAAATTTAGTTTATCAATACCCATTATATATGATTTATTATGCTAACCCTTATAATCATTAATTATATCAGGAATTTTTTATTTAAAACTACTCTATCCAATAGGATTACCTTATAATCAGAAGAAAATAAGATAATTATGATCATCTTTTAATGATTTAATTTTTGGATTAAATTGAAGTTTTCCTTCAAAAATATACTCATCCTTTTTAATAGTAATACTTTACTATGAAACACATTGCATATTTAAAACAAAATCATAATAAAAGAGTTTTTCTATACATTTCCTTTAATCTTTATTAATTTAAAGAATATAAAAAGATCATCCAAAGACAATCTGATATTTATAGACAATCTAATATGAACAAAAATATTTTATTTATCATTACAGAACCAATTTTTATGGCTAAAACATTATTATAACGATTTTTATAAAAAAACATTAAAAATGGGCCTTTCCTTATTTATTTAGAATTTAATTAATTCAAATTTAGCTTATTTAACAAAGAATGGAATCAATATTATATTTCTTAATGGATATAACAGTATATTAAAAACGAGTTTCAATCTCAGATTTTGACTTTAAATTAATATTTACAATAAATTCCATACTTACATCTAAGTGAGTAAAAAGTGAAAACAGAACTCAAAAATAAAATACATAGTATTACAATATTAGATTTAATTTAATAAAAACCTCAACAATAAAATATTCTATTAATAAGATTAATCCCGAATTGTTACAAAAGCTTTAAACTTTTTGCAAAATTATCATCATTCAAAAATGATAACTTAATTGTTTTATATAGTATAAACTCATTAATTTATAAATAATACGAAATTCTTATGATAACTAAAAATGAAACACTGATAATAGATAATTTTAATGATAATTAATTTACGGAAATATTTAAATAGAATGCGCAAATTTGAATTTATATTTTATTTATTTCAAAAAAAATAGTCAAATAGATAAAATTAAATAATTGATTTTTAAGAATATTAAGTAAATTTAAGGACTAAAAAAATTATGTTATTTTTGACAAATAAATCAATTTTATTAATCTTATGGAGTTTCATCTTTTTTCTATGAATCAGAATCTTGCTTAGGTTCTGTTTCTAAATGTTATGTTACAATAATATCTTTTTCTGGAGTAGGTAACCAACGAGGTATTTCAACACTTTTATTTGTTTTATGATGATTCGAATGCTCTTCTTCTTCTAAAATCATGTGATTGAATTCATCATGAGGCAAATTTTTAGCTTTTTCTAACTTCACTACCAATAGTTTTTAAACTTCTTAAGATCTGATTAATTTTTGCATCATATATGATTCTTCCATTTCCATTTTTTCTTATAAAGCTTTATTATAGTCAGCAACTCTTTTATTTTCAAGTTTAGCTCTAATTTTTATGGTAATAAAAATTACTTTTCATTTTCTCTTTGGATATGAGATAATTTTTCATTCCAATAGAGAGATATGTTGGTTTTTGATTTTGACATAATTTCTTTAATATATTCCCTTTTCTCTCTGTTCTTAGTAATAAAATCTTGTTTTTATTTACTAATAGCTTCAGAATTTTTTTATGATAATTCTCTAGATTAGATGATATTTTTGATTCATACTTAATTCTTTTATATTCTTCAAATTTGATTTACTCCATAGCTTTTTTAATTGTATCTAATTATTCTTCTTGTTATTTTTTGATGCTATAATTTAATTTTTATTTATCTTTTAATATTTCTTCATCATTCTTCTAACTTTGTTTTTTCTAATAAATATTAATAAATAAAATTAGTAACTTATTCAATTTGCGCATGATGATTCATTTTCATTTCTATCATCGATTTTGTTTTCTTTTTAGTTTCATCAATTCTCTTAGATAATTGCGCATCACCTCGCTTTAATAATTTAAGTCTATTTTTCATCAATTAGATATCTTTCTCAGTTTCTTAACGTAACTTGCGAGTATGCCATACAGTTTCTTCATTTTCTCTTTAGAATTATTGAGGAGAAGTCTTCATTTTTTTATTTATTTAATGAAATCAGATTTTATTTGCCATAGAAAACATTTATTTAGAGATTCTATATATCAAATAGAAATCCAAAATGATAAGTTATTGTTACTTAATGTAAATAGTGAATATTTATCTTTAAGACTCAAGGTTTCGTAAAATATTCTCTTAGTCTAACTTGGTCTGTTGAAATTAATTGGAAAATTTCAAGTACAGATTAAGCTTTTGGATTTTAGATCGACTAAAAATTTAAATGGTTCTATGCAAAACCTAAAATAATTGAAACTTTAAGGGCAGCTTTAAAAAAACACATAACTTCTAAAGATTTTCAAATATTTTATAATATAGGTTCACATATATCTAAAGGACAAAATAGTTATTGTTATGAATTTTTTAAAAATAATGATGATAAATTGAATTATGTTGTCAAACTAATAAAAAGAGAATAAATAGGCGAAATAAATTAATTATATAATGAACTAAATATACTTAAAATATTAAACCATCCAGGACTACCCAAATTTGTAGAGTTATTTAATACAAATAACAGTTATTATATTGTAATGGAAAAGATTGAGGGTTAAAAATTAAGTAAATTGAATTCAACATAAAAACAACAATTAAGTTTAATTTAAATTTAGTTAATAATCTTTGAGTGTTTGAAGATCTTACAATACTTATCACAAATTTAAGTGATTCATAGAGATATTTAACCAGATAATATAATCTACGATTCAAAAGTTTAAACTGAATCAGTGAAGTTGATTGACTTTGCAAAAGCTACCAAAGTTGGAACTGATCTAAAATTATTGGGAACTCCTGGATTTATAGCACCTGAAATTTTATAAGAAAAAAGATACTCAACAGAATCTGATATGTTTTCTTTAGGTTGTGTATTTTATAAATTGTAAAATTATTACAATATTTTTAGATTAGTAAAATAAGATCTATTTTAGGGAATTAACCAAGAAGAAACCCTTAAAGAAAACAAAAAATTTTTATTTAATCTAAAGAATCTTTAATTAATTCGAATTCCCTAAAGTGCTTAAAATTTACTTACTTAAATGTTGGAAATAGATCCCAAATAGAGAATAAAAGCTAAGGAAGCAATAAATCATCCATTTTTTAAAGAATAAATGGATTATAGTACATCTCCTAAGATTAGTACAAGAAATTTATCAGTATCTAAATCTGTAAGAAATTTGGAAGGTATAATGATGAGTCCTAATCAAAATAAATTGAAAGCACTTGATTAATAAATTCTAGTTGATTATTTTTAGAATGAACTGCCACCAATGCACTAAATTCCAGTTATGAAATAAGTTAAGGGAGGTTGTCGTTTTAGTTTCAATAATTCAATCGATACTAATACCTAAGCGAAAAGTAAATATGATAAAACATCAACTTGATATCATTCTCATAAAATTGAATAAGTTTTCATAATAAATTCTAACAATTAAAATATTTCAGTTAACAATTTTCAGTACTAATTTTCTTTAAAAATAATTTTTATATATAAATAATTATCGTAAAACTATCATAAATTCTACATTTTTATTTCCTTAAGGAGAAACATAAAATTAATTTTAAACCTGATATACAATTTTTTAATCCAATACTTATTTGTTATTTAAGTGCTTATAAAATAAATAAGTTATGGCAATACTATAAGAAGATATAAGTAATAATATGGGTTGAATCAAAAAATTAAAAAATATATGAAAAAGTAATCATAAAAGTATTCAAAAACAGAGCCCTCTGTTAGAAGATCTAATAAATCACCTACAAGTCCAAGTGGGAATCCAAAACCAGATGATCTTCTAACTCAAAGTTAAGTAAATTAAGAACTCTAAAAAACATAATAATCTTTTCGTAGTTCAACTGGCCATTAAGGATAGACTCCTTCTATAAGGTAAACTAAAAAGTTATTGCAGTAGTTCTAAAGTGACACAATCAGTAACATCTCCTGTTAGGAATTAGCAGAAAAGACCTTCACAAATAATCTCAAAACAGTAATTACAAAATATGCATGAACGTTCAGTAATAAAAGTTCTTGGTATGAACATGGAAGCCGTATGTCCAAAAAAGAATCATGAGAAAAATAAAATGCTTTATATTTGTTAATATGGGGATTGTAAGGCAGACAGCAGATTAGGATGCTCATATTGTTTGGTAGAATCTCATAATGATCATTCTTCATAAATTATGGAAGTTTAAACCTTTTGTAAGATATTTGATGATAGAAAAAAGCAAGTATATTCAAAAATGATTATTTAGTTTAAAAATATGTGTGAGACTATCCTACAAGTACCAGACATGACAGCTTAAGTAAATAATTACTTTGAATAATTAAGAGATCAACTAGTTGATAGATTAAAGTAAATAGAAAAGAATATTTTGGAATCTATATAGGAATAATTGGCATGGAAGCCATTATAAAAGGAAATTACAAATAGAGTAGATGCTATAAGTTCCAAACTCATTTTTGATATGACATAGGATGAATTAAAAGAGAGTTTAGAATTCATTTAGGGTAAACATTTTAAAGAGCTTGAATATATAAAATAAGAGACAAATAATTATTTAACTTAAAAAATAGCTTTAGTCGAACAAATTTGGAATGATTATAAAACTTAATTATAAACAGATTTAACTCATTAAGTTAATGATTACAATAAAATAATATTTGTGGATCCAAAAAGCAAAGAGTTTGCAGAATATAAAATGAAGTTTTTTGAATAAAAACAAGTTAAAATAAATGAATTTAGTTAGCCATTCCAATAAAAATTAGAAATGTTTTAGGAAGAAGAAAGATAAGTAGAATTAAAAAAATAAGAAGAAATAAAAAAGCAAAAATAAATAGAATAAAGAAGGAAAGAAGAGGAGATGAAAAAAGTAAAAGAAAGATAGAAATAATTAGAAGAACAAATTATAAAATAAAAAGAAGTTCAAAAAAATTCTGAAAGATAAAGTGAAAGAGATAGATAGCTTAAAAATTTCCCCTACAAATTATACACTGAAGATTGTGGACATCGAACAAATTGTAATACAATACCTATTTTTTCATGCTGTAATAAAGCATATCCATGTTCATAATGTCATGGATACTTGGCCCATCCACCACGAATTTAAGTACCAAGCTATAGATATTGTATGAAATGTCTTGAAATTTATTTGGTTATGTACCCAACAAATTAGGCTATTAACTGCTTGAAGTGCTAAAAATGATATAATTTTTGTAATCAATATTCAGAGCATCAAGTTTAAATATTTCTACTCTCAAGATCCTTATTCTTTCTTTATTTTATTTGATATAAAAATTATAAAAAAATTAATGATTAAATTGCGGTAACTATTTCGTTTCTCAAAGATTCAAAATAAAAGTTCAATTGATGGAATCATTGAATAAAGAAGATCAACTAATCGTTAATTATCTAAAGAGGAATTACAAAGTCGGGATTTATAAATATTTTGGCATAGTCCTTAAACTGATATTGTTATTTAATTAGTACTATACATGAAGTAACTTTAATATTTAATTAGGCATGATTGTCATATTTGTTAGAAGGCTTTCTCTATTTTAAATTATTATAATATTAGCTTTGATAAAGTCGAAAATATTTTGTTTTTAGATTTTGCTAAGAAAGCTAAAATAATTACTCTTGATAAATGGGAATGGCCAGTCTTAAAAGTGAATGTCTCATTAGATTCAACATAATTTGTAACAGGATCTGAAAATATAGTTTCATTTCTAATAAATAAAGAATTAATCTTGAATCCTAATCATTTGACCAATACTATTTTTGCATAGTAAGGAATTGAATTTGTTATTCAAAAAATTAAAAAACCATTAGATTTACTTTTTTTAAACCCCATTTTAACATGGCAAAATCTTTTTAAATCAAATCCAGATTCATATGCTAAAGATTCTAAAAATTATTTACTTATTAATTATATGTTAAAAATTGGATATAGGGCATTTACACAAAGTTCAAGAAATGTTTATCAAATGATTAGACAAAAAGAAGCCTATTTTAAAGCTTAAAGAGAACTTCTTGATGGATTAAATGAATGGACTTAAAGATTAAATGGATAATAGTTTCATGGTGGAAAGAAACCAGATGAAGCAGATTTTGAAGTATTTTTATTAAAATATTAAGTTATTTGGTGTGATAATGAGTAGATACAATAGTAGTTCTTTTAAAAAATTTATTGAAAACAAAGCACCAATTAAATTTTATTAATGGGTTTTGAGAATGTAGTAATTATGTAGATATGAGCAAAACCGCTTTTATGCTAACACAGATACTAATGTAATTGAATGAAATTTAGTATAGATTTTAATAAAATATATATAAAACTTCTACTTTTAATATAACCATTTAAATAATAAGCATTTTATAAAAAAGAAGTCTTTCTCTTATAATAATATTAAAGTTTATTATTTAATTATATAGAACTGAGATGTAAAAATGAGATATAAATATTAATTGAAACTACTTTGCTTGAGAAATCTCTTTTAAATTAAATTAAAAAAATTATTTATTTTTTATTAAAATGCATATTCGCGATAAGTATATTGACAGAGTTACATACAAAGATACAGATTAGATAAGCAAGTAAAATTTAAGTAAATTTTTTAGTGAAGAATAATTTAAAAGAGCTAATGAATTTTTCTAATAACTTCCTGATATCGATCTTTAAGCAGAAAAAATAAGATGTCCAAAATGCAACTAGCTTCACAAAGTTTATTGTTTAAAATGTGGTGAATTACTTGTTGACAAATAATCAATACCAAAAATAGAATTACCTTTAAATTTATTGATTCTTCATCATGACAAAGAAAAACATCAAAAAAGTTCGGCTATTCCAGCAAAATTCTTAAGTGCTTAAGTAGAAGTAAAAGATTTTCCTTGTGATTTTGAATTTGATGAATATACTTATGTGCTCTATCCTCATTAAAATGCTAAATACATAAAAGATTTATCATTAGAGGAGATTCAGAGTATTAAAAAATTTGTAGCAATCGATTGTACTTGGCATTAAACTGGAGCAATTTTAGAGACAATCTAAAAGAAATATCCTAATTAAAAATATTTAAAATTAGAAGATTATTAAACATATTTTTGGAGATATTAACATCATAGTTTAAAATGTTTAGCCACTATAGAAGCAATATACTATTGTTATTAAGAATATAGCAAAGCTATGAAGTAAAATAAAGATTATTGTAATTTGTTATTTTTTTATAAATATACATTCTAACAAATTAAAGAGGCTTTGAAAAAAGAAGCTGGTAATTCAAATGTGTATGAAAAGATTGATTAAAAAAAACAACGTCGCTTAAACTCTAAATTGAATGCTAAAAAAGAAAAGTAATTTTTAAAATTGATATGAATAAAATTACATAAAAAGATTATTATTAATTTTTTAAGCATGCATCAAAATTTTTACATTTCTTTTAAGAATCTACAAAACTGATATAGAATAAGTCAGAAAGTTTTTAAATTCCTAAAACGAAAACTTAGCAATTAAAATCATCTTAATCTTATGATTAAATACCATTACATTAAAAATATTATAGGTGATTATCAGATTATAAAATATTCCTAATTAGTTATGGAAAATTTTATTTATAAGTTTTCAATCAAACAATCAATCAAAAAACAGTAATAAAATAAATAAAATATATGAAATTATTGACAAAGGAAATATAGTAAAAAATGAAGACATATAATCTCCTCTTTTTATTGAGAAATCATTACTTAAAATTATGAAGAAAGAAAGTTATGAGACAGCAGACGTGAAAATTGTTTTTGTTATTGCAATTTTTTTTATTTGCAATACTTTATGAAAAATATATGAATTATTTTTTGAAATCTGTTAATTATCTCCTAATGTATTTGTGAGAAACAAGAAAGAAGGGATAATTAAAATAATTATATAATCACTAAATATTTATGTAGAGTGAAATTTCTCGAAAGAGTATAAGAAAAATCACTTCTTCCCAAAATATCCCAAGCTCTTGCACATATAGGATCTTATAAAAGAGGAAAAATAAATTTGTACTTCTATATGAAAATCAATTCTCGATTATTTTTTGAAGGGTTAAATATAATTGATGAATTATCATTATATATTAAACTCATCTTTTAACTCCCTTAAAGAAATTTATCATGATTATTAAATTAGAAATAACATTAATAAATTTATTTAATTTTATGAATAATCCACAAACCACTTTTACGCCCATATTAAATAATAATAATCCAAATAAATAATTCCCTGTTTAACCTATTTAAGACAGAAAAACAATGAATACCTAACCGATGATTTAAAATAAGGCAAATTTTCCGGTTGGATAGGCAACGACTGCAAATCAAATATCTAGAGCAACAGTATAACTTCCCACTTATGAGGGCTAACTGAAAGATACTATAAAACGTTATTAGGAAAGAAGAACACTTATAAAAGAATTTTATGAAAAACAAAAACTTAGTTGAAATGATGCTATTTCTATTAAAAATAAAAATATTTATTATTTAAAAAATTAAATAATTGTATTAGTGTACTTCTTTATATATTACCATATGCTTTCAATAAGACTTTATCTTGAGGAATAGAAATGGAATATTGACTAAAATAAGAAAAAATAATCTAAAATGAAAAAAAATTTAAAACTCTAGAATCTCAAAAATTATGAATACAAAAATTATAACCTATATGAATTATTTCAAGAATGATTTTTCGATTGACGAATTAATCCTCTTATCACTATAATCATTTTAGATAATCAAGAGAATATCAAATATAAATTCTCATTGCATAAAGGCATTTTAGAGAAGGAAAGATAGATAAATACTTATAATCTAATTAAGCTCTTTATGATATTTAGCTCTAATGAAAAAAATCTATATATTTATTTAATTAATTTATCATAAAAAATAAAAATAACACATTAAAAAATTTAAGTTTGATTGTAAAATCAAATATAAATGTGAATTTTTAGCAAAACTAATTTTATTTTTATAGCTCCTTAAGTAAAGATGAAAACCTAGGATGCTTAATTGTAAAATTTTCAAAAAATCTTAATTAATTATTATTTTTGGAAGATTATTGCTTAATTTTTAATTTGAAATATTTATATTAATAATTTATAAATGGATAAAATTTTTGTAACCTTTCTGAGATGGGCAAGTTAATTTAAACTTCTTTTCATATTTGTAATTCACATTTAGAATTAATCAATAAAGGTAATAGTTTACTCTAATTTTAAATATAATATAATGCTTACAGTCTTAGGTTTAACAAGAAAAAGCAGAAACTCTAAATCTAGAAAATTGATATTAAAATAAAAGTCCAAAGTTACTAAATGTTTTCCGCAATCTTGTCTTAAGGGCAATCAAATTTAGAATAATAAAATCTATTTTATAGATATATTTTCTTAAATTACTTAATAGTTATTCTGATTTGAATTGAATAGATTCTCCTTATAGATTTAGAAAAATTGACAAGAATATAATAAATATACATTGATAATTCTTGTTTTCATAATGACTAGTTAAAAAATAAAATATAAGATTTTATAAATAGATTACTTGAATAAGAATTTATTTGATATTTTTATTAATGAAATTCATACTATAATGCTCTATATGCTTATAAAGTTTATGCAATCCTATGTCTTTAAGTTGTGGACACACATTCTGTTATAATTGAATACATAATACTCTTGAAAATTAAGAGTAAAGTGCTTGTCTTTTGTGTCGTTAGCCTATGTTGATTATATAGAATAAATCTGATGAATTATTGTCAATTGTTTAATAAATTTATGAAAAAGATGGAACAGAAGTTAATAGATTACAATATTTTTAGGACTTTTGAATGAATTTCCTTCGCTAATTATCTGTCTTTGCTGTGGTATGACTCCTATAAATCCAATTGTTTTAACCTATTAACATATGTTTTGTTATAAATGTATATAAGATAGTCTTTAAGAGGAATTGCTCTACCCAGTATGTCAGGAGTTTAGTTTTTTCACTTAAACTTAGCATAAATAAAAAATATAAAGATCTTATCAATTGGTATCTGAAGTAATTTTAGATTGAAGAAGAACTAAAAATTGAAGAAATAATACAATCAGATGGTTTTAATAGATTACCAATCTTTAATTTTGAATAAACAGTCATAGTTCATATGGAAACACAATTCACTTTTTTTGAATTTAGATATTAAGAAATGATCAGAAGAGTATGCTCTGGCTCTTGTAATTTTATTGTTTTAGGAGATTTTATCAATGGGGATTTAGTTAAAATTAAAAATATTAAAAAAATTAATATAGGATACTAAGTATTCGTTGAGGCAATAGCAAGAGTAAAAATTAGATCAGTATACAATTATTTCAACGGAATCAAAACATAATATTAGCCATTTAATAATTAATCCTTTTGGTAATGCTCTTTTCAATATATAAGAGATTAAAAACCGAAAGAGAATAATATTTATAATCCAATTAATTTATAGATAATTATATAACAACATTGTATTGCTAAATTCTAAGAATATCTATGAAAAGTTTTAGAATTTACATATTGATTTTACATGGGATTTATAAAAATCTCTAATCAGATTTGCATAGCATTTTTCATAATTTTATGAAAAAGTTACATTTATTATCTAGTACTGAAAGTAATCTTATTCTAATGGCTTCTTTAAATCATAATTCTTAATCAGAATATTACGATGATAATGTTGAAAAAAGAGTTCAATATATCTAAAATTATTTATTTATTCTTGAACAAAATGTTTAGGGATAGTATGTTTAAGAAGAATAAAAATAAAATGCAAAGTTTTGGTAATAACCATTAGAGTTCATATATTATCCAGAATATAATATAACAACTCAGTCTTTTTAATCTAAACAAAGTTCTTAGTTTTTGATAATCAATTATAATACTAAATTAATTCAATATGCTGACATGAATTAATTCAGTTTTTTAGATTTTAAAAACTAAATCTATATTTAAATATATATATAATATCTTTACTTTAGCTCTATTTATAAATTGAAATCTAATTGATTTTATTATCATATTATCTTTATATTTCTAAAAAAATATTTTAAATCTTATCTTCCTGCCTTTTGGGCGATTTCAGATTCCAGACTATTCAATATTAAATTCATATTTTTACAAGCACTATTTTTATTAGAAGATAAATAAAAGTAACTCTTAAAAATTAAATCAAATTTCTATGGTTTTTAGATTCCATCTTAAATTTGAATGGAATTAAATAGAAAATGCGTATCAATAAGAATTGCATTTCCATTTAAAATTATTGTTTACTTTATTTCTATATAGAAAATTTTATGAATATTATTTAGTTATTTTGAAGCCTGCATCATCTTATACTTTTAAGATAGTACTTTCAATTTCATTGCTATAACAAATATTTTTGATTTTGTCAAATATATATGCCATGTTAAGTGTTTTATAGCCTTCATGGTTTTAATACTACAATTGAGATGTCTGATAAATAAGTATTCTAATTCAAATAAATATATAAAGCCTTCATTTAAATTTATTTAGTTTATGTATTTAGAATCTTGAAATCTCTATCCCATTTAAAGTTCTCAAAAAAAGTAAGATTCTTTTCAACAATAAATTAATTCTGATTTTTATTGTTTTTATAGGTTGCAAACATTTTATAGTTACCTATTGTAAGATGTTCCTCTATTTTTTCGTTTTAATAAAATAAGTAGGAATATTATATTTAGGATAAAATATATTCAAAGCCAACTATTTAAAAATTCAATTTAATTATACTAAATATAACCCTAGCTACTTTATTATTTTATTTTTTAGTCTGTGACTTATCACTTTTCAAAATGTTTAGAATATTATTCTGTGCCTAACAATATTTTTGTTTTTCATTGAATTGATAATGATGAGTATACTAATTAAAAAACTAGGCATTTTTAACTGAGAAAAAGCAAAGAGTAAAGTAATTGGATAAAAATTATAGATTAAATTTTTGAGCAATCATTTAGAATAATTAAATTAATCAAAAATAAGATCAATTAATATTATCATTATCAATGATTTGTAAAAGAAAGCATTAAAAATCTGAAAAATAAGTAGTTAAAAAAAACTATTAAGAGATGTAATATTTATTTTATAGAAATTTTCTAAGTTATTTATCATTAAGGAAAGGGAGAGCAACTCAATTAGAGAAAAAAGGAAATATTAATGAAATTAAAAATCAAAAAATAATAGTACTACCTAGAAGGGAAATTACAGGAAAATAAAAGATAATTAAGAGTAAAGTTAAATATAATCTATTATGTAAGAAAACGATTATGGAAATTTTATTATTGCATAGAATTAAAAGTATATAATTTCTGATTTCTAATAATTTATGAAATCAAAATTTTTGCTTATTTTTTTGTAATTATTAAGAAGTATTAAAACTATAGAATTAAGGCTTTAGATAATTCTTTTAAATAATTAA